GATGGCGGAAGTGTGCATTGAGGAGACGATTGCCTATTTCAACAGTTCGCTTGAAGCGTACATAGTCTTGATAAAATCCCTACAATCTGTTCTTCCGATAGACTTTTTTCGCCGACAAGTTTTACTCCAAGTCCAGTCGCCAGATCCTCCTGCAGTCCATGATGAAAGCTTGCTCACCTCAGCAGCCGAAGTCGTGGAGTTTATCAGGAAATTGTATGAAGGCATCGCGCCGATTATGGAACTGTTATCATCCTGTAATCTCGTGCGGTCATTCCTCGCTCTATCTCGAATTGAGTTTGCACGTGAGGTATGCACATCTTCATCTACTAATGCAGCGATGGAAACAGTGACGCAGCAGCTGGAGCAAGCATTGGAGCAGACTGCAGCGCCACCAGAAACGCTTCTGACGCCAGTCTTGCGATCAGTTGCGATACATTCAATGACTGCAAATAATGAGATTTCACCTGAGATAGACATTGTTGCTGGCTGCCAGGCGCTGGCTGTGGGGCTTGTCATTCAGCACAGGCTGCGTATCTTGCTTTTTCAGTGCTCGTCACTGCTTGACGACGCGCTTTCGGTTGCTTTTTCGGTGCTCTACAATGTTTTCGAGCCAGCAGATGCCTTTGGCCATCGTTTTATCGCGGTTTGTCTTTCACATCTGACGCAGTTTACTCCGCTTTTCACAGTGTTTCCGCATTATTTACGACTCACACTGGCTGCATTCCCAGCCAACGCTTCTCCTCAAGAGTTGACAAAAGCATGCGGGGCAATTTTCGGCTCACTCTTTTTTTGCGAAGCTCTCACGATGCCAGCCAAGCCTGACAAGGAGATTGTGCAGACAACTTGCCGAATGGTATTGTGGGCAATTCGGCGATGTTGTGAGCGCAGTACGGAATTGCTCGTCGAAGAAGATGAGGTGGCTGTTGCTTCAGTGCCGACAGAATCTGTTAAGGACAGTGCTGAGGAAAAGAGCCTCAGCAAAGAGAAAGTTGCGAGGGAGACAGACGGATTATATCTTGCCGGCTTGGTGTTTGATCTCATGAAAATGGCACCGATGAACATCTTAAAGGCTGTCTCTATGGAAGCTGAGCGGCTTCTATATCACTGGAAAAATAATTCTCGCGTGCTGTGTAAGCTGAAGAGCGCACTGTTTGCGCGAATCTCACAGAATTGCGAAGCCGAAAAACGCGCATGGTTTGCCGCTTGGTGCATTTACGTTGACAAGCTGTACCCAGTCGAGACATCGTGCTCGAAACGGATGGTGCCATCTCGTTTGTAGACAAACTGTAAGAACACATGAAACGAAGCTAGTAACTTTGAGTTATTCAGTATCATGATGAGAACATTGACCAGTAAATCTGTGCTTGAATGCGTAACACTCGAGCCGCTTGAACTCCACCAACTTACAAGCGCTTGTCACCGTCCCATTTGTAGAACCCCTCTCCAGTCTTGCGGCCAAGTTTGCCCTCTGTCACCTTCATGCGGACAATATTTGGCACGAAGAAAGCAGGCTCGTTTGGGTGATTACGCACCCATCCTTCCAGTATGAACAGCGTCGTATCCAAGCCGACATAGTCCGCCAGTGTGATCGGTCCCATCGGATGGCCAGCACCAAGCTGCATGCTTACATCAATATCCTCCTTAGTGGCATCTCCTCGCTCGTAGAGGGCAATAGCTTGGGCTAAATACGGCACAAGCAGTCGGTTAACAATAAAGCCCGGTGTATCTTTGCAGCTCACCGGATGCTTGCCAATGTCCTGTACCCATTGTGTGCAAGCTTGATAAACTTCGGGATCCGTCGCGTCCGTGCGGACGACTTCCACAAGCTTCATCAGTTGCACGGGGTTGAAAAAGTGCAGGCCAACGACCTGCGATGCGCGTCCCGAGGATCCAGCAAAGTCCGAGATGGCTAGCGACGATGTGTTGGATGCCAAGATGGCTGAAGGCTTGACCACCTTGCCAAGGTTAGCATAAAACGCCTTCTTGACTTCGACATTCTCTACAATCGCCTCAATCACGAGGTCACAGTCCACAAGGTCATCTAATTTTGTCGTGGGTGTGATCCGAGCCAGCGTAGCAGTGGCCTTTTCGTCCGCCTGCTGCTGATTCATGGTTCCCTTCTTTATACTACGACCTAATAACTTGTTCAACGAGGTTTCAATGCGTTTCATGCCACTTTCCAATCCCGTTGAGTTGGCATCTAACGCCACAACGTCAAAGCCTGCAGTAGCAGCGGTCTGTGCAATACCATGACCCATGAGACCAAGACCCACCATACCTACCTTTTGAATCTTAATGTCACCAGAAGATTTTGCCATAGTACGTATCAGAAGTGACGGCATAGAGCGAGGCAATGAGAGAAATAGAGGACGCAACATTATTGATACAGATGTGATTGTTGTGATGGGAGTGGATTGTCAAATGACGTTACATGTGTCAGATGGCTGTGCCAACGTTGAACCTAACGGGTTTGAGAGGGGACACATACCAATTACATCAAATTTGAACGTTCTCAGTATATTACAATACAAACGGTCGTCTATTCGTTTAACAGAATCATTAATGCATCAAAACGAACAATAGAGCAGCATATTGCATTGATGTTCATATTGCATTGATGTTTTTTATCTCTGATTGAGATAAATCAAACCGCACAAGTTTCAATTATTCGTTCAGGAGACACGTTTACATGGCTATGGCTACATTGTGTAACCCCATTTGAATTGACTGTATGGACATTACGTCTTTTCATAAATCATTCCAACTTCAGATTGACGTCTTTTGTAGGTCGAGAGCTTCATTTCCCATTCGTATCAACTCCATGCAATGGATTGAATGAACATACTTACATCTTACATATTTTAAGTCTTAATCACTTCATATTTGTCGTATCTTGACACCAAAACAGACATGAAACATGTTAATTATCTTCATTTCATTCAAATCGCAACATGTTTTTTTCTACCAGGTTTTTCTTCCGTCTTTGTCTTCGGGTCGGCCATTTTCCCCTTGAATCAAGATAGCAACTTTGAAAGGGACCTTGACTATATTTGAGCAACGTATCCTAGCAACATCATTTGTCTCTCTTCATACGATTAATATGGCCACTAATGAACACTCACATCTGTTAACAAACAGTCTTAGTGGATTATGTGAGAGCGGACAAATGATAGTCAAGCCATACGGCCCAGCTGTAACGCTAGCCATGACACTTAATTACGTTATCGGCACTGGCTGCTTTGGTCTGCCTCATGCTTTTATGGAGGCCGGTATTGGGCTGTCCCTTATACTCATGATCGCTGGTGTTGTAGGTTCACTAATTACAATGAACTACACACTAGAATCCTTGGCACGTGCAGAAGGCGTCTGTGAAGCTACTAGTACAGGTGTACCCTGTCACCAGATCACATACCGTAAGTTCGAATTTGCCACGATTGCTGAGATGTTTGTGGGACGACTTGGTAAGGCAGCAGTACAGCTCGTTATGGGCTTATACTGTATTGGATCCCTATGGTCATATGCTTCCGTGTTCTCATCATCCACAGCATCACTCTTCTTCACGTACGCACTGGGAGACACGTGCAACGTATATGGCGACTCTCCGACCAGTGGATGTCTCGACAGCTATTACATGTTTATGGCCATCTTTTCGACAATTGTGCTGTACATGGTACTCATGGACATCAGTGATCAGGCTCTCGTGCAGAAGTTTCTGTCAGCTTACCGTATCGTGGCCTTCGCACTCATGTTGGTGACAATGACGATCAAGGTAGTTACTGACGGATCGGAGGTTGCGGCATCCCGCTACGCTGCAATTGGACTAGTAAACTGGAAGAACTTTGGCAAGGGCTTTGGACCGACATTACTGGCCCTCAACTGCCAGTATAACATGCCGGATGCCCTGCAGCCACTGAATCCCAAGTCCCAGGCGCGCTTCGTTGCGTTCGCAGCGCTGCTGATTGCTGGCACGTGCTATTTACTTGTGGGTTTTCTTGGTGCAATTTCTTTTGACACGATCAATCCATTAGCGACGTTAATGTGGAGTTCGTACACTGGCTGTGGCAATGGATGGGAGACATGTGAGTACTCAAACCCAATGGGCACCATCGTGCAGGTGGTTATTCTACTGTTCCCTGTAGTCAATGTGGTGTCCGCGTACCCGATGGTGGGAGTTACTGTGGGTGACAATATGCTCATGTCGTTTCCGTCTCATCTCACTGCACGCTTTGGCGAGAATCTCACGCGTAGCTTTTGCCGACTATTAGTATCGGCGCCTCCTATTCTATTCGCCATCCTGTTTAAGCGCCTCGACTTCATTTTTACTGTAGCTGGATTGTTTGGCTTTCTGCTTGGATGGACAATTCCAAGCTGGTTTCAAGTTATTGGCAGTCGTTACTGTCAAGATGTGTGGAGATTCCCTGGCGCTGCCATCACCGAATTCACACAGTCAGTTGTGAGCTCTATTCCATTTGCTAGTGGGTTCCTAGCTCTGACGTTTGTTATTACAGCAGTTGCAATTGCTACGATCAATGCGTGAGCCGTGTAAAATGTTTGTGGTATAGCAATCCTCCGATCAAGATAAGGACAAACTATACATGAATCCGACAACTACACATTGTCTTTCTCCTGTATATTTGGTGATGCTGCCTCATACAAACACGTGATGATACGGATAGAGCATCAACGTTCAAGGCGTCATCTTTTTGTTTTCCGATGGTTTTTTTCCGCGGTTTCCAAATGGAGAAACGTACGAAAACTGCATCATCTAGCAAGTAATTGCCCTCTTGTGGTCGGTTGTTCATATTAATGACTAATCTCCCGTACACTAAAAACAGTTTGTAACTTTGCCATAAAACCGCCTTTTATTTTTGTAGTTTATTAGGTGCTGCGTTAACAGTACGTAAAGATGTTAAATTAAGACTACAATATTGAAGTAAACTTAATCAATGAGACAGCAAAAAGTCAACTATACAGTTAGCTATCTATTAGGTACGAAAAGCTCATCGACGCAGACGCGTTTCCGAGATGACACGCAGCGAGTTTCGTGCGCGCTCCATCCAACGCTCTACAATACAAATCAAACACATACTGAAAACGCCATCCAAATGTAGCTAGAGTATCAATGAGCGCAGAAAGAAGCGTTGTTACCTGCTTCCTCAGCGACTTGACGCAGCGTCTGAGCCTCCTCTTCGCTCTGAATCTGCAGTCGTCGCAGCTCCTCCATTTGTTCACTACAGGGATACAATAGACACTAATTAGAACCATGAAATGGTAACGATCAAGTTACTAAAGATCATATAAATATCTATACGTTTCGGTCTTATTAAGTCCCGGGAGGTCGTCGATGAGAACGTCAGTCTCCTGCACCATCTTAAGAACGTCTTTGGCCAACATCGTAATCTGTCAATACAACACCAAATATACAACAGCATTGTAACATTACACAAAGGTCGATAGAATACCCCACCAACTCAATCATACCGCGTCTTTGGTCTCTTGTTTCTTGGTGTCATCTCCAGTCGAGGCCGGGAGCAGCCGGAGCGCGTTGAACATGCTGAGCGCCATCTTGTCCATACTCTCCTGCAGCAACGAAACTTTGTCCAACATAACAACACCTAATTCCACATCGGCGTCGATGCTCTCTGCGAGCAGCATCGCTGCTGGCTCATCCTTCACACCTTCTGCCTCCATCAAAGAAAATACTCAATTATTAGGGTGATGAATATAATTGTAATAATTACATTCATGTTTAACATCCTTTGAAAATAAATGCTAATTACACTATCCGCAACTTTTGTGTGTACCACAAGTATCCCGTAATAACAACATATCATTTCAACCCATTTGATAACTCTATTCCAGATTATATTATTTACAATATACTGCTTTCTCTATCCAATAACTACTATTGATACCACTAAGCATTTACGTCGCTTTTGTTGGCCAGGACATAAATTTGACTCATTGCTTTCAGTGATGCTTTTTAATCTAGATGCTGATGTTTCTCAGCAATTTCATTTAGGTCTCGTTACATTGTACTATGTACTACGACGTTGTAGGTCCCAAGTTTTCGTATGGTACATGAAAAAGTGCCATACATGTTTTAAGACAGAAACAATCAGACATCTTCTTTGTTGAATGAAAAGGCCTATGGAGGTTTTATGGCAAAGTTACAAACTGTTTTTAGTGTACGGGAGATTAGTCATTAATATGAACAACCGACCACAAGAGGGCAATTACTTGCTAGATGATGCAGTTTTCGTACGTTTCTCCATTTGGAAACCGCGGAAAAAAACCATCGGAAAACAAAAAGATGACGCCTTGAACGTTGATGCTCTATCCGTATCATCACGTGTTTGTATGAGGCAGCATCACCAAATATACAGGAGAAAGACAATGTGTAGTTGTCGGATTCATGTATAGTTTGTCCTTATCTTGATCGGAGGATTGCTATACCACAAACATTTTACACGGCTCACGCATTGATCGTAGCAATTGCAACTGCTGTAATAACAAACGTCAGAGCTAGGAACCCACTAGCAAATGGAATAGAGCTCACAACTGACTGTGTGAATTCGGTGATGGCAGCGCCAGGGAATCTCCACACATCTTGACAGTAACGACTGCCAATAACTTGAAACCAGCTTGGAATTGTCCATCCAAGCAGAAAGCCAAACAATCCAGCTACAGTAAAAATGAAGTCGAGGCGCTTAAACAGGATGGCGAATAGAATAGGAGGCGCCGATACTAATAGTCGGCAAAAGCTACGCGTGAGATTCTCGCCAAAGCGTGCAGTGAGATGAGACGGAAACGACATGAGCATATTGTCACCCACAGTAACTCCCACCATCGGGTACGCGGACACCACATTGACTACAGGGAACAGTAGAATAACCACCTGCACGATGGTGCCCATTGGGTTTGAGTACTCACATGTCTCCCATCCATTGCCACAGCCAGTGTACGAACTCCACATTAACGTCGCTAATGGATTGATCGTGTCAAAAGAAATTGCACCAAGAAAACCCACAAGTAAATAGCACGTGCCAGCAATCAGCAGCGCTGCGAACGCAACGAAGCGCGCCTGGGACTTGGGATTCAGTGGCTGCAGGGCATCCGGCATGTTATACTGGCAGTTGAGGGCCAGTAATGTCGGTCCAAAGCCCTTGCCAAAGTTCTTCCAGTTTACTAGTCCAATTGCAGCGTAGCGGGATGCCGCAACCTCCGATCCGTCAGTAACTACCTTGATCGTCATTGTCACCAACATGAGTGCGAAGGCCACGATACGGTAAGCTGACAGAAACTTCTGCACGAGAGCCTGATCACTGATGTCCATGAGTACCATGTACAGCACAATTGTCGAAAAGATGGCCATAAACATGTAATAGCTGTCGAGACATCCACTGGTCGGAGAGTCGCCATATACGTTGCACGTGTCTCCCAGTGCGTACGTGAAGAAGAGTGATGCTGTGGATGATGAGAACACGGAAGCATATGACCATAGGGATCCAATACAGTATAAGCCCATAACGAGCTGTACTGCTGCCTTACCAAGTCGTCCCACAAACATCTCAGCAATCGTGGCAAATTCGAACTTACGGTATGTGATCTGGTGACAGGGTACACCTGTACTAGTAGCTTCACAGACGCCTTCTGCACGTGCCAAGGATTCTAGTGTGTAGTTCATTGTAATTAGTGAACCTACAACACCAGCGATCATGAGTATAAGGGACAGCCCAATACCGGCCTCCATAAAAGCATGAGGCAGACCAAAGCAGCCAGTGCCGATAACGTAATTAAGTGTCATGGCTAGCGTTACAGCTGGGCCGTATGGCTTGACTATCATTTGTCCGCTCTCACATAATCCACTAAGACTGTTTGTTAACAGATGTGAGTGTTCATTAGTGGCCATATTAATCGTATGAAGAGAGACAAATGATGTTGCTAGGATACGTTGCTCAAATATAGTCAAGGTCCCTTTCAAAGTTGCTATCTTGATTCAAGGGGAAAATGGCCGACCCGAAGACAAAGACGGAAGAAAAACCTGGTAGAAAAAAACATGTTGCGATTTGAATGAAATGAAGATAATTAACATGTTTCATGTCTGTTTTGGTGTCAAGATACGACAAATATGAAGTGATTAAGACTTAAAATATGTAAGATGTAAGTATGTTCATTCAATCCATTGCATGGAGTTGATACGAATGGGAAATGAAGCTCTCGACCTACAAAAGACGTCAATCTGAAGTTGGAATGATTTATGAAAAGACGTAATGTCCATACAGTCAATTCAAATGGGGTTACACAATGTAGCCATAGCCATGTAAACGTGTCTCCTGAACGAATAATTGAAACTTGTGCGGTTTGATTTATCTCAATCAGAGATAAAAAACATCAATGCAATATGAACATCAATGCAATATGCTGCTCTATTGTTCGTTTTGATGCATTAATGATTCTGTTAAACGAATAGACGACCGTTTGTATTGTAATATACTGAGAACGTTCAAATTTGATGTAATTGGTATGTGTCCCCTCTCAAACCCGTTAGGTTCAACGTTGGCACATCTGACACATGTAACGTCATTTGACAATCCACTCCCATCACAACAATCACATCTGTATCAATAATGTTGCGTCCTCTATTTCTCTCATTGCCTCGCTCTATGCCGTCACTTCTGATACGTACTATGGCAAAATCTTCTGGTGACATTAAGATTCAAAAGGTAGGTATGGTGGGTCTTGGTCTCATGGGTCATGGTATTGCACAGACCGCTGCTACTGCAGGCTTTGACGTTGTGGCGTTAGATGCCAACTCAACGGGATTGGAAAGTGGCATGAAACGCATTGAAACCTCGTTGAACAAGTTATTAGGTCGTAGTATAAAGAAGGGAACCATGAATCAGCAGCAGGCGGACGAAAAGGCCACTGCTACGCTGGCTCGGATCACACCCACGACAAAATTAGATGACCTTGTGGACTGTGACCTCGTGATTGAGGCGATTGTAGAGAATGTCGAAGTCAAGAAGGCGTTTTATGCTAACCTTGGCAAGGTGGTCAAGCCTTCAGCCATCTTGGCATCCAACACATCGTCGCTAGCCATCTCGGACTTTGCTGGATCCTCGGGACGCGCATCGCAGGTCGTTGGCCTGCACTTTTTCAACCCCGTGCAACTGATGAAGCTTGTGGAAGTCGTCCGCACGGACGCGACGGATCCCGAAGTTTATCAAGCTTGCACACAATGGGTACAGGACATTGGCAAGCATCCGGTGAGCTGCAAAGATACACCGGGCTTTATTGTTAACCGACTGCTTGTGCCGTATTTAGCCCAAGCTATTGCCCTCTACGAGCGAGGAGATGCCACTAAGGAGGATATTGATGTAAGCATGCAGCTTGGTGCTGGCCATCCGATGGGACCGATCACACTGGCGGACTATGTCGGCTTGGATACGACGCTGTTCATACTGGAAGGATGGGTGCGTAATCACCCAAACGAGCCTGCTTTCTTCGTGCCAAATATTGTCCGCATGAAGGTGACAGAGGGCAAACTTGGCCGCAAGACTGGAGAGGGGTTCTACAAATGGGACGGTGACAAGCGCTTGTAAGTTGGTGGAGTTCAAGCGGCTCGAGTGTTACGCATTCAAGCACAGATTTACTGGTCAATGTTCTCATCATGATACTGAATAACTCAAAGTTACTAGCTTCGTTTCATGTGTTCTTACAGTTTGTCTACAAACGAGATGGCACCATCCGTTTCGAGCACGATGTCTCGACTGGGTACAGCTTGTCAACGTAAATGCACCAAGCGGCAAACCATGCGCGTTTTTCGGCTTCGCAATTCTGTGAGATTCGCGCAAACAGTGCGCTCTTCAGCTTACACAGCACGCGAGAATTATTTTTCCAGTGATATAGAAGCCGCTCAGCTTCCATAGAGACAGCCTTTAAGATGTTCATCGGTGCCATTTTCATGAGATCAAACACCAAGCCGGCAAGATATAATCCGTCTGTCTCCCTCGCAACTTTCTCTTTGCTGAGGCTCTTTTCCTCAGCACTGTCCTTAACAGATTCTGTCGGCACTGAAGCAACAGCCACCTCATCTTCTTCGACGAGCAATTCCGTACTGCGCTCACAACATCGCCGAATTGCCCACAATACCATTCGGCAAGTTGTCTGCACAATCTCCTTGTCAGGCTTGGCTGGCATCGTGAGAGCTTCGCAAAAAAGAGTGAGCCGAAAATTGCCCCGCATGCTTTTGTCAACTCTTGAGGAGAAGCGTTGGCTGGGAATGCAGCCAGTGTGAGTCGTAAATAATGCGGAAACACTGTGAAAAGCGGAGTAAACTGCGTCAGATGTGAAAGACAAACCGCGATAAAACGATGGCCAAAGGCATCTGCTGGCTCGAAAACATTGTAGAGCACCGAAAAAGCAACCGAAAGCGCGTCGTCAAGCAGTGACGAGCACTGAAAAAGCAAGATACGCAGCCTGTGCTGAATGACAAGCCCCACAGCCAGCGCCTGGCAGCCAGCAACAATGTCTATCTCAGGTGAAATCTCATTATTTGCAGTCATTGAATGTATCGCAACTGATCGCAAGACTGGCGTCAGAAGCGTTTCTGGTGGCGCTGCAGTCTGCTCCAATGCTTGCTCCAGCTGCTGCGTCACTGTTTCCATCGCTGCATTAGTAGATGAAGATGTGCATACCTCACGTGCAAACTCAATTCGAGATAGAGCGAGGAATGACCGCACGAGATTACAGGATGATAACAGTTCCATAATCGGCGCGATGCCTTCATACAATTTCCTGATAAACTCCACGACTTCGGCTGCTGAGGTGAGCAAGCTTTCATCATGGACTGCAGGAGGATCTGGCGACTGGACTTGGAGTAAAACTTGTCGGCGAAAAAAGTCTATCGGAAGAACAGATTGTAGGGATTTTATCAAGACTATGTACGCTTCAAGCGAACTGTTGAAATAGGCAATCGTCTCCTCAATGCACACTTCCGCCATCCGAAACGAAAGGTCTTGGAGGACGGCGAGCGACGAATCAACTACCAAAGCCTTTACCCTCTGATGAACTTCCATTTGATAATTAGAAATTGTTACGCCATCGTATGGTTTCAAGCGAGTCGACGTTAGGGGCAAACCGAGAAGTCTTAGCAGCGCAAATTGACTCAAAATCATCGCATTTCCTGATCGTAACTGAGCTTCCAAATTATTTGAAAACCTAGCGTCGTCAAGACTTGCCAGACCAAGCGCCATAGCAACCGCAGCAATTGCACTGTGTGGTTGAGGAAATGACTGATGCGACAGCTCGTCAACAATTGTAGCTCTCAACGACTCTAGATACCCCGCCACCTCCAATGGCCGAAAAGCAGATGTTAAAGCACTTAAGACAAGCGCGGTAACAGCTACACCTGCAGCGTTGCTCGTGATAGGAGCAGCACCCCACTCGGAGGTCACACAATTTTTCAGCCAAGCATCTGTCAGCAACGAACTATTCGCCACTTGAGCAGGAGAATGGAGATATTCTCGAAGCGGAGTAGCAATATTAACAATAAATGCTAAGTCGTATTCATGCATAGCAGCAGTCATCCAATAACAAAAAGCTTCAATCAACTTTGGCGCAGCATCACTCACAACTCTACTTGGAGCTTCACACAACGGCTTAGCGATTACGGCATCCCACAATTGCTGACTGAACATCACCTGTATCTCCTTGTTAAAGTCCGTCTTCGATGTTGGAAAGTCGTGTGGAGGACGTGACGTCATCATGAGCATAGCACAACTCTTCTCCTTGTTTGTACTCATCTCACAGGACTGCAAGACATCTAAAGTGCCGCCCAACTCTATCCACAACATCCAAAACCTACAATTCAATGCCTCCGTCTTCTGCTGTAGCTTGTGCCAATGATAAAACACGTGTAGCAATTCTCTTAACGTCGACAGCAGCTCATTTGACGTCTGTTCTTCCTCATTTGTGTGATGTAATCCTTTTGTACCTAATGACAGCGCTGTAATCTGCTTGTGCAACCAGTCTAATACTTGCGCCATCGCTTCCACAATCTGTTCTTGTTCGGCATCGTTCTCAGCCGTCAAATACTCACAAGATACAGAGTTGAGCACATGCAATGAAGAAATGACGTTCTCCATTAACAACGTCTGAGATTCTGCAGTATGTGGCTCTATATCACGAGATACAGCCTTGTCTTTAGACCAAATCTACGCCGCCGATAAGAGCTCAGAATATGACAATAAGACTTTTGTTTCATTCCTTTTACGCTTTTTTTAGATTTAGAAATGCTTTTTGATGACTTTTCATGGGTTTTATTGAATTTTAAGTGACATTTCCACGTATTCTCCTTATGTTTGAACTTGTTTATGGAAACGAATGTTAACTTAAGGTTCACTTTTGAAAGTACCTTTTAGCTACAAAAGAGTATTATTATCAAATCATGATAAGCTTTGTTCTCACCAATAAGAATCATGTTCAGTATCCTCAATCGAATGTGATTGCTTTGAATTCAAACGTCCACTTCAAAAAGCGCATCAACAGTTGCTCGTATACTGTCGTCTCCTAATTAATGTCGCCTAACATCGCGTCTTTTTTAGCAAAACTTCAAACTACAGGCTCAACGTCATACCGTTCTGGCTCTACTTTTTCTTTGGACTGGCTTGATTTGTCTCTCATCGTCGTCCTGGTTACTTGCGTGTGCATCGTGCATCAACGCACCCATTGAAGCAGAATTTAGTTCATGGCGACTCAATCATGCCATATTGTCAAGTTTAATAGCTCACTCTCCAATTAAAGCTTGGTGTATTGTTCACAGAGGATGGAATACAGGCTCATTCGCTCGTGTATTGTCCCATATACAAGACCGAGCAAGACAAGACACTGGTACTGGTCATTCCAGGTAATCCAGGTGTCTTGGTCTACTATTTGTCACTGATGGAGGCAATTGTCAAGAAACATGAAAGATGTCATGAAATTCGCTGCTTGTCACACGCTGGTGGACACTCTATGCCGTGGAAAAACAACGGACGAGTGTTCACGTTGCAAGAGCAGCTAGAGCGCAAAGCTTTCTACTTGCAGCAGGAACTACATAATGATCCAACGCTGTACCTTGTGGTCAGTGGTCACTTGATCGGCAGCTACTTCTTACTCGACATTGCAAGGCGATTTCCTCAACAGAATGCCAAGTTGATGCAACCGACGATCATGCACATGGCGCTATCTCCCAAAGGTGAGCCGATGTCACCCTTGTTCGGCCACTACGAACGCACAGTGTCACGTGTTAATGCGGTGGAGTATCTGGTACCACCATTCCTACGTCGCTGGAATGTCCATCGTGTTGTGGGTCCCAAAACGTCCGCCACACTGCAATTGGCCTCGTTAATCCCTTGTGAACGCTTTGTCATGCGCAATGTTCTTGGAATAGCTGCTAAATAAACGGAAGAGGCTACTGTATGGATGTAGATGTAGTGGCATTATTTGAAGACAAAATTTTGTTCGTCTATTCGACGGTGAACGAGTGGGTGCCAGCCGAATTCGCGATGCTGCGCGCTCGAAAGAAGTGCCAGGTCCGATTCCCGAGCGCGCTGTAGCCGAGCTACTGTAGCCAAGCTACTTATTCACTATGTGCAGAGAAGACAAGCTCAAAGAGCTTCTACGTCTATGGGTGCTTAAACCTTCCTAGGCTAGCTCGTAAGCTCGTGTCTATCGGTTGTTACAACCGGGTCTCAAAAAGACTAGTATCAAAAATATTGATTCCTTCTAATGGAATAGAACGCTCAAGCACTGATGCTTGTAGAGCAGGTTTGAAACTGATGTATTTTCATGTGTATCTTCTAACGCTAAATATAGAAGCGCCTGCTCTATACTTAGTGCTAGTCACTATTTACTGGCTCTATAGCCCATTATTATTATGCAAACAGGCATAGTCCGTATACGTAAATAAGTATAGTGACCACATGGCTCTCTGCCACGATGCGACCCTTCGTACTTTAGGTACGGCCACATCAAGCCTACTCTTGTTACAGCCACACCACATTGGTGTCGCAGGTGTATGTAAAACACACACCTAATCGTTACACGCGCATGCCACAAGGCCAAGACTTCATGATAGAGACGTTTGCGTCACTCTAAGCATGACTACATTCTTTAATTAATGCTGTGATGCTGCGTGATGTCAGTTTGTTACTAGTGGCAACGGCCAAGGTCAAGAATAGGTAATTACTATGAAATAGCAAAAAAATACTATTTTTCTTACTGAAAGCAGCATGTTACTGAAAGCTTCAAGTCGTTGCGTGCTTGAGCAGGTTGTTAAAGAAAAGCAGCATATTTGTATCAATTGACCTATTGATGAGAAGTACGCCATGTATGGCAACGATAGTGTAAATTTTTATTGGATTTATATTTAGAAAGCACATACCCTTCGCTACCCCAAAGTGAAGTATGTTGGATGGAAAAACTTGTTCGTTCCGGATAAATACACTCGCCAGACGACACGCAACATTTCGCAAAACAAAACAGCTGGTCACGCATTACAGCAGAATAACCAGCTATGTACATTTGGGTTGATGTCTGAACTACCCACTTCCTTTTACTTGCCGACACCAAACGATGAGCTAAACCAAGCAGTAAACTTGACAACTGTTTTTGTATGCTATGTCCCTGCTTTAGCATTGTCTTACATTCCCATCCAGCCATCCCTCAACTAGCGTTTGTTTTGGATAACCATTGGCGTAGTACCTGGTGCTATCATAGGTATCTTCTGGCGGGTTGCTACCCTTGTCATCACCAGGTTTTTATTAAACTTATATTGCGTAGTTAGAGGACGAATCATCAGCGTAGAAGTCATCAAAGGGTATGATAGTACAAACCCGCATAGGTGTAGCACCTAAAAGCATCTGCATAGGCTTGTGAATCGCAACTTCATACCGCTGTTTAGTCGATGTAGATATATTCATAACTTTGAGAGAATAATGAGGTTTGAAGATGGAAAAAGCTTTACCACCCAAAACAACGCAGTCGAAGCGGCAAAGTCAAATGCATTCGGCAATACACCGTGCTAAGCACAAGTTTGTCAAACAACAACAACGATGGTCAAGCTCGTCTATCTCGCTACGCTCCTCATGGTCATTTGCGTCGCTCTACCTGCTCAATCCCAAATTGCTGCTGCTACCACAAAAGATGTCGTACCCGTCGAATTGGCCAAAAGAAGTGGTTTGCGGGGCGGTAGTTTGGCGGAACAATGCTGCCTGTAATTTCCTGGAAAGCTCAAACTGGACGTGTGCAAGGCTCCCACTGTTTGCTGTGGTGTTCTTTTCCTTTAACAAATAACGATGAGGTAGTTTCAACACATTGACCAAATTGCTTCTGTAAGAAGTTGACAACAAGGATTCAGTGAGATAAGTAAGAGTAGAAGAAATATAACTAGGAATTCACCAAAGCTCTTGCTTCCTCGCTTGAATGAATGTAGCGTTGTGTAATGATACTATCTTACCACGTTCACATTATCCAAGCCGCGTCTTTTTTTGACTTTGTAACTAACAGACAAGCGCCGTGACAACTTTTCAGTCAATGCTTTGAATAGCATTAACGTACCATTAGTTGGTTGATGTGGGCATGATTACAATTCTGCTTGTCTCGTTTATAAGAGTTGACGTCTATAAGCTACTAGACCCTTTCGACTTTGCGTGGTTTCATCTGTACAGTGAGGCAGTGAGTGATCCACTCTTTTCAAGCGATAGAGTGACTTTGACTCAAAGAATAGGCATGCTGCAACCCCCCAGCAAATGACAGCAATAAGGAGTACTTGAGATTGTGTCCGTCTCCGTTCGCTACTCCGCTGTATTCTCTTGTACTTGAGCCCCCTTGTTGAGTTACGCCACGCAGACTTGCGAGATGAGGAGGCTTTTCGAATCACTGTGAAAGCTTCTGGCACGTGAAACGCACAGCAAGAACACCGACAGTTGATGACGGCTGTGGTGCGTGGAAGCAGAAAAGCAAAAAAAACATGAGCACGGCATACCCCATGGATGAAGTTCATGATGGTCAGACGTCGATGAAGTTCAGACGTCGTGGGTGCTATAGGCTGCACAATGCAAAGGAAAGCATGAATTGAGACTTAAGCTGAAGTGCGATTCTTCAATAAGTTACACGTTTGTTTTTGGATCTTAATTCGTAAACTTAAACGGTTAGTGCCATCGCAACAAAGCTTGCGTTTTTACTCAAACTTCTTGAGCTCAGCATGACTCCACTCCTTTATCCCTTCAGCACCACTCTCGTAGTCCGACACCATGCCTATTGCTACAGCTCTGACCGAGATTTGGAATATCTACATCGCAAAGTTGCACAGTCAGTCGTTCTATTAACAAACTTCTCCATATTTTTAATTACCAACTTACCGCCGGAACCGCCCAGCTCAGCATCTTCTCCGTACCACGCAGCAAATCTCCACGCTGCAGCATTCCAGGCCGAAAGATGGACATACGCTCGAACCGAAGCTGCTGGACTTTGTCCTCCACTTCGCCCTTCGTCTGCGGATACAGAAACCAGCTGTCCTTATTGGCACCCTGGGACGTCAGCAGCCCGAAATACGGTACACCAGCCGCCTTAGAAAGCTTAGCAAATGTTATGACATAGCCCAAATCCACTGCAATAAGACCAAACAGCTCACATCTTAAGTTACGGTATCAACTTCTATTGCTCTTTCAAGAGCTATTATACCTTTGCGAAAGGCCTCAGCCGAACCAGCATCTTTTCGTGTTGTTCCTAGACACGAGAATGCCGCGTCCACCTTGTCCATATTCTGCATATCTACCTCTGAAAGTCTGTCAAAATCCACTTGACGCACTTCCAGCTTCTCCTTGGCCGCGTCAACATCCAGCGACGGAAACGTCGATTTCCACGCGGACGCCGGTACGTCTCGACGCGATAGAGCAATGACCTTAGTGCAATTAGTGGAAGATACAAGTTCCGCGACTAGATCACGGCCTACAGCACCAGTAGAGCCGATTACAAGCGCGACGTATGACGACATTTAAAGTAACGGTTCAAAGAAGAGCTAATTTGTCGCTGGAATCTTTTCTATACACAGTGCCTAATACTTTTGCTGATGTCGAGTTTATGTAGTATAGTATACAAAGAAAGTGATAAGGAGCTCGGAAAAGCATTAGGTATAAATTTAATATGGAAAAAGCAATCAATTGTGAACTTCTTCCTTGAGCAAGAATTGAGCAGTTGTAACAAAGGTTCTCTACAAAGTAATCTGTGTAATGCAAAATCGATGGACTGACGCAAAAAGACAACCAAAATGTGCAAATGAAAAAAGCAACAGTCTTTTTGAGGTTACGTGCGGAGCTCATGCCGATCCTTCTGTAGTTAAATATACGAGTAGAAAGCAACACCGCCGCGCTAGCATCCAATACGCAACAGGGCGCAACGTTACCCCACGGCGTCCATGCCAGTGGCGAGGAAAGAGGAACAGCAGAAACACTCCACCCAATGGTTATTCTTCATCCGTCAGACCCGCAGCGATACTCACTGTCGCTACAATGGGGCTCGCTCCGTGTTCAACCAGCGAGTCCATCATCTCGTGCATAGCACGTCGCTGGGCAGGTACCCCCTGATCAGTCAATCTAGTCGGATAATTACTGGCGCCAACGATACCTTCACCAGCGAGCTGAGATGTCAATGAGGGCGACGCATTCTCGGCGGCAAAATTGCGGAAACTCATCGATGTTACAGGAAGCCCCACCGATTCTCGGGTATTGTGTGTCACGAAAGTATCAAGCTCGTCACGCTCCACCTCGTCAGCACGAAACGCACCAAGCGCATTCTCTCCACGTATGATCTGAGCGCTGCTCGAAAGGGCCCGCTGCCGCGATGGTCGCGAATAGAAGGCGTTGGAAAGTGCGCTTCGATTCAAACGCGTATTCAGTACATTAGGCGCCGTGTATGTTCGGGGTAAATGACCCGAATACGGCGCACCCACTAACTCGGCGCTAGGGTCATAAATCGTACTGTGACCGCTCATATCAAAACCATCTATCCTTGCTGCATAACTCAGGCTTGAAACATGATCCTCAATTCCTCGGGGAGTCCCGCATACTGCACTCGTGCGTGGTAAAGAAACGCGCCCACCTTCTTCGTCCTCTTCGTCTTCGCTGGACCCAGCACCAGCCCATTTCCACTTTTTTCTTGGCCTTAAGTGTAAGAATAGTGCGACCAATCTTCACGTGTATTGCCTTGTTCCAATCCAGCTCCAGGGGTTTGCTCAAAAATAGCATTGTTCCATTTGAGCTTGAAGCATCAAACATAAAGAAATGGTTCTAAAAGCATCAAACAAAGACATTAGACAATGCGTCCACAAAATTTGAGCAAATCACCGCCTTACATCCTGGTATTTCATCTTCGCATGCAGTTGGGATACCGTGCGATAGCGGAGTGTCATGTTGTTAGTAGTTGAGCGGCCAATCGTCAGGTATTGCTGATTCCGCGGCATGCTACGAGGTACATGTACACAAAACAGCAAGTTAATCGACCATCGCAATTAAAGAGTGCTGTCACAACAATATAACGCACTTTGCGAAGCTCAATTGGAAACGTGTGTTTGTTAGTGCGGTCGAGCGGTTCCGGGTTTCATGCTGAGTGACAACAGCGAATGTAACGTACGGTGGAGGCAACTTCTTCGCAAGCAGCGACACCACACGGCCGTCGTCCAAACGCACACTCGTCAAGTAAGTAGCTTTACAGATACTACACACGTCAAGTCCATCTGTGTTGGTAACGGCGCACACCTTCTGGTTCGGATTCGTCCCGTCCACATCGAGATTATTATTCCAGCGTTGTAAACAGTCGAGGTGCACGTATTTCGTGTCACCCTTGCAATGACAAGGAGCTACCAGCGGGTTATTCTCTGCGTCTTCTTCTCCGTCATAGCAAATGTAACAGAATCGCTTGGCTGCGGTGCCTGCCACGCCCAATGGCAAAGTGCTGTGGTGTAAATTAGCGCTGTTATCTCCGTTGTCGCTCGAGCGTCTTCCTGCCTTCTTGTCTTTGTCCTCTTCTGACTCGCCCTCATCTGAAGTATCTTCTCCAACCCGCATGGTACGCTCGTGGTCTTTGTCATCATTCAATTCTCCACTATCCTCCATGTTTGGACATCTCTCCGTCGGGTGGAACGTTTGCTGAAGCGGCAAACTGAGATAATTCTCCTTTAAAAAACCGTACTGTTCGTTTGTCAGAGCCTCCTCCGTTTCTTCACTACTAGTACGGTTCAATTCACATACTACAAGACCAACTGATCCAATCCGAAGTAGATCTCCCAGTTTCAAACTATGTGGGATCACCGGGTACTTCTTGCTGCCTAAAACTCTGCACACTCCCGTATGGCCGGAAAACCGTTCAATGGATGAGCCACACACAAATTTTCCCACTGCATTATCGTATTTCAGTGCCAACGTTGTCGCTCGCGTATCATTCAACACGCACTCCTTCATGTGTGAGGGGGCAGCTCTGGCGTCTTCGACCTCTCTCGTCTCATCTTTCTCATGCTCTGCAACGTCCTGCTCTGCATTCTCCGTCTCCGACCTACGTCTACGTCTCCGTACTTCTTCATGTTCAGGAAGCAGTGGGAAATTGCGCATGTGCAGCGCTTGAAAACTAGCTGCTAAATCCCTTTCCAGTGCCGTGTTAAACGGCATATCCAGTGTCTCGGAATTAATAGCATTTAAGTTGGCACTAGACGTCGTGTAAAACGGATACGAGCCACGCTGTGGTCCATGCAATACGGCACCATCCTCATCCACCGTAAACTCGAGCTTTGGCAGCGTACGACGGCCTCGAGGAGCACTTACACGTGCACCACTGGCGTCTGTAGTAGTACGAAGATCTCCTGGTGTCGTTGTTTCCGCCTTTATTTCCACACGTCGTACGCTCTTGAATCCCATATGTTTACCACGAAGCATAGCGTTTTATTAAGGCTACACAAGTCGTTTAAAGACGATTCAAAGAGTAAAACTTGAATGAAATAAAGCCAACCTATCTACTATAATAGCGTCAGTTGTAGATGCAATAGATGATAAATTCTTGAATAGAAAGATGCAGTGACGTCTCCTCTATACGTATGTACAAGAGGTGTTGTTTCAAATGTACTACAAGACAAGTTATCTATCTCTTCGCACGACTCCAAGCGCTTCCAGCGGCTTCGTTCCCTTTCCGGCTGATCGTTGTTTGTTCTTAAGGGGGTATAGGGCGAAAAAAGACGTCCTAATTTTTGAGCACTAGGTCTTTTTTCTCAAATTCAACCATCTGAGTTTACGACATTCGTACACAATTCTTTTTTTTCTAACCTCGTTACAATTTTTAAGAAACCAAGTTAAGATGGATCCATTATATACAAGACTTCTATCAGTTTTAATTTAGTCCTTCCTATTTTTTAGCAATAAAGACAATTGAGAGGTGGTTTGCTTATTTTTGTCTAAGGTATCAGTTGTGAGAGGGTATTATATAAAACAGTACTGTTTTGTGCATTTCGTGCGAAAAGAAACGCTTGACAGAATCCACCTGATTTCCCCACGAACTTGAACCGCCGTCAGACGATCATACTATAGTAATAGCACCTTCACGCAATGTGCATGAAAATTTCGTCTCATAGTCGTTTCAATCTTGAAATGACGCACCTAATTAACACATTGACGATTAAGTACTTATTTCTTCAGTAGATCATGTATGCATCGATTGATCTCAGCGTTAGTTTTTTCTTTCGCTTTTAGTTTAAGTAGCACCACAACGATGTAAAAACTTCATCATCATTTGAATATAACTTGTCTATACTGTGCCATGGTAAAACAGACATATCTGTTGTCGTCATAGAGTGGTTGCTAGCTATTCTTCTCTACAAATAAGTTTCTACACATTCTGACCGGAATCATTCAGATATTATGTCCTTTACTTGAAGACGAACACTTTATCAACTTGAAGGATTCTTCTGTCTTATGGAGCAAATGACGTTCTTACCAGACAATCATTTTCATTCTTTTGTCGTCTAAAGTTGGTTGTCTCAATCCGTTGGGATATGCAAAAGCATGTTGTCAGTAAATACTGTTGTCGTCTATCGATAGTTGTATTGTCATGTGTAGACGACACGAGAAGTTCAAACTTTTCTGGGACATGTTTCTGAGCGGAAGAAAAAAGAATGAAAAGTTGCAGGCACGGTTTGCATACACGAGTGAATGACGCCAGAACATGAACTAGCTGATAATTTTGAAAGACACATAGACTAGAACACCGTCAAATGTGAAGTCTTTTCTGTCGAGATGTCAAACCATCATGGGATCGTATGGAAAAAGATTCTCTTTGGGTCGGATATTGTGGCTTGGAATACTTGGATTCTTTCCACGGTTGGGCGACATCGCGTGCACAGGAGATTGTCTTGTGTCCGTCGAAACCACGTTTATGCACGTGAAGACTGGAATGAAAGTTTCTCAAAAAGCTCGTAGAACGTGATTTCGACTGAAACGTCGTTTATGGCGTCACGATTGGCATATCAATGAACCTATGATGGATACTAGCTATAAGCTTGTGTATCAAATTGTGTGACAACTAAGATACACGCTGGTCACTTGGGTCTATCTCAAGCAGTGCTTTGATGATTCGTATGACGAGTTGCAATCATTTCTGTGGACAGCAGTGTCAGTATCTGGGACCTTATTCTTTTTTGCAGCCGGACTGTGTATCCACATTGCCAAAGATTACATCGCAACATCGCGCTCTGGACTAACGATATCCAGATATTTGAGATCGATGACTGATACAAGCATGCGCGAAGTCACCAGTGTGCAGGTCAGTTACAATTTACCACCTCGTGTCCACTCCAATAAAGTGGGGACTTGAACACACAGCGCCATCTGGAAAGTAGATTTGAGCTTTCCGTCTTAAATACTTGGCCTTAATTGGCGTCTTGCCTGAATATTCTCATTCTGCAATGTTTGGCTTAATCACTTGAAGCAAAACTCTTCATTGAAGCTTTGCAAAAGTTTCCAGTTAAGCGGTCACGAGTTGCTGGGTCGACCTCCACATACTGTAAAAACTGCATTCCGAACGAGGCTTCGCCCTGTGTCTTTGAGCGCAATAAAGTCGCATAACCGACCATGTGTGCCAGTGGAACGTGAGCGTGGACAATAGAGCGGCCTTGATTGGCAATCGCGCCAGTATTGTCACCATCAAAAGCAGACGTCACCTCCTGAATGTGTGCACGTCTCTGAGAACTCAAGTCAGCTAGAACATCGCCAACGCAACGGTCGGGCGAGCGCACCTCGAGCTTCATCATTGGCTCTAAGAGGACCGGATCAGCTTCCTTAAGAGCCTGTTTCAGTGCAAGCGCAGCCGCTGCGCGAAAAGATGCTGCACTCGAGTCGGAATCCCACTCGCAGTTAGCTTCGTCCACTGTGACCTTTACGTACGCAACACGATTTGGCGTCAGCACTCCGCGACTCAGTCCAGCCCGCAGACCCTCCTCAATCGCCAAAACAAACGCATGGGGCATTTTTTTTGCGCCCTGATGCTTCCAGTGAACAACATTGCTGTTATTTTCATCATCTCCATTGTTGCCCTCGTTTTGATCGTTTCCTTGGAGCTCGAGCAGTGGATTCACGTGGACTGTCAGCTTTGCAAAGTGGCGGTCAGTTCCCAGCATGACATCGTAAGTGTATAGTAGCTCATTAGAGTTGATAATGCTCTCCAAGTAAGCTACGCGCATAGTGCCAATAGAAGGTTCAAGCTTGTAGTCGCTGCGCAGTCGCTCCTTGATAATGTCCAAATGAAGCTCGCCCATACCCGACATTAGCGTTTGGCCAGTCTCATCATCCGCTGTTACCACAAAGCTTGGATCCTCACGTTGCAAATGCTCCAGCGCTGTGTCGAGATCCTTTTGCTTAGCAGATGACTCGGCCTCAATTGAACACGTGAATACAGGCTTGGGAATTTGGACGCCTGGTAGCACAATAGGGTGGGTACCATCCTGACCACTTATCAAAGTGTCACCGGTGAACGTGTGCTTTAGACCCACAGCAGCACCAATATGGCCAGCCGAGATACTTTCTACAGCCTCCTGACCGTCCGCAGCAACATGCATAAGTCTTGTTATCCGTTCCTTCCTGCTATCACGTGACGTGTTTACCAATTGAGATTTGGCATTCAACACACCAGAATACACGCGGACGAATACCACAAGACCACGCTGCCGGTCGTGTTGAACCTTGAAGGCAAGTACACAAAGCGGCTCGCTTGAGGATGCCTTCATCTGAATCACTTTGTTCTCTTCAATATGACCACGACCACGGGTTTTCTTGCCGCCTTCAACGGTGTGAGCTTCAAATGGGGACAAATCCACAGGCGACGGCAAATAGTCTACCACAGCATCTAGTAGCGGTTGTACGCCCTTGTTCTTCAGTGCACTACCGCAAAGTGTAACAACGACTTTAGATGCCATGTCACGCTGCACCGTGATCCGACGAAGTGCTGCTTTTAGCGTGTCGTTATCGATCTCTTCTTCCATCAGAAAAAGTTCGCCGAGCTCGTCATCAAAATTAGAAGCACGTTCAATTAGCGTCTGACGTCCTGCAAGTGCTTCTGCATACAATTCCGCCATCTTTCCACCTGTAGACGACAACAAAGGCAATCGCTGAACCTGTTTACCTTCCGTGTCCACCCACTTAACCAATTGCATGTCCACTAAATCGAGTATGCCTTTAAAATCTGCTTCCTCTCCAACAGGTAGCTGTACACACAGCGTTTGCACTCCAAACCTGGCTTCAATGGACTCGCACGATCTATAAAAGCTCGATCCTTCACGATCCAACTTGTTCACAAAAGCAATACGCGGTACTTTGTATCTGTTTGCCTGTTCCCAGACCGTTTCCGTTTGGGCTTCCACGCCCGCAACGCCATCCAACACTGCAATAGCTCCATCCAGTACACGTAAAGCTCTTTCTACTTCAATAGTGAAGTCAACGTGACCAGGCGTATCAATTAAATTGATGTAATACTCACGCCATGGGAAGCTGATGGCAGCGGCCCCAATGGTGATGCCTCGCTCCCGTTCCTGAGGTAAAAAGTCCATCGTTGCATCGCCATCGTGTACTTCACCCATTTTTCGGATAGCTCCAGCATAAAATAGCATGCGCTCCGTTGTAGTAGTCTTACCAGCGTCGATATGCGCCAAAATGCCAATGTTCCGGATGGTGGCGATGCTTGCAGCGTCCTCCTGGGTGGAATTCTGATCCGTGAGAGCCACAGAAGAGCTGCATCGACGCACAAGATACTGGTACAATATATCGGACCTGCTAGACGATGACAAGGTCTTTCGGGATGGCAACAGCAGCACTGACGCACGACAGGAACGTAAGCTTAATTGACGCAACATTAACAAGTGGCTCAGGATTGTTGACAATTATTTATTTTCAACTTTTTATCAGTCTGCTATAGGATAGATTTTAATACTTTGTCCACGTAGATGAAAAGGCAAAGCAATTATTATTATTAATGTTGATTACGCTAATTCGTTGATAACAAGATGGCTACATGTATCAAACAAGCGCTTCAACGTCAAGTTCATGAATGTAAATCAAGAAATATCCATTCAGAGTATAATCACTCACTCACTGATAGCGAGGAAGTGTGTCGACAGGTCCGAACGAACACGAGCCAGGTTGGTAGCTCTTAATGTGAGTAGCCATCTGGGCTGTTGAGAGGCATGGGCAACAAGCAACCAATACGCAGTCAACCATGTTAGAGCCTGGAATCTCGAACTGATTGCGGATACGCTTGCGTAGAAGCCACAGAGCAGTAATAAAAGTTGCATGTATCAGAACTGCAACAACCACGAGCACGGTGTTGATCGCTGGTCGGCCCCCCGGCGCCACGGTGCCCGTGGTGGTGGTGGTGGCGTCCATGGTAGTGGGAGTCGTGGTCATGGTCGTGAGCGCCGTGGTAGTGTTCATCGTGATAGTGATGTCCGCCCCCATTTCGTCCGAGCATTTCCACTAAGACATACTGCACGACGGCAAGCACCAATACAAACAACTCGAGCGAGCATAGAATCCCAAACGACAACAGCGCAGTGCTAAACGGCAATAACCCCAGACGACTCGTGATCTGCGCGAGCGATACACAAGGGCACAAGGAGGCCATGAACGCATTCGGCACAAGGTTGTCGGAAATGGCAAAAAGATTGGTACTCCAGTGCCCAGTCGAAATGCCGAAAACATTGTCATCATCAATTTGCTTGTAGTTGCTAGGGTCGTCAATTTCTGGAGTGCAGGGTACAATCCTTTCGGGATTCAACGTGTTGTTCACCTGGATGGCGTATGGAGCTCCTAAAGTGTTTCTGGTGTTGGCAATTGTGGTCATTGTGGTGGTTGAAGTGTTAGTGGTAAAGCTGTAAAGCAAAAGTGAGTATGTCAGCAGCTCGGATCCATTGCCTGCTAAGGACGGTTAATCCTTGTATCATCCCACATGTGCTCAACGCGACAATACAGTGCGTTTGGCACTATCGCATGCTGGACTTAGTATGAATGGCTCGTTCTATGGACCTCTTCCATTATTCACTGGTATTAGTCACTTCAAAGTGTAACGAGCTGGCAAGTTTTGGGCTAAACGAACAATCAGTTTCATTGGTGGTCGCTGTCAGTTTCGTGTTAGTTGAGAAATAGCTAAGATACAGCGTGGTTTATTACAAATGCGATGAACACTATTCTCCAAGGCACCCTCCCTATGTGCAAGTATCACAGTCGCAAGATGTGGAATATGGCTCCATAACGATAGCTCAAGCAAATAAACCCGTTTTGAAGCCTATCGTTGTCGTGTTGATATTTATGTACTCTGCTTTATAAAATCTGAACGAGTCAGTAAGCGATTCCAGCATAGCATGGAATCCTAGGAGATTCACTGCAATCGGGTTGGTGCTACTGACATGCGCGCCGTAGAAAATCAAAACAATTTGCCATGTCGTCTTGAACAAATTTCTTTAATTAAAATGAATGTTAAATCTCACGAAGTGGCAAGGTGGTTTGTAGGAGCTGCAAAGCCGTATCTTGACGTACATTGCAAGGTGTGGGGTTGATGATACGAAAAAAGGTGAAGCTTACCAATTGTACAAACAAATGCTGTCACATCTTGGTCCGCATCAACTCATCCGCGTTTTTACATCCACACATCGGTACAATCTGCTGGCCGCCTAAGTCGAAAGCAAAGAAGACATCCTCGTTTTAGTGCTTGCCTTCAGTGGTGGTACGGGTAGCTTTTGACTGAGCCTATTCGTCCTAGCATACGCAAGCTTTGGTAAGTAAATATTTCAAGGTACTTCAACTAAAACTGAAGTCAAGGCCTTTCAGAAATGCTGCCTTTCATCTGTTGAGACCAAAAAGTTTCAAAACATCAGTTGAATATATTTTTTATCAGGCACAGTTACATTTGCCTTTGCAGCGCTACGCGAGTACCTTTACTATAATTAATTCTTTCGCACAATAAACGTCAATCCATCTATTTGGCGTTGTTATAATTCAAACGAAAGAGCACATCTTCCAGCTTGACATGTTGTTATCTAATGCACTTTTTAATGTTCACAAACCGGTGGATAGCTATGGCTGCAAAACGAAACCACGGCCGGCTTTGTCAAGTTCCAAATTTCAAAGACATCAACAGGGTTTTTACGCTCTTAACGGAGTCCTTTATTGTAGCGTCAAATAATAATTCAACTCTTTTGAGCTAATCATTTTTGGAGGGTTTATAAAAGCCTAGTTGAGTTGAGGTGTACCAAGGTTTCATGTAAATTAGGTACGTTGTGGAATCCATATGGTAAAACTGTACTCTGTATTGGACTTTTGCACCTAATCATTAGGTTTGCCCTCACCAATCGAGCCGCACCAATAGTAGAGAGGTATAAACCCTTCCAATCAGAGTTTAGCTCTGAATGAGACTCCAAGTTGTATAGCAACTATGTAACAGGGTTACACAAAGGTGTGTATTGTACACACACACCTGCCACACCATTGTGGTGTTGCTGTACCTTGGGTACAGTGGCAGGTTGATGTGACCGGACCTAATATAAGAAGGGTCGCATCGTGTCACTTGGTTAAGTTTGTGACTATACATGTTTACATATAATAGGCTACAGAGCCAGTAAATAGTGACTAGCACTAAGTATAGAGTAGGTGGTTCTATATTTAGTGTTAGAAGATTAACATAGATATAAACCAGTTTCAAATCGGCTCTATAAGCATCAATGCTTTGGCGTTCTATTCCTCCTGAGGAATTTGTATCTTTGATACTAGTCTCTCTGAGACCCGGTTGTAACAACCGATAGACGCGAGCTTACGAGCTAGCCTAAAAAGGTTAAGCACCCTAAAACGTAGAAGCTCTCTGAGCTTGTCTTCCTCTGCACATAGTGCATACGTAGCTTGGCTACAGTAGCTCGGCTACACCTGTTAGCACTTGTAGTCAATCCCGCACCTAGGTTTGCGACTACTTCTCTGTGTGAGAATGGACATCAATGAGATGTCAGCGGTTGGCCTGTCACAGGCGCAATAGGAAGGGTTCCAAAAGCTGCTCCTTATCCTTGGCCCTATGGCCGTGGAGTACCTCATCGCCCAGGGCGAAGAAGAGGTTAACAAGCGTATTCATATGCTTGATGAATATAATAAATCTCTAGTCGAGCATGTAAAGGCACAGATGCCTTCTTCTGCGCCTTCGCCCATGGCGACTATGGCGCAAGAAGTGGTCCGCAGACCAAAATCCATACAAATGGAAGTCGATAAGTTCGACGGCAAAGAAGGTGACAACCTTATGCTATGGTCCCGACAGGTTGAGTTGGCTATGAACATAGCCGACATCACCTATGAACCGTACCGTGTGGGCTTTGCCAAGGGCAACTTAGGTGGCTTAGCCAAACAGTGGGCATTCACATGCTGTGCATCACTGCAAGATGCATTTCCCAACCTGGACCTATCTGAAAGTTCAGATGACCCGACAGCATGCACCGACAAACCAAGCACACCGAAATCGATCGCGGTTTTTGGCGTGTCGCCAGGGCAAGCGTGAGCTTGCAACATATGTACAAGAGTTGAGAACTCTCATTGCTGCCATGATCATAGACCCAATGCCTGAGGCAGTGACCGTCACGGTCTTCATGGAAGGCCTCCGAGGTTGGCGTTATCAGAACGGAAGTCTTCCGGGCAGACCCGACATAATTTGAGGAAGCTGTTGGAGTGCATGGAATGCCGAGACCAACTTTTAGGCCGCTAGGCCTGCCACTTATAACTACTCATCTGATGGTCTGTCTGTACCCATGGACTGTAGCCAAGTAGAGGATGTAGAAGCTGAGCTTTGAGCTGTGTAGCAGCAACTGTGCGCAGATGGTATATATGCAAGAGAACAGGCCATTTGATGGCAAAATGCCCTGCAAGAATGACATATTTGGCCTCGAAGGGCCGACGCCCCTTGGGTAAAAACCTTCTGGTTTGCCGCGGTGAAACGGGCGCGAGGCGCCCAACGGAGGAAGAACTGAGTTCTGTTGAGCCTCTAGGAGGTAGAAGTAAACAGGGCTCAGCCCCAGTGATCCGAACTCTCAAAAACGGAACGAGAATGCAATCCAGGCTTGCTAGATGTCGATTCGGCTAATCTTCTGTGGCTTAGACCTTGACAGGGTCTTCCCGGATTTCTCGCTTCCCAATGAATCATCCCAAAAAGGAAATCTCTTCCGCGCCGAAGATGCATTTGTCAATATTGGCATACAACTTATGCATCCTCATACAACCGAGCACAGCTCGCAGGTGTTCAATGTGGTTCACATCAGTCTTGCCATTTTACGGCTCGACTATGGACGAATATATCGTCAAAGTATGTCTGTGCATACTCCCTATGGGGCCGAAACAACTGCGTTAATAGACGATTAAACGTTGCAGGTGCGTTAGAAAGCAACTACTCCCAGAGCATACCGCTCGGAGTGCTGACCGCTGTCAGCGGGATATCACTAGCTCGCATGAGCAGTTGGTAATATCCATCGACTAAGTCGAGGGCATTGTACATCGTACATCCCACCATATTGTTCTGAAGAACATTCTTGCGAGGAATCGGTGTTAGAGCCGGGATAGTGGCTGCATTCAGCTTACTGTAAGCATGTACTGCTCGCCACTTCCCATTAGGCTTGCTCACACAGAACGTGGGCGCAGAGTGACGAGACTTACTCTCACGCACCATGCCAGCCGCGTGCGTTGCACGAAAGAATTCGTCAATGACGTCACATTGTTCTTGTGGCAGCGGCCACTGTCGCGTCACACAATATGTGGTTCCTGGAACCAAGTCAATCTCATGACGTATACCTCTATGCGGAGGCAACCTCGTAGGAGGTTCGTTGGAGACAACATCACCATATTCCTTCAACAAAGGAAAATAAGGATCAGATGGACCCTTCAGGATCTGCGATCCACTACACGCATTCAGAGCCTTCTTGGTATCCTCAAGAACTGCTTTATCCAACAGCGATGAGGAGTTCAACTCCTCCTCAGGTCGTGTAACGACCACTTCGGCGATGTCGCCTGCCTGTAAGACAATGCAAACTCAGCAAAGTACAACTCGTCCAGCTCTAGCCGAGCAATTACTGCAAGCATAGCTGAAAGATCCACCGGCTCTTCAACATACCTAGACAAAACATTGACGAGTGTATATAGCTGTTCGCTATCACCGTCACTCACGATATTGTCATCGCTACTCATAATGCTCTCAGCATCCGATGCATAAGCGTCCACACGTGTACACACTTCAAGGCTAAAGACCACTTAGCTTACTGACTTCACCCCACCCTCTTCGGTCAATGCCTCGTCATGAGGTGATTGCACCTCGTTGTTATTACAAACAATCGTCATTTTTTACTTCACCCGACCCTCTTGGGCCAGTACCTCGTCACTAGGTGCTTGCACCTCGTTATCCTTAAAGATAACATCCATTTGTGACTTCACCCGGCCCTCCAGGGTCAGTTCCTCGTCCCCCATGTTACTTGGACTCATGTCCTGACACCTTGGCTTGCAGCCACCAACACCACTCACGTTGTTTAATGATGTAACATCATTCTCATGACACATGTCATATGTGCCATCTAGAGGGTTCTCAACCACAATATCGACATTCATTGGGCCTCGCCCAGGACTATTGTCCTCGACACTTACAGTGTCGAAAAAGTCGGATATTCCGACATCCAACATACTGGCGACTCGGTCCAATATCCGCGCCAAAAGCGACTTTTGCTTCCTAGCAGAAATGGGTTCATGTGAACCCACTTCTGATCCCCACCAGAAGCATTGCGCGTTGCGCCTAAGGTCTTCGATTTCCAATCAATCATGGCTCATGACGTTCTAGCCATGCCATGCCTAAAATGAGGTCATGCCTCGCATCCAGGTCTAAGACCAAACAGCGCTCCATGCTGTTAAAGTCCAAGAACTTCACATTTACGTCCATCTGGACTTTGGGTAGCGTAACACGCGTACCGTCGCTAAGCGAACTGTGACTGTGTCACTTTCAGGTGCTACAAGCGCTTCAGCATACTGCTGACTACCTTCCACGGTGGCACGGCGCACATAATTGCCCGTCGAATCGATCAAAATGATCCATGGCTTATCATAGCCCTTAATCGTCCCATCGACGACTAGCAAGCCTGGCTTGCATTCTCGTTCCGTTTTTGAGAGTTCGGATCACTGGGGCTGGGCCCTGTTTACTTCTACCTCCTAGAGGCTCAACAGAACTCAGTTCTTCCCCAGTAGGGCGCCCCGCGCCTACGGGTCGCCGTTTCACCGCGGCAAACCAGAAGGTTTTTACCCAAGGGGCGTCGGCCCTTCGAGGCCAAATATGTCATTCTTGCAGGGCATTTTGCCATCAAATGGCCTGTTCTCTTGCATATATACCATCTGCGCACAGTTGCTGCTACACAGCTCAAAGCTCAGCTTCTACATCCTCCACTTGGCTACAGTCCATGGGTACAGACAGACCATCAGACGAGTAGTAGTTATAAGTGGCAGGTCTAGCGGCATAAAAGTTGGTCTCGGCATTCCATGCCACTCCAACAGATTCCTCAAATTATGTCGGGTCTGCCCGGAAGACTTCCGTTCTGATAAAGCCAACCTCGGAGGCCCTCCATGAAGACCGTGACGGTCACTGCCTCAGGCATTGGGTCTATGATCATGGCAGCAATGAGAGTTCTCAACTCTTGTACATATGTTGCAAGCTCACGCTTGCCCTGGCGACACGCCAAAAACCGCGATCGATTTCGGTGTGCTTGGTTTGTCGGTGCATGCTGTCGGGTCATCTGAACTTTCAGATAGGTCCAGGTTGGGAATGCATCTTGCAGTGATGCACAGCATGTGAATGCCCACTGTTTGGCTAAGCCACCTAAGTTGCCCTTGGCAAAGCCCACACGATACGGTTCATAGGTGATGTCGGCTATGTTCATAGCCGACTCAACCTGTCGGGACCAAAGCATAAGGTTGTCACCTTCTTTGCCGTCGAACTTATCGACTTCCATTTGTATGGATTTTGGTCTGCGGACCACTTCTTGCGCCATAGTCGCCATGGGCGAAGGCGCAGAAGAAGGCATCTGTGCCTTTACATGCTCGACTAGAGATTTATTATTTTCATCAAGCATATGAATACGCTTGTTAACCTCTTTTTCGCCCTGGGCGATGAGGTACTCCACGGCCTTAGGGCCAAGGATAGGGAGCAGCTTCTGGAACCCTTCCTGTTGTGCCTGTGACAGGCCAACCGCTGACATCTTATTGATGTCCATTCTCACGCAGAGAAGTAGTCGCAAACCTAGGTGCGGGATTGACTACAAGTGCTAACAGGTGTAGCCGAGCTACTGTAGCCAAGCTACGTATGCACTATGTGCAGAGGAAGACAAGCTCAGAGAGCTTCTACGTTTTAGGGTGCTTAACCTTCTTAGGCTAGCTCGTAAGCTCGCGTCTATCGGTTGTTACAACCGGGTCTCAGAGAGACTAGTATCAAAGATACAAATTCCTCAGGAGGAATAGAACGCCAAAGCATTGATGCTTATAGAGCCGATTTGAAACTGGTTTATATCTATGTTTATCTTCTAACACTAAATATAGAACCACCTACTCTATACTTAGTGCTAGTCACTATTTACTGGCTCTGTAGCCTATTATTATTATGCAAACATGCGTAGTCACTATACTTAAATAAGTAAAGTGACCCGCGACCCTTCGTACTTCAGGTACGGTCACATCACCTACTTTTGTACCCAATGTACAGCCACACTACATTGTGGTGGCAGGTGTGTATGTACAATTGTAATCCCGTTACAATCGCTGCAAAGACGAAACGCTCGTCCTGCTTGATTGCGTTAAATTTTTGGTCACCTGCAATCTCATCTAAGATTGCAACCCTTTCGTAATCTCATTTTACAAAATGATAGGCTATATTATTATATTGTGGGGGTCCGTGAAGTGTCACATGATGCCACATAGATTGCTTGTGACCGAGCTTATCGTAGAAAAAGTAGCGGTAATCGAGTGTATAAGCTGACCATGACGACGTACAGTAGTGCTAGTATATGGGTATATGCGTAAGTATAAGATTAAAAATAGACGAACAGGATGACGTATCATATCCGTCAAGAGCATTTCCTATAATAGGCTAAAAAGGGTTTGTGTTAATAAATGCGAATCGAATACCTTTTATCTTTTGTAATTGGATAAATGTGTTTCTTATAATAGGTACTGATGTATGTGGTCTTTGATACTGCTACATCCAAAACCTGTTGTATATAATAACAATATACCAATTTATCGATAGCATTTTTACACCAGCTTTGAATTTTAAACAGCATTCAGGACTTTAGACTTAGAATTTGTCTTGATCATGGCGACACTATTAGACACAACAATGGAAGTGTCAAAGCCTGAAGTATCTACAATTGCTTATCATGATAATGACAACTATATGTGTATACAAGATGTTGAAGCAGGTGAGACTGATGTACCTGAAGACGAGGAAGATGATAAAGACGACGACGATGCGGACTTTCGGTTTGATGCACCGTCTTACTACGACCTGAAGAATCCAGCGCTTGAACAGCGTTACGTTAATAATGCCGATGGTTATTTCTCATCTCCTGTACCATCTACTAGTACGTTTTATACAGAGTCATCTGTATCTAGTTGTGGACGAGATAGTAAGAATAGTTACAGTATTACGGAGAGTAGTGATACATTGAGGAAGACATACGATAATAGCCAGAGTATAGAGGTTAGTATGGAAGAGAAGACAAGTATAAGTATGCTGGATACAACAATGATCACACCTGAAGAGGAAGAAATGGTTGAAGATATTGACCAGGTATTGAATCGAAGTAATCTGTTGGAAGACAAAGAGGAAAGCTTTGAGGAAGTGTTTCGACATTATGCATCGTCGTCACAGTCTTCAGCTACGTCATCCTACTTGCTGCATGAGCTGGATACATCGACGCACAGCTCTGTACATGGTCGTTTGTCTGCTTACAGCTCACAGACGTCGTTGCCAGCAGCAGCAACGCTGAGAATTAAAGGGACGATGACTGAACCGAGAGAAGATAATGAAGTGCAGGTTTTGAAATTGGATAAACACAGGTTTACTGGAGATGGTGGCTTGTCCAAGTTGATGCAACCGACGCAGTCGTATATGAGACGACTACAGGCAGAACAGAGGATGAGGCAACAGAGCTATACGGAGGAAATTCCCGTTGAGAAGAAATTGCATCGTATTACACGACCTCAAAGTCCAAAATTGCATCTAAAGACGCGAGCTACAGATCCAAATGATCCATCAAGGATGAGCAGTACGAGTCGGGAGTTGCTGAAAATTCAGGAGGAGCGACTGCATTTACAATTGGAGAAACTTAAGATCCGAGAGTTTCATGAGAAAACAAAAGTGCAGCGACCGCCGAGTAATGTTCATCAGCGGTCGACAAAGCAACTTACGATTCCACAAACGCCACACTTTGAGGTGGACGTTCGCGCAAGACGAACACATGGTGAAAGCAATAGAAGCGTGGTCGGACAAGATAAAATGAGTCCGCCTATTGCAGCAGAAAAGTTGCTGTCCCGAGATTTTGCTCTTCCAACGTTACCGCATTTTCGAGAGAACCGGTCAGCTTTGACGGTGAGACAGCGAGAGCGATAATTGCGTTTTACTCAACGGCTAATATGTATGTGTTGTTACTACGTTGTCATTATACAGACACCTCATGCTCCGCAACTCCATACAGCGGCACGAGCTGATCAACGTTTGCCACCAGCCGCTGCGTCGCATGAGCAGACGAAATCAGCGGAAGGTCATACTCGCCCAAAATTTGGTGGGCTTACCCAGGTATGTTTGCGTAAAAAGTGTTTTGCTGTCTCAACTGCCGAACCTAACGTAGCAAAACCATACGTCATGTAACAGCCAATGACCCCGCAACTGGAAACAAGTCGAAGAGCAGCGATGCACCGCCGACCGCTTGAGGTTATCGATGACGACGCCGAAGAAATGGCCAAGAAGTTTCAAGCTCGTCCATTGAACAAACACATTTTGGAACCAAAATCGTACCCTCGCTATTCTCCTGCAAATTCGGACAGCAAGTCTCGATTGACCCAACCGATGGCCCCAAAGTTACCGGCGAGTACGCGTTCAGCCACCCATTTACGATTCTCTCAACGATCTAATTCTGTTGCTACTGAAATGGAACGCCGCCGTAAAGAGCGCGAGCAGCTACTAAAAGCACGCCAAGCAGGTCCCACTGCTCAGCAGAAGTCGGTGCGCGCGCTTGCTCGCCGGCCTCTGATTCCTGAAACTCCTCCGCTAAAAAGTATCCAGCGTCATCGAGAGTATCAGGAAAATTTCCGTCGCAAGATTGATGCTGAAGAGGAGGAAACGGTAAAACAACGTCAATTTAGAGCTAATCCTATGCGCGTGACGGCAACGCCTCCGAGGTTTGAGGGCTCGACAAAGCCAGTCACTGAGGTGAAACCATTTGAGCTGCCTGGAGAGCGCTATTACGAACAAGCCCGAGAGCGCGTGGAGCAAAAACGTCGGGAGGAAGAAGCGCAGTGTCTAAAGTCGTCAGGCATTTTTCGTGCAAAACCCATGCCGGTGTTTGAGTCCAATAGTGTCCACATCGTGTCCAGCGCGAAACCTCTTACTCAGACTGAGTCTCCTATGTTGGCAACGAAAACTCGGGCTACGGAGCGAGCTGCTTTTGAAGCCGCTGAAAAGGAGCGTCGCGAACGAGAACAAGCATTTCGTGAAGAGCGAGAGCAACAAGAGCGGCAACTAGAGGAAGAAGAGATCAGACGTTTACGTCGAAAGGAAATGATATTTCACGCACGGCCCGTTCCGGAGTTGACATCATCCCAGGTGACGCAGGAGACCAAGCCCTTGGCTGAAGCGGTTAGTCCGGCTAAGCGCTCCTAGCTTTGCGATGCCTAAGTGTCGTGATATACGTAGCGAAGAGAGAACGCACGATTCTGACAAAACACAAAGGCAAGGCAGGCAGCGATGTGGAGTAGCTTGCTTGTACGTTACTCCCATGTTACGAGCGAGCATACGCCCATGTAACCTTACAAACCTGCTCGTTTGAGAAACGATCAATTTGCAAGCACCAGCGAAAGTGTAGATACAAGAGCTGGCGATTCTTTGTAAACGTGAGTGGTGGCTTGTCCTCATTCTGCCTTTTTTCTAATTCGACAAACAGGACAAGCATAGGCATGAAAATGTGGAAGTTATACATGATGCTGTTTCTTATGCTGTCGAAGCTGATCAAAAGCTGTGCTAACAGTGGAATCGTGGAGATGTTCTCGCCGTTCATTGACTTGGAAGCATTAGCAGAAGAAGCAGCAAAAGGCAATGTTGCTGCTCAACCTGTTGACACTTCATACCCATTAGCTTCAGTGGAATCGAATGCATTAATGCAAATATATCGTGATTGTCGCTCTCAACAATCTACAGGGTTGCGCACATGGTGTATTGGCAATAACGAGAACGTGTTCTCGGATGAAGATAGCCATGAACCGTGTCCGCGGGGAATATTGACTGATCCATGTACAGGTCGTGTGCTTCATTCCAACAGAAGTGCAAATATAGATGATGTCGAGTTTTTGTGGCCGTGGAAAGGAATACGGTGTGACCCATACACGGAACCAACTACGGTGACACACATGTACGTTCCATTAACTTGATGTTCTATGCCACGTTGAGTTTGGCAGTGTTCACGTCGTAAATGTAGTTACCTTCCACGTGAGAGCTTGAAGTGTGAGATAGCCAAGGTTGATCTTAGCGTCATGGTATCACTAGAGCAACTGTAAGTTGTATATCACAGCTCAACATTATGAGCAACGAAGTAATCCGAATGCGGTTGTTGTTGGGGTGCTGACGATAGGGATCTATCATACAATCAGCTTTATGGAGAGTTGCCAGCGTGGCTAGGCGATATGACAGTGCTACGACTATTAAATGTTGCGGAGAATAATCTCACAGGAGACATTCCAACGTCTTTTGCTGGCAATGATGCCCTCGAGCTCATGTAAAGTCGTCATTTTCATGTGATCAGCCACAACACTAACTAATTAGCTTTGTGTATACAGAATCTTTTCCGGAAATGGTCTCTCCGCGTCAACAGTCCATTTTTTCGACGCGTTCCATCGTCTCCAATACCTGTACGTATGCTTATAGCTCGATGAAATGAATGAGCGAGGGTTCACGAATGTCAAACTTGTTGTACATTGGAACAGTGACCTCTCGTCTAACAAGTTTGCGATCGAGCTATCAAGAACCTTGTTTTCAAGTCCATTTTTGCGAACGATGTGCGAAACCTCAAGTCTCGTGTTTCTTTCTTTTGCGTGTGTGTCCAATGACGGTCTTTGTATTTGTTAGAAACCTTAGCCACAATGCATTCTACGGACAGTTCATCCAGTTGCCCATTCTCCACTTCCTTGAGACGTTGTAAGATGGTTTTCTGTGAGATGTTACTGGATCACGACCATTCATTTTGTATGACTGACAATGTACGTGCTGGTTTGTATGCAGTGATGTGTCCTCGAATTTACTCATGGGTTCTGTTCCGTTGCAAATTTCGTCATGGGGACGCGAGGACCCACATGATCCGGATGAGATCTCTTCACTAATCACGCTGTATGTACAATCTTCTACCAGCATTTTTCGCCTTTCTGGGCATAGTGTGCTTACTTGCGTTTATCGTTTTATTCTCAGCAACTTGTCCAACAATTTCTTCACGGGTACCCTGCCTTTGCTATCGAACCAGTCAGTGTTGCAACAATTGTAAGTTGAATACCTTACCCACGTACTAAGAAGAAAACCCCACAAATTTTCGTTGCTTACTCCTGCAATTTGTTCAGGGATGTTCATAATAATTTGTTCAGTGGCGTCCTTCCCGACTTTCCTTCTTCATTGTAAGCATGTTTGTTATTCCGATATGAGCAACAAACCTAATGGTTATTTGTGCATTACGTAGACTCGACTTCATCAAGCCTTCCATGTTTGACGGAAATGCATTTCTGTGTCCAATGCCTACTGCGCTACTACCGAGTAACCTCACGTGTGTTTGCGGCGATGGACATACCATCACGTCGGATATTGTTGAATCATCGAGGCACGACAAAGGTGCCAAACGAGTGTTTGCCAACCAAGCTATCGATCTTTGTGTTCCATGTGGTGAAGGCTTGTTCTCCAACGCAACAACAAATCATAAGTGCGTTGCGTGTCCCGTGGGAGCCGTGCCGAGTAGCAAGGGTTACTATTGCAAACCTTGTCTTCCTGGCAGCTTTTCCAATGCAAGTGGCACACAATTTTGCTCACCATGTTCTCCAGGAACATTTGCAGCTGGCAATGGTACGACATCGTGTAGTGCATGCAACCCAGGACAATTTGCAGCAAAACAAGGCTGGACAAAGTGTCTTGAGTGTCCTGTAGGAACCTTCTCTAGATCAAAAGGAGAGACAGTGTGCACACCATGCCCAGCAGGAACTTATGCGAGTGCTCAAGGAGAAGCGGAATGTCTGATGTGCTCGAAAGGAACGTATCAAGATGTGGCTGGATCGACGGAGTGCAAGGCTTGCCCACGTGGATATATTGCGCCTCACCATGGTCATGTAAAATGCTTGCCATGCTCCCCAGGCAGTTTTTACGACACTATTCGCATCACATGTACGCTTTGCCGTCCAGGCACATTCACCGGGACACCGGCGCAAACTGAGTGCATCAAGTGCGATAATGGCACCGTTGCGGAGGGCTATGGGAATGACAAATGTCTTCATGTAGCAAGCCCCGGATTCGGATATTCAGTTACGGGGACTGCACTGAAGTGTGAGCCTGGAACATATAACGATGGTGCATGGAGAACTTGTCAGCCGTGCCCACGAGGGACATTTGCAGCCGGCATTGGTTCTCGAATGTGCTTATCGTGTGCCAAAGGCAGCTTTGCATTCAACAAAGGATCATCATACTGTGCTATGGCTCCTTCTGGCTCGTTCGTTCCATTGGAAGGTGCAGTTCGAGCAGAATTGTGTCCACCAAACCACATTACCGCTACAACTGGATCCATAACGTGCATTCAGTGCACACTGCCATCATTTAGCTTTTTGCCTGGTGGTACTAGATGCATTCATGCTAAGCTTGGAGAAGCATACGAGCACGTGAAATGGCCTCGCTTAGTTCTCGACTTGGTCGGTGTTGAGCAACACGAATTGCTAACGAAACGTGGAGAGAGTCTACCACTTGATGTACTGATTCAGACTTGGACTGATACATTAACAAACTCTTTGGGTTTCACTTGTAACCTACACGTGTTACAAGTCCATCAACCTCCGGAGTCCAGTAGTTTCACAAAGATCATTGTAGCTGTGGAGATGGAAACAACGTTATTATCGCCCATGACAGATCTCGATCCTAGATTGGTTATGAAAGGAGGTAGGGATGATCAAGATCGAGCTACGAAGACTGTTATAAATGCATTGGATGAGTTATTGAATGAATTCAATGGATCAAATGACGATGGCAAAGAATTCGATGGTGATCAAGTGATGACTGATCTTATAAGTTTACAGTCCTTTCAAGATACTTTAGTCCGACAATGGCATCACATGGAGTCTGTCACATCTCAAATGAGTTCATTGAATCTGGTCAACATTTCAATTGACAACGTGCCATTTGTGTCAACTCGCGCAGTGGCGTGTAGAGCAGGAACTTTTTCTATTGTCCTTGATACATCCGAGAGAACGTGTCAAGCGTGTCCTAAGGGGTTTTACTCATTTACTACTGGTGCTTTAGAGTGTACACCATGTCCTCAAGGAACTTATTCAGCAGCTACAGGATCAACAATATGCAACTTATGTCCATCAGGTGCTGATGCAGCACCAGGTGCTCATGCTTGTGTGGAATGTTTATGGTTCACATATGCATGTCAAGGCTTTTGGCAAGATTTAATGATTGCTAGTGGAATTACTATTGGTCTCATTTGGATACTGTACAACAAAATACATCGAATATGTATGGGCAATGGAGCTCAGCAAGAACAAGACGATGAGAGGATGATAGCATTAATGACAGCTGTTCGGACTCATGGTCGTACTTTAGATCGTGTCCGGTATGCCCCAATGGTGCGTATAGATCGATTTATCCATACTTTTTGTAAGATAACGAAGTAGCGATGGAATGGCTAGGACTTAAAACTCTTGTCGAAACGTTTTCATTTTACAGGGTGAGATTTCAGCTGATACAATGTTTGGGATTCTACTTCCTATTCTTCCAAATCCTGAAACCCCCTGATCGATAAAAACAAAGGTGCCAACCTACTTCAACTTGCAGCACTTGTACAAGAGACTGAGTATTTCATATCTATATTACTACCATCAATGTAACGCTGCAACATGTATTATCATTTGTACCACACACAAAACAACATGAGTTTTCCAAGTTTCTTTCTTCTCATAACAACAAGGTTAAGCCAGCCAGCTAGACAATCAATCAACCAACCGTCTCTTTATTTGCGTCTGGTCAGACGTCATTTACATCTCTCTCCTTGGACTGCTACTATGTACATGACCAGTAAATGATTCGACAGTTATTTTTTGCAATCATAAAATAAGGATCAGCTTGAAGAATATATAGAGCTTTACAGTCAGTTTAACAAGCTCGATCGAACCAGACAGAACACATATACATACATTGCTTCTAAATCTGAGATTACTACTACAGTGTGACTGACTATATTACGGCGTCGCATTGGGTTTAGGACGAATTAGCCGTAGAATAACGACACGTCAACACGCTTTTTTTTGTGATCGGACCTTTCTGAAATCTGCAGACCCGCAAAGAAAACCCTTCTTTCTGACCAGTCAGCAATTAGCACGAAAAAGTAAAGGACAACGTACGGCGCTTGTACTGATATCCGATCGATCAGCCCCTGTCGCTTTAAGGTAGTGTGAGTGACGTGCACCTTTCTTTCCCTGGCCATGTTAGGGACACAGGCAGCGGGTAACAACAATTGGGGGAAATCGTTCGGTCAGCGTGCAGAGATGGATAGCGTACCACTTTTTGAGCGTGAGCACCGCAATGACAGTCAGTTAGTACAGCGTTTGCAGAACGAGTTAGCCGATGCCAAGCGTTTTGTAGAGGCACAAGCACGACGCCAGAACGATCTTGAATATGTGAATGAGGATCTAGAGCGACGTTTAGAGCAAGAAGCGCTTGATCGCATTGCATTGGATTCACAGAAAGCCGAAGATGAAAAGTACGTTTGTGGCCCTGTCGCTTTAAGTGATTGTAGTGTATTATTTTGTTTCGATGATTGTTTTTTTTGTTTCATTCTATCACTTATGAAAGTCAATTCTAATGTCTTATTATTTGATATGAAAGACGATGGCAAGAGGAAAAAGCAGCACTGCAGAAACAACTTGAATCATGGGAAGCTCGTTTTGAAGAAGAAACACGACGTCGTGCTATGGCTGAAGAACGTCTTCGTCGAGCTGAGAAGGAACTCTATCGGATGCATCAAAAGAAATATGATATTGAGAAACAAGTTCGTCGTGAAGAGAATGAGAAGCGCAAGCATGAGGCGGTGATTGTGCGCACTCTCCAGTCGGACTCACAACGTGCGCAACAGAGCGCTGCCAATGGGGTTTTGGACCCAACAGTAAACCCAAAAGATACCAAGCCGGCAGCAGTCCGCACAAGACAGGCACTGTCTTCTGCTATGGATTTCCTGGGCGTCTGAGAAAGAGACAGAGAGAGATGATCATACACTGCTATATTGGATAGTGGCTTTCGGAAGCAAAGGGCTTGCAGCTGCTAGAATGAAAGTGTCTGGTTGAGACGCACTGGCCGAGGAGTTTCATCAATGGACTGCAGGTTGGTTAATGATGATGCAGCAAGGGATGAGAGATATTAAGTAGCGGAAGAACTAACCGAAGACAGGATGGCGCGTGTATCATATATGAACAGGACATGATGGAATTGGTTAGCCACACATGCATTAAAATTGCTGTTTTGGACCAGTCTCTAACGTTCTTTATCCGGAAAGTGTATACGTCAAAACTTTAGAAACGACGACCATAAACTGACCGTTTCAAACTGCAACGTACACTTTTCATCATGGCTACATTGATGATTACAAGAGAGTTAGTAGCTACTGGGAAAGTCGACGACGCTTTATGTCGTGCTGTCAATGTAATGCAAAACAGGTCAGAAAGCTCAATCAAGAGTGGGATGTGATAAAGTGATTCATGGCTATGATCATGTTCTTGCAGAAAGAACCACAGACGCACAGACCACAAAGTGTTGTAGCCCATGGGAAGTAGTAGTGAGTAATCAACAGGTCTTTTTGCGCTCCTTTACGGTTACTTGGTCCCTAAGTTTCAGTCTTGAGCCCAGATGCCGCTCATGACGACATCCTCTATGCCGTTTTGTCGCTTGCAATAGCCAGCTGGACAATAACAAGGTCATTGCGTGAGACTGGTACACGCGAATATGTATGCGACCTTTACCACACATAACAATTCAAAACGTGCAGGACTTGTTCATTGTCCAAACCATTTGAATCTCGTTGTATCATTTGTAGCCCAATGCCGCTTGTTGACAACATTATTCCAGAACCACTAAGCAACGCCTCGACATTTGTGCTTAGTTCAAACCAAAGCCAAAAGGAGCCAGAGTCGACTACAACAAACACGCAACTTGAGCAAGGTGGTGTGCAGAAAGTCGTAGCAGATGTATCGTCCAGACGAGCATGCGACAGTAGCTCTTTGTTAAGCAATGGCATGCCAGGGCGTCAGTATCGAAACGGACAGGACGAGATGGTGCAGTTTAAAGGTCTTTACATCGTCCGCGGTCCCACTGAGCCCAAGCATGTGCGCTATACGATGGAAATTGCGGTTGCTGAGCTAAAACTACGAGGGCGCTGCATCCAGCGGTTCAACAGCTTTTTTCAACTACGCAAGTGCCTTCTTGAGGTGCTTAAGACTTGTCGAGGTCGTCTTCTTATTCGGAAGAACACGCTACCTCGAGTTGACAACGAGCCGCTAATGTTGGCCGGTGCAGAGCTGATGAAAATACTTACGCGTCCTCGAGGTATTCAATGCTCTGAGTGCAAGTCGACGTTTGATCAGCTCGCTGCCGTTAACTTTCCACGTCGCACATTATTCCCCCCCGAGTCTCCAAGATATTCACGAGAGATCTAAAATGCTCGAGACGTTCCTTGACTACTGCGTATGCATTGCCACAACGTGGCCTGCTTGTCAGCGGAGCAAACGGTTGTTTACCACGGCGTTGAGCAAGTTTCTTGGAATGGATATGAAGACATACCTTGATACTCAAAAGGAAGCAAAGACCGTGTCGGAAGCCCCTACTGTCTTCAATGCCAATGTTCACGACGATGACGAGCAGCCGAATGATGGAGACAAGTCCGAACTGACGAGCGAAATGATGTCTCAACCGTCTTCACGTGAAATGGACGAGAACGTTCAATTGAGCAATTGCAACGACGATTGTCACTCGGAACCAAACTTTTCGTTCATTTCGAATCCATCCAAGGGAGACAAAAGAGATGCAAGTATGATGCGTTCCAAGTCACATTGTTAAACAAACATGTGTACATGACTGAGGCGAGTCAGTCTTGTAGTTCTGCGTCCAGTTTTTTTGATCATTTCAATACATTTGAATACAAGAAACACTGATCTTTCAAAGTTAGTCGAGACCATGAATAGTATTGAATCATTAGCGCAACGTATCCACAGTGATGGGTTCGTCGTCTTGTCTAACGAGCGATATCAAGTCGCCAAGTCGCTCGTAACACTTGTACGAACTCAAGTGCTTACTTTATATGAAGAATATCTGACCAAAGCTAATACCCAGCAGCTTGATTTGAAACGTCGTGACCATGCTGAACGTCTTCCAGGTTTTTATGTGCGTGAAGGTGGTCGAATCGACATGCAGTTGCAAAGCTTTTCATTTCAAACTCACGTCGTCGAGACAATCAACTCTGTTGATCGATATCTACTGAACAACATGCTTGCAACGTGGGAGTCAATTCTTACGGAGCTCTTTGCACCTAATTCGTTTCAACTCGAGTATATTGGTTGTGTCCTTTCACGACCAGGAGATGGGGATCAGAATTGGCACTTAGATGGAGTCCATCGTAACCAAAGTGTCCAGGAACCTGGTAAGCTCTTTCATGTAGTAAGAAGTTGTTGACGAGGTTTACTTATTGTTATGACGTTGTTACTTTTGAGTGGACTTAGTCAATCGTCTTAATGTCTTTGTGCCGTTGGTGGCCATTACGGACCAAACTGGAGGTACTGAAATGAAGATCAGGTCGCATCTCCATGATCATGGAGCTCGTGGAACGGCTTTTGAAGACTACAAGGACTTGCCAAGTGTTACAGCGTGTGTGGAAGCGGGGACACCAATTATAATGGACTACCGCGTATGGCACCGTGGTTTAGCGAATACGAGTGAGAACACTGTGCGTCCTCTGCTCTATTTCAAATACTCCAGGATGACAGCATCTCTGGTGATCAAGACTCCAGCGACTTGTACAAAGAAGAGAAAGAGAATCATTCCAATGGTAGTATAAATGATCGTAAGACAATTCAGTGTCTACTTCGAGGCACTCGAGCTTTCAAGCAATGACACAATGGTGTCAAAGGTTAACAGCTCGTCCGACGAAAATGCAGCTTGCATTCGAAGCTTCGTTACGCGCTCATATAGTACAACTCCATGTTCTTCAGTAAGCAGCGATGAGGTTGTGAATGCGTCGTAGCTCAGGAGATGACCCCAAATTACTGGAGACGCTTCTGTGAGAAGTGTCTGCGCAAAAAGCTGACGCGCAGAGCTAAGAGTATTCTTGTCTCCCTCTGCAAACAAGTAGACAACGAGATAGTGAATGGCTAACGAGTAAGCAAAAGCTCCCCAAGCAACAGATACTTGATCAGTGCATACCGCTTGTTGCATGAGCTGCAACAGCTTGGAATCAACGGCGAGCGTTGTGGTACGTCGAATGCACCGCATGAACAATTTTGAGCTACAGCCCTCGAAAGGTGCCAGTGTATGGAGCAAATGGGACTCCTGAAGCTCCTTCCAAACATATTGTCGCACCTCTAGAGAAAAATCGCGAGTCATCAGCAACGTCACGCAGTGAGCAAAGTGCGGGTTGCCAAAAGACGAAGCCGTAAATTCACCTACAAGCTTTTCCACGAAAGTCAGCACTTGCTGCTCATCCGACGAATATGATACTCCATTTTGACTCAGAGGCGGTTCTGTTGCCATTCCAAACTCGAGGCTTCGGACACGTTTGAGGTTTCGGAGAATGCCTTCGTAGAACACTCGCGAGTCTTCTGGAGAGCGCAAAAGTGGTTGCACGAGTTTAGGAAGCAGTTGACGGAGTGCTGCGTCTACGTGATCGTCGAAGAGAACGTCGCTACCGGCAAAGAATGCGTGCAATAAATGGAAGAGTTTATCCTCGGGGCGCAATGTTGCAATGGCAGAAATGGATGACATCTGCGGCACTAGTCGCTCGAACTCAAACAAAAAACGACACGTAGCGCTCACTATTAGCTTCATCTCGTCACTCTGCGCCCGCGTCGGACCAACACTTGATGGCGGCTTGCCATCTCCACTCTTGCTGTAGTCGATACGTGAAAGAGGACACACCATCCAAAAATTTGGCAACGGAAGGCTACTGGGAACAAATGTTTGCTCCTCTTGCGGAAGGCGCAAATGATACGAGAATTTAGTAGTTGAACTAGTGAAGACTTGAGCAGAGTGTGCTTCTTGCTCATGACTAGTGTTCACGAGAGCCTGGTAAATGGGAATCAGCACGCGGCTCATGCGTATTGCGTCAGCTTCTTCATTGAATACGCCAAGTACCAGAAGTACGCGCTGGTGAAACAACACTCCGGCAAACAAACGCGCAACCAAGTATTCCCCTCCGCCACCGACACGCTCCACATTGATCAGGGCCAGGCGGTAAACTTTCTGCACAAACTCCGCATCAACGTTTGGGATGCCATTTTGACCGGCATCAATAAGATTGCCCAACAGACATGTAAGCTCGCACGCTTGAATCAAAGCGAGGCTGAACCTGGAAGAAGATGAAGCAGCAGCAGAAGTTGCTGCAGCAAGCAAAGGAGCTTTTATTACGCGTGAAAATGTCTGCACGACCTCTTCATCATCCATGTCATCAGACAGCAAGCCGTTGGCAACAATTTGTCGATGGACATGAACTATTGCCAGCAGCAGCTCCCGCTTTGCCGCACCATCACTTAGCTGAGGTAGTACTTTCCGTGTCATCTCGCGTGACTGAACCAGTTGCAATACTTCTGTCAGACCACTAGTCTCCAAGTTATACTTGGTTACATGGGCGCTGGCAGCGGCGATGAATCTTAATACCGTCGAGAGAAGCACGACAGCCTTGACGTCATTCAACCAAGACGATGAATGGATAACTCGGATAGCCTCATCCTTCGCTGCATCCAGAAAGAAGTTCAACTGGTTGAAGTAATGCTGTGCCTCGTGCAAAGCTTCGAGTCCACAAAAGGCTTCCAATACAGCAAAGAGAGCCGATTTTCGTGATACTGAGGCATCGGCGGTGTTCTGCGTGAATCCCGACAGGACGGGAAACAGGTACGCAAAACAGTGGAAGTCGAGACCATACCCGAGAAGAATGCGCCAGATACGGAGGCTTTCAATTTGCATCTCAGCAAACAGCGCAGAAGATTCCTCGTTGTCCGTGCCAGTAGGAATTTCGTTAAGCGCTAGAAAACCCTTAGTGCTCTGAATTAGTCCGCTTTTAACAAAAGCAGAAGCTATACTACGTTTTCCCTGACAAAGTGCACGGACAAATTGTAAGGCTTTCAAAGATAACCGCAGCCACCGAGCATTGTCCTCTTGAAAAGTCAACACCTGTTCGTTCTCAATGTACTGCTGCAATGTCTTGATAAGTCTTGCGTTTGAGCTGATCTCGTGGGCAGCACGTGGCGAATGGCGAGCCACTGCAATCAAGATCTCCAGCATTTTTTCAATGGCACATTGATCCGGAAGTCGAATAGTCTCGAGAATGTACCACAGCCGTGTGCCAAGGTCCAACTTAAGAAATGCTTGCACCGGGTCCAGCGCTGCCAAATCCTCATCACTGATGCTAGATCCATCGTCAGACTCCGTTGTGTCAATGTAAACTACCTCTTCAGCTTCGTACATATAGTGTCCTTTGCCTTTTGCTTGAGATGTGACGTCATTTTGATGTATATGAACTTTAGGGGGAAGTACAATGGTGCCGTGCTTTAACTCCGTAAGGTAGTCTTTCTCGTGAGAAAAACATTCAGCTTCTACAGGCACAATGAAAGCGTGTAGCGCGGACACACCATGACCTATAGCTGTGTAATTCTGATCATCCAGCACAAGCCGTAGCGTTATCGCCAAGTCCCGAGGGAGCACTCGCGGCACCACAGGAAGTGATGCATTCGCCTGAAGCTGACGATTGTGCAAAATCTTCGCCACAACTTTAAGTGACATAGCGCGTTGACTAGCCACAGAGCTGCGCGCAAGGTGCAAAAGCTCCGGTAGTGTATATCCAGCCACATCAGGGTCATCGCCGTGGTGGAATAATCCTGAATGCATGGGCAGTTCAGCATCGGTCGCTTTCAGCACCTTTCCATCCAGATCAAAGCGTTCAAGTGTCGCAGCTTGGACTGCTGGGCGTGTCATTTTCGTGCTTCGATCTTGGTCGTAATTCTTCTTTTCCTTTGTGCTCTGTGTCCAGTCAAGTTTAGCTCGTTCTTCTTCCGGCAGAAGATTCACCTGCTGTTTAAGTTCTTCCTCTGTCTTGACTGCAGCCAAGTTTTTGATATTATCTTCTTTTTGCAGCTGATCCTTCTCTTCTTCTTCTTCTTCCTTTCTAGTATCATTTATCACTAGTGAGCCGCTTTGTACGATTTTCTTCGTCTCGATCTTTTCCCCACATCTTTCTTCCTTTTTCTTCCGTCGACTCTTCAATTTCTCAATCAACTCTGGGCCCAACGTCCTCAGCAATTCTTCTTGTGCTTCTTGTATCTCTTGGGGACTCATGTCCTCCAATGTAACAGTATTTACAGCATTTAACGTACTCTTTTCTTGATCCAATGATTTTTTCTCCTCCTTTTCTTGCGTCTGACTAGCCAATTCATGCCGTCGACGACCAAAACGACGTTGACCAGGATCTCGTCGCTTTACAAGTGGAAACCCAAGCGATTCCAAGTGAATAATCAACTTCTCTTGACTCTCATGTGTCACTTGACGTTCGACGACGTGTTTTAGCACTTGATTCGTCTCGTTACAAGCCAATTTGGAATTATGTGAAGCAGAAATTGCACCATTCGAGCCACGAGATGTTACTTTCGCACATGACGGTTTCTTTTGCGCAAGGAATGCGTCCTGTTCACGTAAAAGCTGCGCGAATTCAGCATCCATATCCATGCGATTGATACTTGGTGGTGTCCTAATGAGATCGACTGATTGGTGGAAAACAAAGAAGCAGAAATTAAATTACCGGTATGAGTATATACCGGTATAGTACCTGACCCGTCTTACTTCAGAACTAATGGTACTTAACATGATCGTTTTGTGCCACGTCACAAACAGATACTGAAAGGGATGATGATCCACCGATGCCTACGTCGAGAAGCGCAATTTGCTCTCCTTGTTGTTGTGTTTCAATTGTTTTTTCTTTGTCTATTGTTACTTTATGTACCTCTTGACTATCACCAAGGTCTATCTACAGTTTCTTCCTTCTCCTCCACTTCATTACGTCGTTGTATTTCCAGTGCTCATCGAGATTCACGGTATATAAACGGATCTAATTGTGTTACTTCAGAAGACCGTCTGGATGCATTAGAAGATTTGTTATACACAATCAAAATAATGCTCGAAAATGCTCAAATTGTCTATTGGATTGATAGTGGGACGTTATTAGGTGTATATCGTGCTCGAGAGCTTGTACCATGGGATTATAACGTTGATATTGGCATTACAATGACTGGATTTGACTTGATTCAGTCGACGACAACGACAAACAAGATACTGGAAATACCGGAAGGATATGAAGTAACCGTATTGAATAGTTCACTTTATGATACGGGAGAAACATCCACGGCCGTGCCTATGAAAGTTATTGACAGGAAATTTGGATTTTATGCAAATGTTTTTGTATTTAAGGAATTTGACGGACTTTTTCACGATCATTTGAGACCAGCAACTGCCTCAATGGAAGAAACAAACATTGACGATGTAGAAGACATTGTGGGAAATGGTATCATTGTGGAAAAACTCATTGGACCTGAGCCGTCCAATATGTGGCATCGGTGCATTTATTGTCCTGTTGTTGGAGAAGAAGATGGAATCAACATGAGCGGAGAAGCATCAAATGCCACAGTGGTAAAACGATTTCATATCCCAAGAGAGTGGGTCTTTCCGCTACGAGTATGCAAGGTGGAACTCTTTGAAGTCATGTGCCCGGCACAGATAACACCCTACCTTATGTATATTTTTGGAAACAGGTTTCTAACGCCTCAATTGTGGGAGTAATACCGGAATTTGCTGTCTTCTACGATTCCGCCGATCAAAAACTGATGAATGCTTTATGGCATTCATCAGTTTTTGATCGGCTTGTCAAACGTAGATGATAGATGAACTCATTGTGATCATGTTCTGCGTCTGTACAATCATTTCATTACACGTAGCATACGGACGAGACACTATCATCACGAAGCATAGATGGAAAAAACTAGCCGTGCAAGCTGAAGAAGAAACTGTACCTAGAATTACGTCTCGATCGAGGAAGACAATCAAAAGCAGAACACACGTTGGTAGGAACATGGAGCTGTCACCAAGTTCCACATCATGATTGTCGACACAACCGATAGTGAGACGGCAGTGATTGATGCAGTATCCTGTGCGACGGTGAGTAAAGCTGTTATTGGTGTTGCAGTAGAGATCAAGATTAGTCTGCGCACTGTTTGTCTTAATCAGAAAGGCAAAAAGGAACGGGATACAAGCGATGTACTACTGCGACCATAGCGGCGATTTACGCTTTTGATTGTTCTGCATCGATGACATTCTTTTTGTGTCACGAACGAGGAGCACCCAGAAAGTTGGACGAGGACGACGCTTGAAGGACCAAGGCTTTTACAACACATGTGCGTGAAGTAGAGCAAAAACAAGAGGACTCTATAACATTGCTTGGTGAAGACATTGATTGGTATAACTCGGTGATACACGCGTCAGATTGTGTTGTGCACCCAACGGAGGAGACAGAATTCATTGTACTCGTTAGGTGCAAGTATATTCGCAGAGCGTTGCAAATGATTTTATATCGCAAGGCAACTTTTGCGCGACGTTTATAACCTAAACGTTGCATATGGTTGGACAGTTCAGCAAATACGTGCTGTAACGTACATGTGAGCAATAGAAGCTCGTGCTTGATACACGCGCTTGAAAAGGGAAGCTGACGTTGGTTGCAATATGTGGAACTGGTGGCTACCAATCGATCCAATCCTTGACGTTGCGATGGGAGGAAAACGTGAACGTGATGAAGATGGAGAAGAGACACTACAACTTGTTGTGGAATAGCAAAGCTCGAGTATGTGTTGAATTCCGTACATGCTGCTGAAAACAAAAGTGGCACTCTGCATCTGATCGACTCACTTTTCTTTCTTTTTCTCTTTGCGTTTCTTCTTGTCTTTCTTTCGCTTTTTGCGCTCCTGTTGCAACTCGTCAAACATCTTCTTGTACCCAGCCAACTTGGACTCGTAGAGCTGTTCAATCTCAATAGCCATTTGGTGGACCGGTTCGCCCACACGGTTGAATGTTTTAGCATTTGCAGCCATCAGCTTAATGTCAGTCGTCAACTGGTCGATCTTGGTGTATTCTGCATGCTCTACCTTTTCCTTCATTCTTGTCAAGTCCATCGGGTTCTTCACATAGTCAAAGTAATTGGGTACACCAAGACGCTTGCAATTCTCTTTTGTAAATTTCTGTACAAAGGGATTCCCCGGTTTACCACTGACAGTCCATCCTGTCCATGTAAGTGCTCGTAACTCAGCTACAAGAGGAGCCAACAGCTTTTGTAGCATCAAAGCGTCTTCTTTGTCTCGTTTCTTTCGTTTCTTCTCCTTCTTCTCCTTCCGGTCTTTATCATCTTTGGATCGATTCTTTTGTTTCTCTGCATAAACAGCTCGTTCAGTACCAGTTGGAGGTGGTGCATGAATTAATCCCGGTATCTTTTGACTATGAAGTGGATGGAGGATAGGACCTCTCTTATTCCCCGTAGGTAATTGTAGTGCACTCTTTACTACATTCTCAGGTAATAACTCAATTGGACGATCAAATGGTACACCGTCTAAAAGTGCCATGAGATCTCCTTTAATCTTCTTCGACATCATCAAATCTTGCGTCTCGCCCACTCCACGAAGTAAATGATGATAAGTACTTGGTAAAGTTGTTTCTGCCATCTTTTGAAGCTCTGGTTGTAGTTTATAATAGTCCATTAAATTATAATAATTCATTTCATCTGCTTTAACTACAAAGAATAGTCATTATGCATATGTATCACTAATAAGAAATTATTATTATTCAGAAATACATGCACGTACTATTTTGAGAGCCTCGAACAAGATAGAATTTCTCGGGATCTAGTAGTGCTATGAAAGTGATACAAGTAGCAGTATGTATGGAGGAGTAATGACAATTAGATGCAATGCTTTGGACAAGATGTAACAGTTGGGAATGTGTATAAAATGACATGTCAAATGAAGAGGTGACGTACGTTTGGCCATGTTGTCTGCTGACTAAGAGTGTCAAAATTGGAATGAATAGTACTGATAAAATAGTACTTGATGGATAAAGTAGGTTTTAGATTATTCTATTTCGTGGTTGATGGTGGTACTTCAAGAAATAGTATACTATCAAACCATACAATCGTCATATACAACAGTGTGGCTTGACTTGATTAGATCAGAGCCTGTATTACATTGAGTAGGTCTATTAGTTTATCTGCAATAATACAGATAGCGATTACTCCTGTGACGCTGTATGATATGTATGATGCAATAGAAGTATGGAATAGATAGAAGGACCACACCCTTTAACTCATATAGCTTCAAATCTGAACAAGTTTACTGCAATGATCGATGACAATGGGCATGAATCACACACGTACAGTCATTTCAGAATCATACATGAACGTCTAGACGAATAATGAAACAGCACAACGACAGTACTGAGAATGACAATGGATGTTTACAAACGTGTGGACACTAGTGCTAGAAGCTTTGGTTAGAGTATACACAACTAGCAAAGTGGATTCGTTGTGCCATAGCGATGGGTTGGATACTCCAAGACTGCTTGCTACAGTAAAGCTGGGTTTGTTCTGAAATGGAGCTACTTGTTTTCTAGTAGTGTAGAGATGGACAAAAGAAGCGCAGATTGATCAGGTCATAGAATAGTCTCATACTTGTGTTAAGGCCCTACAGCAACGCGCAGATGCAAAATCGACCCAATGTCGCTGCCTGCAAACATATGGTAGGACTTCAGCCCACAGATATTACAGCACCTTGTGCATGATCATTGCTGCTTGTTGGTTGTACGTGCATATCAGCGTTTGATAGACATTGTACAAGACCGCTTCTTTCCATGGCAACCTCTCGGTCAGACACCACCAAAATTTTACTTGTGAATGGCACCATCATATACACGCGCAGAGACGATAAAATGGCGTCCTGCATATAGTTGCAACTTCCTACTGACGACGGTTGGAAGAGATCGACTCAACTCATCAAAACACAGTGTCGCAACAACTAAGACAGCAGATTTTGATCAAACAAGACGATCGTTTAAGAGCTCGATCGTCTTGTTTGATCAAAATCTGCTGTCTTAGTTGTTGCTTTGACAAGTGAAGAGATGAAAAGGCTTTGTAAAGACAAACAAGACGAAGGGAATGCGATGCTGGTGTACACGGTCATTGTTGAAGCAGCTTCAGCAGCAGCACTCCGGCAAAGCACGACTACCTGTTTGAGACCTCTTACCGAAGCCGTTCCACTCATCGGCGGTATGAAATGCCCCATGCGGTCTTTAAGATGGCCCAAACACTTACTCCTCACGCCAAATGGCATCTGACATTTTAGCCACATCCACCATTTCGGCACCGTCATGAACACGCAGAATGTCAGCTCCTTGCTCAATGGCAGCGCAGCATGTAGCAGCAGTACCCCACAAGCGGTCTTTTGGTTCTGAACGTCCACAGATCTCACCAATAAAACCTTTGCGAGATGGTCCCACCTACATGTACATGCACAACGTCAACGCTTTAGCGCAGCTTGCACATCATGAAAAGACACTCACTACTTTGCACGTACCAAAAGTGGCAATCCTTGGCATAGCTTCTTGACGACTGAGAGTTTTCGCAGCAGCTTCAAATTCAGACACCGAGCTTTGGCAAAACCTATTCCTGGGTCCACGATAATATTCCATCGGAATATACCGGCAGCCTCCGCAGCTATTACACGTTCATGAAGTACTTCAGCAACTTCAGCAACTACATTCTCGTACTCCTGTGAATCACAGCAGATACGTATGTTAGCTCTGAACTAGTCACACGAACGCTTCAACGGCATTATTCTGCTTTTCTTGCCAAACCTTGAGACTAGTCATAGTTTGTGGTGTGCCTCGCATGTGCATGAGCACAATCTGGAAAAACACATGTAAGCAAACAAGTGGAGCTGGCATGTGTAGAATGAATCACAAACGACGACGACGTACGGGGACACGTAGCATGGCCACAGTAGCAAGCATTGCATCGTCGTTCAGACCTGCTGAGATGTCATTTACCATGTTTGCGCCTGCACCAACCGCTTGGCGTGCAACTTCCGCCTTTGTGGTATCAACCGAAATGGCAATCTTGCTCTTCTCACGGATGCCACAAATCACTGGCAACACACGCCTTAATTCTTCTTCTTCCGTCACAGGTTCTGCTCCAGGTCGACTCGATTCACCTCCAATGTCGATTATGTCTACACCAGCGCGCTCCATCTCCAACGCCTTTTCCACTGCAGCACCTGTCGTTTCCAACTCAGCACCATCACTAAAGCTGTCAGGTGTAACGTTTACAATTCCCATGATCAACGTCTTGCTCCCCAATGACCAAGGTGCATTCTTATCAACTGGTAGCATTGGCACTGGTACAATACAACGTTGTGTGCCGTTTTTCAATGCATCATACAAACACTGCATTGACTGTTTCAATACTGGATGAAGCAAATCTGTACTAAGAAAACACATGACAACTCAATAAGCAGGAGGATCAAAACGAGAATGAGAAGACTTTGAACCACATTGTACCTGGAGCTACATCACACATTGGAGCAAGCACAAAATCTCTCTCGCTAATACGTTCATGAGGTATAATAAGAGGTCCTTCCTTTGTATTCGTCTTCAGCGTCAGATCATCAAAGAATAAAATATCTACATCAATTAATCTTGGTCCATATCTGTTTATATACGTATTTGTATACAACAAGAACAAGAAACAGAAGTATCATAATACTCGTCGTTAGTATCTCGTTCCAAGTCTTAAACTTGTAGTCTCTTAGTCAGTCTAAACCTTAATGAACGTGTACGCCCAATCTCCCTTTCAATTGTTTTCAAAGCTTCCAGTAGCTCAATAGGCTTTAATTCAGTCTTGAGTCTAGCTACGAGGTTTAAAAAAACAGGCTGATCTTCCACATATTGAGCTCTCGTAGTATAAAGACGAGAGGTGACTTGTACTGGTCCTACTAATTGTGATAACATGGTCAAGGCATTCTCTAGATTGACAAGTTTGTCACCTATAAAATAGATCAAATAGGACGATTAGAGTACCCTAATTGACAAAATTACATCAAGTGAGAAAAGAGAATGATGACATATCACCTAAATTTGTACCCAATGCCGTGTATACACAAGCCATCGTCGCGAGCCAAATCTAATTTTAAAATATTCTTGTATATTTACTTTATACTGTAAAAGACTAGTATCGTTTAGAAAGTGCTTTTCGCACAAAGCATTTTATTTGTAAAAAGAAAAGTGTTTTTTACTCCATTTGCTTTATGTATCCACAAGTCGTTTGCTATTTCCAAGTTCTTTTGCTTTATTAGTAAGCTCTACACAGCAGGGAACTAACTCTATACACTGTGACTCAGGACGTCCATTTATATGTCGATGCATACTATTTTTTATACAAACAAAGGGTTATTTTAATTAAGTTTCTTTTGCGTCTACTTTTTGAATACGACCAATCATCGCTCACTATTAAAGTATACTCACGAGCTTGTAAATCATTAAGTACGATAAAATAAACATTGTCGACAAAATTATTATTGAAACCATGGCCGCTACTTATGGTGGTCGTGTCCTTCCAGGTGAAGATAGTGAAGAATCGGATGATGAGAATGATAACGGTAAAACATTATTGTTGTATTGCATACAATACATTGTAAGTAATAGCATTATAAAATGTTGATTGTGTGCATCTTGTTATCTTTGTTACGTAGAAATGAATTATTCGCTTAATGGTTTTGAGCCACAGTCGTCCGTGGCAGTATCTCGCTTCACAGCGCCGACATTTGGAGCGTCATCAAGTAAAGAATGCAGTACTGAAGACAAGAAGACAAGGCATAAAGATGAGGAAGAGAATGAAGAATTGGAGCTAAAGTATCGAAAAGAAAAGATAAAGAGTGTGCAAAAGGAAGTGATAGGCGAGGTTGAAGAAGAGGAGAAAGAGGAGGAGGAAGAAGAGGAGGAGGACGTGGCGCGAGACATAAAACAGGCGATGAAAAGAGACGTTGAAAGTTTTGAAACCAAACAAGATCATTGGCATCTGAACGAGTCTTTGAACGGCGTTGAAGTCATGAGTAATGCTTTTGTTGATACAGTGCAGCCCTCGCTGGACGCGACAATCCACCGGATCACCGAGTTGAAGGAGAGTCAGCAGGTACGTTACGTAAAGGTTGGAAGCACTTTGATTGGTAAAATGGAGTGACGTTATGTTTGCTTTACTTGATGGCTGTAGCGACTGCTCAAGATGCTGACTGAACAGAACACTAGCATTAGGTCAAACAAGCAAGTAGAGGATGCAGCTGTCGTGTTGGAGAAGCTGCCGTTCTATGCAAAAAAACTAGAGGGTATCAAGCTGGCTATGCAAGAGATTTCAAACTCCACAGAAAAGATGAAGTGCCGCGCCGAGGATTTACGGATCGACGCACAGTCTCGTACGTTAAGTGGCAAATGTTGCGCGACTACTTCTTGGCCATGGTGTGCTTGTTCACGTGCTCCTGCTAACCTTGATATATTACACTCTACAGATGCGATCAAGAAAGAAAACAAGCGAGACGCGCTGTCACAATGGAACAAGCTGTACGCTGCAAAGAGTTCATGAGTACGCGTCAAATGGTGTGACAGACAAGATTATCACTGCATGCCCATAGAGTCGCAAGCAACGCGTTGGCCGGGCATACAAAGCGTCTTGCTTTGATTATTGCACCAGCCATGGTGCACAATAGCACCAGTCGTCCCCAAAAGAACGCGATGACATGTATCCTGTTCTACCATGTCAAGTTGCAAAGCCAAAAAAGAACTTATATGTAACGTTCGTTATCTCAGTTGCTGGAGTGCAGTTGTGAGAGTCCTTAAGTCGTGATAGCGCTCTGCTCGCCGCACATTCAGTAAACGTCCGTCTTTGTCTACCACCGCGTTACCCTGCTACTTACTGGTATTTAAGGTAGAGTGCAGCAGCGGCCACTACAAATGCCAAAATAGCATACAGCGGACCATTCTGACCGCTAATGTCCTGTCGGCCCGATGAAGTGGTGCCACTGGTCCTGGTCTTGGTGGGTGTCTGTTGCTTGGTGTCACCAATAATCTGACCAATCTCGTAATTCTTTAGCTGCGTACGTGCATCATTTGAGTGACCAATATCCTCAAACTCTTCCGTCGCGTCCTTTCCAGCCACGTCTACCATAATCTCAGGTCCACCTGGATGATCGTTGAGAAATGCTGTTACGTCATACACCTTGCGAATACCCTCATCTCGAATAATCATCCAGCAATCTTCTGCCGTATTATGCGACTTGACATCTTCAAGTGTAAATTCCTTTACAATAGGCGCAGTCACAGGCGTCTCAGAGGTACTAGTCTCGGTCATGGGCGACACACTAACGTTGGAAGTTCAAAGGATTCGTGGGTAGCTACTGGCACACAAAATAATGCAATGGGAGGGTGGAAAAGGACTGTACACTAAACTGCCCAAATTTGAGGTTATAACCTCATCGTTTTGAACGGATTGTCCTGTTTTAGGTTTCTAATCGCGCTTGTGACCAAGAATAGATTGAAAACAAACACGATACTAGGAAGTGGCTACCAACTAGCTCTTGATGTGATCATTTCTGAACTTTTACATCCTTGATACATCCAGCCGAATGCTTGTGATCATTTTCATCAGCATGCGTACTAATTGCTTCACAGATTCTTTCTTGTTACATCCACGAACAAGACAAAGAGAGAGAGTATGCAAGTGCTAACATGTAAGCTTTTGTTGTCTTAAATCATGAAGTTAATCTAATATGCTGCGTCTAGCTTTCGTTCTGTGCCAAATAATGATCTTAACTCCATCATTATTTTTCTTTCTGTTCAACTTCACACATATATTTGCTTTCTGGTCTCATTTATTGGTTGCTAATAATGAAACACAGACTCAAACAAGATTAACCTTTTTACTTTCGAAGCTGCAGTACGAGCATTCAGTCAGAATTAACTGACTGTTGTGCTAAGAGAAAGCGCTGTCCCGTTAAAGGTTTTGGAAGCTCTGCTGTCAGTTATCACTTCATACGGGTCGCTTATCTAGCTTCAGCTCTGATATCCATTTCTAATCGCTAAAAATTGCCACGAAATCCAAGTCTTGCTTTGAAGCTAGACACATAACTTTGATTTTTGATCTGAGAAATTATTGAAGAACTTTTGCCGGTATCACACGCAAGCGATTCAAAAGTAAAAATTGACGCAGTACAGTCAACTGCACAAACGGCTTCTCACCACTGGATTCTATTTTTTATACTTAATTGGCCAACATTCATACATTTTTGTAGCGGGGTTACACGAAGGTATGTATTTTACATACACATTTGTCACACTAATGTGGTGTGGCTGTACCTTGGGTACATGAGTAGGTTCGATGTAACCGTACCTAAGGTACAAATTATCGCATCGTACGTGGTCACTTTAGTTAAGTATAGTGACTATACATGTTTGCATATGAATAGGCTACAGAGCCAGTAAATAGTGACTGGCACTAAGTATAGAGTAGGTGCTTCTATATTGAGTGCTAGAAGATAAACAGTAAATAAATTAGTTTCAAACCTGCTCTGAATAGCACTCGTGCTAGAGCGCTCGATTCCGCTGTAAAAGGAATCGTATCTTTGATACTAGTCTCTTGGAGACGTGGCTGTTATTGATATTACACCGCTGAACAGATACGTTTCATGAGTTAGGGTGACGATTTATATGATAAATCATCAGGGAGTTTTATGGTAGTTTCAGAGGGTTGCCATGGAACAGCGTTACATAAAGCTTCGAAAAGAAATCATTCATGGTAGTGATGTAAGGACCGTAAATATATTTACTTCGGCTTTTGCCTCCAACACAACAATCGACTACATTATCAGGTTAACAGCCACAAGGCCCCCCGACTTACGCTCCAGATATGACCTACAAACGCGCCGAAGTTCTCCTTGAGAGTAATAATTACTTTCAGAGGACGGTATGGGAGATGAAAAGCCATCAAGAGCAAAGTTTTGGTAGAAATTATCAAAAAATACTGTTCATTTTCTATTTTTCATTCTGAGCGTACCGTAGAGTGTAATGTTACAGTCGGATATCGTTGATTGTAGCCTTTCATGTACGATTGACCTTGCTTGACCTAAACGACTTTGTGGATCAGGGTAGACCACAAGCGCACAGCAAATTGAAGAACACACACTGGCCTTCGAATCTGAAGGATTCTTTACGTTGGACTGCAGCTTGATGCACTGTTGATTGAAACGTATACTGAGCTGTCAAAAATGGCAGGAGTAACGTCAGCTTTTTTCACGTCAGAACTAGTGTGCATGGATGCGCTTAAGCTCGTATTAATGCCCAATGGTCCAAGTTTGGGGTGTCAACATTGTCAACATCGTTGTGAAGATGCACCAAGTGATACACCTTGTCTTTTGTGTGGCTTTCCTCGAGTGATTTCTTGACATACCTGCTGAACTCGACACAATCGCTTTTTGCTTAATACCGAAAAAGCGATTGTATTGAGTCCAGCAAGAAAAATAGCTCTTTTCTTTTTGATCTCGTCGGCGACTTGATGTTCGTCATGCGTATTTGACGCGCTTGCAATCACCTTGCGTTTTACAGAGAGTTCAGCCTTTTCCTTTTTTTATCTCGTGTGCGAGCTCGTGTGTACGCAAGAACCTCGTGGTGCCACATGGGAAATGAAAAAGCTGACCTGGATATGATGCCAGACGGCTTTTCCTGTGAACACATATTCAAATTGTCATGTGGCAGTAGCCACGCACGTGGTTGTATATGCTGGCCGGCAAGCTTCAAGGTGATAAACAGGAAGTGTAATGTGACCTTGATGTGGTATTTGTGAGAATGATCAATGTTTCTGTGGAAGTTTTGGGTTTAAGATGTTTGAAATTTACGGTTGTTTAAATTTTGCCCGCGCATTTTGATTGATTGATAGATTGAATGCTATGATGTTGATGAGAAGCTGTGTGTTTTGCTTGTAATACGGCATGTGTATTGATTACGGTTGTTATGATGACGTCAAGCAGCTGTGTCGGTTTAATACTATGATATATCCTACAATACAGAGTTCAGGATCGCCAACAGATAAGAAAACTAATAGCACTCTCTTTTGCGTTTAAGTTTGTGTACCCTGGTTGATACTATTACTAAACCGCTTACAGGTTGTAAGCTTACTGGATATTTCATACGAGGGCAATGCAAGCGGCGGCGCGTATATGAAGCAGTGTCTGCCATTGAGCACGAAAGAACCGGTGTGCAACACGATGACTGGAAGTTTTCATGCGGGGCTGGGGGCTAAGAGTATAACATGCGCATGACATTGGCACTCAAGGGTCAACTGGCGCAGGTTGAGGTTGTGAAGCCCGAGAACGAAATTACCGAGGCGTGGCACGTTAGTGACACAAGACACTTGGTATTATCTCTCAAGGTGAGGAGATAAAGCATAAGAGCATGATTCGGTTTGCGACGCGTGCGATGCATGCGCGACGTTTGCTACGAGACTTCTATAACTTTTCCACGCTCCATAATCGTGTCACGATGACACGTCGTCTTCGTGCGTTCAAAATGGAGAGTAGAACAGGTATGTCCCAATATTTGGACGCGTTCGAAGAGTTGGTCGTCGGGTTGCAGACGCTGGGAGAAGTCGTCGATGAAGCGATACAGCTAGTGGTCTTCTAAGCAGTCTCCCGTCCGAGTACGACATAATTTCGTCCATTACAGAGAACGAAAAAGACGTGTCTCTAATCGAAGCGAAGGAGATGCTGCTAAAGGAGCATGAGCGTTTGTAGAAGAAGAACACTACGATGGAGAAGACGTTCCAAGCCAATGGAAATGCTGGTAAGTGTATAGGCGGTCGAGCAAATGATCGTAAGAGGAACGCTCCACGTAAAAACCGTGGTGCTTTTAAGGGTAAGTGCTTCGGGTGTAACCAAGTTGGCCATATGAAGCGGGACTTCCCGAGCCAGAGAGGCGATAACGGTAATTAAGCTGTGTTCTCCGTGGGCGAGGACCCAATAAAAGGTTGGCTGATCGACAGTGGTGCTACGCCGCACATGACTCCGCACCGTTCCAATCTGTTCGACTGTGGGAACATGGATACCAACGTTGAAGCGACTATTGCCAACGGCAAGAAGCTAAAGGTTGATGGAAGAAGAACGGTGAGGCTAAGCGGTCTTAACAATCAACGCATCAAGATGATGGACGTCTTGTTTATCCGAGGGATTGACAGACGCCTGTTGTCGGTCGAACGACTCGCAGAACGCGGTTTGAACGTAGAGTTTCAACGTTCGTCGTATGTAATCTGGGTAGGGGGAAGAGCTATTGCTGTGGGGAAAATGTGAAGAAAGCGTTCCCTATTTACTGTCAGCAAGAGGAAGCATGGTTTGCGCAGTACTTGGGAGCAGATAGTGTTTGGGAGCTATGGCACGCCCGGATATGACACCCAAACAAGGACGCAATGATAACGATACAACGTGCTACGAACGGTATACCTATGGTAAAGCCAGGTAGTAAGATCTTGTGCTGAGGATGTATGAAGAGCAAGCAGACCGCAACATGAAGCAGTTGAATGGCGTCAGGCGATCGATGCAGAGATTCAGTCGCACGCCAGGACCAGACGTGGCCTTCCGTTCCATTGAAACAGCTACTCGTCCAATTGGATGCCGTTGTTTTTTTGCCAAGAAACGCAACGAAAACGATCGAGCAATCCGATACAAAGCTCGGCTAGTAGGTCAAGGGTCCAAGCAAAAGAGTGGAATTGATTTTTGTGAAACCTACTCGCCGGTGGCAAATTGAACTCGATTCGTTTTGTACTAGCTGTGTGTTCAGCATGAAAAAGCTGGACGCAGGTACTGCGTTCTTTAACAGTGGTTTGGTGGAGCTGGGTCACATAGACATTCCGTTTGGAGTCAATAATGCTAAAGGCATGATGTGCGAGCTGAAAAAATCTATCTACGTTTAAAGCAGGCGGCGGGTGCTTGATCCAGGACAATTTGTCGTGTATTTTTTTAAAAATGATTGGAAAAGTTGCGGTGCAGATCAATGTGTATGTTAAACGTACTCAAAACGGTTTTTGTGCGTGTGCCTTTACGTGGACGACATGACCAATACAAGCCAGGATATTCGTAAAGTTAAGATGGCCCTTATGAATACCTTCAAGATATAGAAGTTAGGCGAGGTAGAATTTGTCTTGGGTATGGAGATAGATCACGACAAGAACGCCAAAACGCGCAAACCCGATACATTGATGACGTGGTTAAACGATTCAACCAGCAAAAAACGCAAAACAGGTTGAGAACCCTTGCGCTTCCGACATGAAGCTGTCAAAGCTGCAGTCTCTAGCTACGAAGGAAGATCGCGCTGAGATGAAGTCAAGACCGTATCGTTCTTTGATCGGGTGTCTGATGTACATCGCGACCGGGCATAGCATTCGTGGTGACGCAGTTATCACGCTTCCTTGAAAACCCTGATACGTAACATTGTGTACCACGGAGGTTCGGATACTGCCGAGGCGTTCACGGAAGCTTACTGAGGAAGTAACACTGATGACTGACGTTCCGTATCTGGAATCGTGGTACTGATTGGAAAAGCTCCTGTGGTGTTCAAGTCCAAGTACCAGAGGACCGTCGGTTTAAGTTCTGCGGAAGCCGAGAACATGGCTCTAAGCCTTTGTATGCAAGAAGTGCTTTGGGTGCGCGCCATGTTGAAGGGCATGGGTCGCGAGCAAGTGGGAGGAACGCGTGTCTGGGAAGACAACCAAGGTGCAATTGCACTGGCACGTAACGCTGGATATCACTTTTCGGACAAAGCACGTGGACATTAGCCATCATTTTATTCGCGCAAACGTAAAATGCGAAACACTTAAGGTCGACTATGTGGATACGGAATACCAATCAACTGACATGCTTACCAAGGCTTGGGGACCAAGATGTTTAAGTTCTTGCGTGGCGCAAGTGGAATCAAGAGCAAGGTCACTAAGAAGTATCGGTGCGTGGGAGTGTTGATATTACATCGCTAAACAGGTGCATGTCATGTTGTTAGGGTGACGATTTATATGATAAATCATCAGGGAGTCTTATGGTAGTTTCAGAGGATTGCCATGGAACAGCGTTACATAAAGGCTTCAAGATAGTTCATGGTAGTGAACTAAGGACCTTAAATATATTTACCTCGGCTTTTGCCTCCAACACAACAACCGACTGCATTAACAGTTGTTTGCAACCAAAAGGCACCAGCTTGTGAAGCTAGCCTTGGGAGGGATAAGAGCCCCAAGATATACAATCTTGAAGCTAGTCTTTCTCTGCACTTAGTGCATAGGTAGCTTTCCTACGGAAGCTCTGCTACACCTTGTAGCACTTGTAGTCAGTCCTGCACCCAAGTATGCGACAATTTTGTTTGAGAATGGACATGAAAGAGATGTCCGCGGTTGGTCTATCACAAGCACAACAGGAAGTGTTGCAAAAGCTGCTCCCTATCCTTGGCCCTAAATGCACAGAAGCCTCCTTCTGCGCTTCGCCCATGGCAACTATGGCGCAAGAAGTGGTATGCAGACCAAAACTTGTTCAGATGGAAGTCGACAAGCTCGACGGCAATAAAGGTGACAACCTATTGCTGTAATTCCGACAGATTGAGTCGAGCCAACATCACCTATGAAACGTGCCGTGTTGGCTTTGCCACGGGTAAGTTGGATGGATTAGCCAAACAGTAGGCGTTCACATGCCGTGCATCACTGCAAGACGCATCAACACAAGCCAATCTGAAGTTTCAGATGACCCGGCATTATGCGCCGCCGAGCTAGGTGAGGCGTAATCGGTCGCGATTTTTGTTGTGTCGCCATGGCAAGCGTGAGCTTACGGCATATGTGCAAAATTTGAAAAGTCTCATTGCCCCTGCTCGGCTTAGCCATGACGATCCTTATCTTTTTTTAGTTATTGCTTAAAATCTTTTTCGGTGACCATAGTCTATCAGTTTTCATATTCGACCGATGACTCTCTGGGGCTTGATAGATATTATGACCTAAGGTGTCCTCTGCAAGGACATAGGGAGGATATTTCGGTTTCTTTTTAATAAGTTCAGCCTTGACCATGTTGACCGGACCCCTCCCAAGGTCTGGTCGGTCCTTCGACCGCTTGTTGTTTCCTTCTGTAGTCAGTGACGATAGGTCTTCCAGGGACGCTTCGGTCTTTGCTTAATCTTTGCTTGAACATCTTCATCTCCTTGTGAGTCGCGATGATATCCCGCGTCTTCCGAAGATCCGGGCACGCGCACCATTGTGGTGGAGTGGGTTCTCAAAACTGCGTAATGAGACCCCAAGCCACTCACTGTGCCGGACTGCCGACTTTCGGAGGGGTACCCCGATGCCACGTATAGACCATCTCCCGGCGAGTTGCACTCTTCAAAAGACTATGTGAAGATGTGATGTGGGCCTTGAGAGAGGTCGACCTTGGGGTGCTTCGAGTTGATATGCTTCACTCGGTAGGCTAGTAGAGCTACGACAAACGTCTAGTATGGCGTACAAAAAAGGGTTATTGCGCCTCATAAATGGTAAGGAGATATCAGGGGTCACCAATGGAACCCAATTCTAGATTCTTTCGCAGACGTTGCGATCATTCATATCGAGAACTGGTTGTCTGACGACAAAGGCAATTGCTCGTGATGCTGAATGTGTTGCTTAGGTGTTGCTAAAGGTGATACGGTTTGTGTACCAAGGTGAAAGCAAAGAAACGCTGCTCGTGATTCCGCTCATGTCATCGTAGAAGACGCCGATCGTATACCGATCGTGATGTTGGAGGTAAGCAGAAACCTCCAACATCACGATCAGTACTACGATCGGCGCCGACGAGGGTGAAGCGGGTCATAACACCGTTCGCGGGTTTGTTTGTGGTTTCGAAGGTGATACTGCAGGTGATATCGCAGGTAACGCCGCGTGTTACACGGATGCTGAAGACGGAATTGATTGTAATGCCGAAGGTGTTGCGGCTTAAGCCACTGATCGTGATGCTGAAGATGGGATTGATTATAACGCCGAAGGTGACGTACTGCGTGTAAAACTGGATCCATTTGGTGACGCTTCTGGTTTTATAGGCAACAACGGGAATCGTGCTGAAGGTGATGCCGAACGTGACGTCGAAGATAACGTCGAAAGTAATTTTGTTTGTGCTAACTCGCAATTGCTGTGTTGCCCCCGCTTGTGCAGACTTGGCTTACTCCAACTGTAAACACGTGCGGCCTCGCGCGTTCTTTTCGGATCGAACGGCCAACACCAAACAATTGGTTGGCCAAAGTAGTGTGATACATACTTCTTGGAACAGCTAAGCGTAGGGGCAAAATACAGCAAAAATACGATTTTGTTTTCTACAAAACATTATAATAAGTCTCTGATTCATCTTCATACTTGTATTTGCTGTAATTTGTCGTGTAGCAAAACGATATCCACAGAAGTCAGATCTGATTCGTTCTTATATTAGTGCTGCACAACAACTCGCGACGATGGCTTGTGTATACACGGCATTGGGTACAAATTTAGGTGATATGTCATCATTCTCTTTTCTCACTTGATGTAATTTTGTCAATTAGGGTACTCTAATCGTCCTATTTGATCTATTTTATAGGTGACAAACTTGTCAATCTAGAGAATGCCTTGACCATGTTATCACAATTAGTAGGACCAGTACAAGTCACCTCTCGTCTTTATACTACGAGAGCTCAATATGTGGAAGATCAGCCTGTTTTTTTAAACCTCGTAGCTAGACTCAAGACTGAATTAAAGCCTATTGAGCTACTGGAAGCTTTGAAAACAATTGAAAGGGAGATTGGGCGTACACGTTCATTAAGGTTTAGACTGACTAAGAGACTACAAGTTTAAGACTTGGAACGAGATACTAACGACGAGTATTATGATACTTCTGTTTCTTGTTCTTGTTGTATACAAATACGTATATAAACAGATATGGACCAAGATTAATTGATGTAGATATTTTATTCTTTGATGATCTGACGCTGAAGACGAATACAAAGGAAGGACCTCTTATTATACCTCATGAACGTATTAGCGAGAGAGATTTTGTGCTTGCTCCAATGTGTGATGTAGCTCCAGGTACAATGTGGTTCAAAGTCTTCTCATTCTCGTTTTGATCCTCCTGCTTATTGAGTTGTCATGTGTTTTCTTAGTACAGATTTGCTTCATCCAGTATTGAAACAGTCAATGCAGTGTTTGTATGATGCATTGAAAAACGGCACACAACGTTGTATTGTACCAGTGCCAATGCTACCAGTTGATAAGAATGCACCTTGGTCATTGGGGAGCAAGACGTTGATCATGGGAATTGTAAACGTTACACCTGACAGCTTTAGTGATGGTGCTGAGTTGGAAACGACAGGTGCTGCAGTGGAAAAGGCGTTGGAGATGGAGCGCGCTGGTGTAGACATAATCGACATTGGAGGTGAATCGAGTCGACCTGGAGCAGAACCTGTGACGGAAGAAGAAGAATTAAGGCGTGTGTTGCCAGTGATTTGTGGCATCCGTGAGAAGAGCAAGATTGCCATTTCGGTTGATACCACAAAGGCGGAAGTTGCACGCCAAGCGGTTGGTGCAGGCGCAAACATGGTAAATGACATCTCAGCAGGTCTGAACGACGATGCAATGCTTGCTACTGTGGCCATGCTACGTGTCCCCGTACGTCGTCGTCGTTTGTGATTCATTCTACACATGCCAGCTCCACTTGTTTGCTTACATGTGTTTTTCCAGATTGTGCTCATGCACATGCGAGGCACACCACAAACTATGACTAGTCTCAAGGTTTGGCAAGAAAAGCAGAATAATGCCGTTGAAGCGTTCGTGTGACTAGTTCAGAGCTAACATACGTATCTGCTGTGATTCACAGGAGTACGAGAATGTAGTTGCTGAAGTTGCTGAAGTACTTCATGAACGTGTAATAGCTGCGGAGGCTGCCGGTATATTCCGATGGAATATTATTGTGGACCCAGGAATAGGTTTTGCCAAAGCTCGGTGTCTGAATTTGAAGCTGCTGCGAAAACTCTCAGTCGTCAAGAAGCTATGCCAAGGATTGCCACTTTTGGTACGTGCAAAGTAGTGAGTGTCTTTTCATGATGTGCAAGCTGCGCTAAAGCGTTGACGTTGTGCATGTACATGTAGGTGGGACCATCTCGCAAAGGTTTTATTGGTGAGATCTGTGGACGTTCAGAACCAAAAGACCGCTTGTGGGGTACTGCTGCTACATGCTGCGCTGCCATTGAGCAAGGAGCTGACATTCTGCGTGTTCATGACGGTGCCGAAATGGTGGATGTGGCTAAAATGTCAGATGCCATTTGGCGTGAGGAGTAAGTGTTTGGGCCATCTTAAAGACCGCATGGGGCATTTCATACCGCCGATGAGTGGAACGGCTTCGGTAAGAGGTCTCAAACAGGTAGTCGTGCTTTGCCGGAGTGCTGCTGCTGAAGCTGCTTCAACAATGACCGTGTACACCAGCATCGCATTCCCTTCGTCTTGTTTGTCTTTACAAAGCCTTTTCATCTCTTCACTTGTCAAAGCAACAACTAAGACAGCAGATTTTGATCAAACAAGACGATCGAGCTCTTAAACGATCGTCTTGTTTGATCAAAATCTGCTGTCTTAGTTGTTGCGACACTGTGTTTTGATGAGTTGAGTCGATCTCTTCCAACCGTCGTCAGTAGGAAGTTGCAACTATATGCAGGACGCCATTTTATCGTCTCTGCGCGTGTATATGATGGTGCCATTCACAAGTAAAATTTTGGTGGTGTCTGACCGAGAGGTTGCCATGGAAAGAAGCGGTCTTGTACAATGTCTATCAAACGCTGATATGCACGTACAACCAACAAGCAGCAATGATCATGCACAAGGTGCTGTAATATCTGTGGGCTGAAGTCCTACCATATGTTTGCAGGCAGCGACATTGGGTCGATTTTGCATCTGCGCGTTGCTGTAGGGCCTTAACACAAGTATGAGACTATTCTATGACCTGATCAATCTGCGCTTCTTTTGTCCATCTCTACACTACTTGAAAACAAGTAGCTCCACTTCAGAACAAACCCAGCTTTACTGTAGCAAGCAGTCTTGGAGTATCCAACCCATCGCTATGGCACAACGAATCCACTTTGCTAGTTGTGTATACTCTAACCAAAGCTTCTAGCACTAGTGTCCACACGTTTGTAAACATCCATTGTCATTCTCAGTACTGTCGTTGTGCTGTTTCATTATTCGTCTAGACGTTCATGTATGATTCTGAAATGACTGTACGTGTGTGATTCATGCCCATTGTCATCGATCATTGCAGTAAACTTGTTCAGATTTGAAGCTATATGAGTTAAAGGGTGTGGTCCTTCTATCTATTCCATACTTCTATTGCATCATACATATCATACAGCGTCACAGGAGTAATCGCTATCTGTATTATTGCAGATAAACTAATAGACCTACTCAATGTAATACAGGCTCTGATCTAATCAAGTCAAGCCACACTGTTGTATATGACGATTGTATGGTTTGATAGTATACTATTTCTTGAAGTACCACCATCAACCACGAAATAGAATAATCTAAAACCTACTTTATCCATCAAGTACTATTTTATCAGTACTATTCATTCCAATTTTGACACTCTTAGTCAGCAGACAACATGGCCAAACGTACGTCACCTCTTCATTTGACATGTCATTTTATACACATTCCCAACTGTTACATCTTGTCCAAAGCATTGCATCTAATTGTCATTACTCCTCCATACATACTGCTACTTGTATCACTTTCATAGCACTACTAGATCCCGAGAAATTCTATCTTGTTCGAGGCTCTCAAAATAGTACGTGCATGTATTTCTGAATAATAATAATTTCTTATTAGTGATACATATGCATAATGACTATTCTTTGTAGTTAAAGCAGATGAAATGAATTATTATAATTTAATGGACTATTATAAACTACAACCAGAGCTTCAAAAGATGGCAGAAACAACTTTACCAAGTACTTATCATCATTTACTTCGTGGAGTGGGCGAGACGCAAGATTTGATGATGTCGAAGAAGATTAAAGGAGATCTCATGGCACTTTTAGACGGTGTACCATTTGATCGTCCAATTGAGTTATTACCTGAGAATGTAGTAAAGAGTGCACTACAATTACCTACGGGGAATAAGAGAGGTCCTATCCTCCATCCACTTCATAGTCAAAAGATACCGGGATTAATTCATGCACCACCTCCAACTGGTACTGAACGAGCTGTTTATGCAGAGAAACAAAAGAATCGATCCAAAGATGATAAAGACCGGAAGGAGAAGAAGGAGAAGAAACGAAAGAAACGAGACAAAGAAGACGCTTTGATGCTACAAAAGCTGTTGGCTCCTCTTGTAGCTGAGTTACGAGCACTTACATGGACAGGATGGACTGTCAGTGGTAAACCGGGGAATCCCTTTGTACAGAAATTTACAAAAGAGAATTGCAAGCGTCTTGGTGTACCCAATTACTTTGACTATGTGAAGAACCCGATGGACTTGACAAGAATGAAGGAAAAGGTAGAGCATGCAGAATACACCAAGATTGACCAGTTGACGACTGACATTAAGCTGATGGCTGCAAATGCTAAAACATTCAACCGTGTGGGCGAACCGGTCCACCAAATGGCTATTGAGATTGAACAGCTCTACGAGTCCAAGTTGGCTGGGTACAAGAAGATGTTTGACGAGTTGCAACAGGAGCGCAAAAAGCGAAAGAAAGACAAGAAGAAACGCAAAGAGAAAAAGAAAGAAAAGTGAGTCGATCAGATGCAGAGTGCCACTTTTGTTTTCAGCAGCATGTACGGAATTCAACACATACTGGAGCTTTGCTATTCCACAACAAGTTGTAGTGTCTCTTCTCCATCTTCATCACGTTCACGTTTTCCTCCCATCGCAACGTCAAGGATTGGATCGATTGGTAGCCACCAGTTCCACATATTGCAACCAAAGTAGACCATTACATTGTGTTTAAAGCTGCAATCCGTGAGCTCTCCCTGCTTTCCTGCCAAAAACTCAAGCGTCGTCTTTCCTTCTCGCAAAAGCCACAGATGGAATATGAAATATCCAGTCAACAGCAGACCAATCCCCAAGGTCAATGCCCAGCTACAATGAAGCAAAGCTTGATACTGTCTGTATCTCGTATCCCATGTCAATATTGAAGCCATTCCATTGAATATCCAGCAGCTGAGCGACGTGTAGAAGAGAAACAGTAGAAAGAACTTTTTGTTCTTCCAGGCGACACAATTTCCTGTCCAAGGGCAATGATGGTCCATTCGATAGATACATCGATTGCATACGGAACAATGATGGACATTCATTGCTTTATTTGCATCACAACGCTCACAATAACGCGTTATTTGCTCCTTCATGTGATTCTTGTCAGGAATTGACTTGATATTATTGACAGGACGAGGTGTCATGGCTCGTATATAACTCCAAATCATTAGAATTATAATACAGAAATAGAATAAATTAAGTACAAGACTATAGTGAGGACGTAATACGATGATCCATGTATATATCTTTAGTAATATAAGACCAAGAACGACAAGGACGAAGCCCTTGCTCATAATAAAAAAAGATGAGAGGATAGTGAGCAATTAATTGATTGCGCTATTGTTATTATTTAGAGAATACGTACTTGATAATTGATTATAACAACGAGTCTCAAGATAGGACCTATTTTTTGATCAGCCACAATTTTTGTATGCGACATTGACTATTTTACGTACAGATCAGATTAGGTCAGATCAGGTCAGATCATCAGATCAGGTCAGATTAGATCAAATAGGTATGAAACTATTGTCAATGGTTGTGCTCAGATCGCAATTCTTTCATTATTTTGTGTGCTTACGACATCAACCGACGCATTTCTTTCGTCCTCATTACGACCTCAGCTTGTAAAAGTGTATACCTCCACACCCCATGGTCCAAACATCGATCATTCTTCATGCGTGTGGAGCAACCATTGGAGTCGTATGGTGCTGCGACGAGTTATCCTGCTTTCGCAAACCACGATCAGCGCGAGGGCGTCCACCTTCCTTCGATCCGCTGCGTTTGCATCTCTGCGCATCACTCTTCTCGTCGTTTACGCGTCGTACACGAGAGTAGCGCGACTTTGTAGGCGACCCGTTGCCAGACTTGTTGCCACCACTATTACTACCCTTCTCTCTCCAGCGTCCCCATTGTCCACGGCGACGAGAATTTTTGCCCTGCGGACTGTTTCCACCTGAATCATGCTCCTTCTTATCGTTCCCAGAGGAGCCCGATGAAGCAGAAGGAGATGGCGTCCGCTCGTTAGATACTTCTGTCGTAACCGCTGCAAACGAGAGAGGCGGAGCAGGAGTTGAAGCGAGTCGGTGCTGAGCCTCGCTAGCCACAACTTCGGGCATTTCTGCCTGCATTTTGGTTACCTTAACTTCTACAGCAGTCTCACTGCCGTGCTTCGACTCCAGCTGTGATTCTGTAAAAAAACTGATCTGCGGCATCATGTTTATCTCAGCAGGTACGGCAGGAATGCCCAAGGTGTCTTCAACTAGAGCAGCAGATACTGCCGCCTCTAAACCAAATTCGGCCACAGTCTCTTCCACTTCCTCCTTTATCGGTTTCTTTGACGAAATATCCACCAACTCATCTACAAGAGCGCGTAAGCCACAATAGGTCGTTTTACACGCAAACACTTTGTCGCTCTTTATGAGATACTTTTTAGCTTCCTCCAACGATTCTATCAAGTTCTCTTCATACGACAACTCAGCAGGAGGTCGTGTATTACCCAGCAGTACCTTAGAAAAAAAGTCCAGCACCATGGGTACTTCTTTACCCAAAGATTGATGTAAATTAACAACATGCAGCGTCTTTAGCAGCTCGTACACGTTGTGAAAATCCTCCACCTTCTCCTGATCCACTACAACTGGTTCAATTGGTTTTTCCACCACGTGCATCTCCTTCTTTTCCACCTCTTGGACCTGTTCTTCCTGTTTCACAACCTTCTCCCTCACATTTCCTTCTTCAACTTGCTCAATTCCTTTTGCAGCAGCTGTAACAGTTTCAACTGCAACCACTTGCAATTGCTCTTGCTGTTTTAGTTCCATTTCTTGATTGTAAACACCAATAAACTGCTCGCGAAGCATCTCTAACTCTTGCACCAGCTTCTCTAATGGTATTTTGTTATTCATTAGCGCTATTTGCTGCGCATTCAATACTTTTCCTTCATTAGCTTGAGCTTGTTCCAATGCTTTAATCTTCTCAAGCTTCTTACGGTGCGTACGAATGCGTTTATATAATACACTCATATATGGGTGGTCCACACACAACTGGTACACCTCATCCTCTTCAGCAACAACAGCCTTATTCTTTATCTTCTTTGCTTTCATCTTTTGAAATGATGTAATCGTCTTTATAGAAGAAGAAGAAGGAAAAGGAGAAGAAGATAAAGACTCACAAACAGATGCAATCATACTAGACTCTGTCTTCTCCTTCTCAACAACAACACTGGACTTAGTACTAGACATTAGGCTCTCAATACTGTCCGAACGTTTTCAAGAAATGACGGATAAAACAAGGAAAATCCCCACACCTAAATCATGTGGGACACAATATTTAGCAACTTGATTTACAAGATCAAGGGATTTACATATTTTGTAACGTTAGACAGCTTCGGTAATCTCGTCGACAATAACTTCAGTCACCTTGATCCCAAAGGTACCATTACCAATAACGACAGTTTCAAGTGGCGTACCAGACATTTCATGTTGACTGAATGTAGACCCACAAGCTTCAATCGTCTCTACATTCGACGTCAGCATATCAGAATCTTGTTCGTCCACAGGTTCAGCAACTTCAACTTCAACTTCAACTTTACCCTCAATTGCAGCATCACAACGACCTTCACTCTTGATTATTTCAGCCATACCACCAGTATCAACCACTTCATTATTCTCCTCGTCCGTAGCTTCTATAGTCTCCATGTCACTTGCTCTTCTAGCTTCGGGAATCAGCTGCTCACTACGTTGCTCACTTCCGTCGTCTATGAATGTGGTAGTTATATCGTCGGAGACAAGACCCAATTGCTCCTTCAGGTGTGGACACACAGCATCAATCACTGCGCATGTTTCATCATACAACGTTTCAGTACTGTCCTTCGTGCTCACGCGTTCAAGGACATCTTCAGCCTTCAGTACAAGCAGTAGATTATACAATGACTGCAGTGTTGTCTCAAACACAACACTCGAGTGCTGAGATCGCATGGAAGGCGAATTAGATGCTACTAGTTTAATTGCTAGACGACGCAGCACATTCAGCCACAGCTCTGAAAAGTCGGATAACTCCATTAACACGTTCAAGTTGTGGAGAAATGTCTTGGACAGCAATGTGACACTATACAAAGGAGCATCACGCGCCTTTCTCACTGTCATATCAGTCGCCTGGTCGTCAAAAGCAAAAATAATGTCAGCAAAACATTGTTTCCACGTGTCTTTTGCAATCGGTACTCCAGGAAGTAGTAACGAATTGCGTAAACAATCCCATGCGGTCTTTGCTAAGGGCGGTCGATCATCATTTAGGTATTTTAGCATCACCCGCATGACTTGAAGCCACGAATTGCCATTCATTTTGTATGTGTTGTCACTGTTGGCCAGTGTTTGAAGAAGCTTCAATGCGTCAACTGCATAAGATGTCCGATGACGAACAAATTCACAGCATAAAGACATCCACGGCGTAAAGTTATCATCATTCAAGTGTCCTCCTTCCGCCAGCACAACGACGCTTTCCCAGCAGGCTGATCGACTATTGATATATTCAACCACATTGCTCAAGATGCCCAATAATACCTCCCAGTCATGGAAATCGTGCATGTACACACGGTTCGCCTTGAGCAACATGGTCATACCTGACGCTAGTCGATCACTCAGGGCCTTGTTTATATCATAATCCATCGTCAAAAGCAGCTCGAGTGTCGCCATCAACTTGGGCCGAATCTGCTCGTCGTGAAATAGTCGAATACTGACTCGCAGAATATGCACCACTACACGTTCAACAAGTCCCCGCATGTGCAATTCGTTCAATGGTGTCGATAAGATGCGCTTCGCGTACAGGTGAAACGAGTCCCACAAGCTAAGCTGCAAGATGCGGTGTGAGTTAACTAAGATAATGTCCACACTCAATTCTAGCACCAAAATCGCGTTCTCCTGCATCATTGCATCCACACCCGAATCAGATGGCTGCACAATGCACTTGAACGGATCGCGGCACAGGATCAACGTCTCAAGCAGGCTTGTAAGCGACTTCTCGTGTAATTTGCGGGTCAAACGAAGCCAATTCTCCTTTTCAAGGATTCCACCACCAAGTTTCATTACCTCTTTACGAAGCATTTTGTTTACCAATGAAAAACTTTCATCAATCTTCTCTTCCTCAGCCCAGAGGTAGTATGACAAAGAACCCCAGAGAGAACCACCATTAGCACTTTGTCCGTGACTCCCGTAGGCAGTACCCTGACTAGCTTGTGTCATGCTTTTCATACGACTTCGAATTGCCTCTTGGCGCTCCGCCTGTCGTCTCGACCGCTCACGGGTCTTTCCAGACAGACCTGTTCCACCTTGGCCACGACCTGGCAATAACTTCGACGAAGAGGAATCATGGACCGAAGCTCCACCCTGCATTGGAGGCAAAGGCACACCACGTGAGTCAACAAAATCATCAATCTCTACCAATGACGTAGGAACCGCGTCCAGCTCATTAAACATTAGCATGCATTCCACCACATGCGCCCAGCCCTTGCGAAAGTATTCACTTTTATTCTGCACAAACTGAAACAGCAATTTTAGCGATAAAAGCGCACGACGCGTCTTTGCTCCTTGCACGACATCTTCATCAATCGAAGGACCTAATTGCTCTGGAGATGCCAAGATCTCAATTTCAGAACCATCATCCTGACGGTGCACAATTCGCTCTTCAATAGCCTCCGTCGTACTATGCTCCGACGGGGACGAGAGCGAAAAAGAGTGTTTCGACGAGCTTGGTGGCACATACACTTTTTCACCGCTCAAAATGCCGTGAGCAAAAGTGAGAAAGTAAGATGAAAGAACACCCATAATTTTGTTGAACTCGCCAAGCATATCATAATAGAGCATGATCTTGGTGCAGTTACTCAGTCCTTCCAAAGCACGCTCCATATTGTTCAAGTCGCATGTCCTTTCGAACGCCAACAATATGCTCTTAATAGTGCTCTCGGAAATCAGATTGAACATGTCCTTTTCGTAAAGACCAGCACGCAGCTTCAGAATGCTCGTATTCGATGTGAAGCTTGCGCCCACTACATTCTCCGAGCGCTTCAGTACCCCTTCCCACTGCATTGAGTATCTGTCAACCGTCGAGGACGGAGATTCCATAAAATCTGACACATCATGCTGCATTTGTATCTCCTTTTCCAAGATATTGTAATACAAGTTCGTCAAATACTCCTCCGGCAAATCTTGGCCGGCATTAATTCCGCGGTTGTTGCGAACAAACTCTTCCACCGTCATTTTCTTTGTAATGTGGTCTGAGTGCAAATCTGTATTCAGCATGATGATACTAAATGACAACACATAAGCGGCATCGGCGTCGGCTAGAGGCCCTGAAGAACCTGCTTGCAGATACAACTGCTTGGAAAATGCTTCCATCATTCGATCGATTTTTTGCGCCTCTCCAGGCAAGCGAAACTTTGCCAAAAACATTCGCAGTGCTTCATCCAATGACGAGGCCGAGTGGAAGTCAAACATTGCAACATAAGCGTTTCGCACCGCAGCATTAAACGGATACTTCTCAATCGGACCATCGCCAATGTATTCACCGATAAGCGTCTTGTTCAGACCGGGTGTGTGCAGCAGAAATGACGCGACAGATTCAGGGGTCAACTTCTCGGGCAAAAGTCCAATTTGCTGCGAAAATGCCATCCAATTCTTTTGGTCGTGATTAAATTTCTCCGCTGCCAATGCGTAGCGTTTTTTGATACGCTTGCGCTGCTGCAACACTTCAGCAGTTCGTTCACGAGCCGTGTGTAGCCACGCTAGCTGGTCCGCCGGGTTATCTTGTTCACTCTGCTCGGATTCCGAGTCGCTCTCACTTCCTGACATCATAAGATGCATAAGATCCCGAACTGAAGACATGGGTGAAATGTCTTCCATTGTAAACTCGCCAGACATGCTCTCGTTGTCAGGAAGTGCTCTTGTCGTGAACCGTGCTAAATCAGAGCCTTTCAGACTTAAGATACCTGAGTTACTTCCAAAAGTCTTCGATCCTGACGTCTTTATAGAAGTGTTCAATGGACAACGTCGCGCGATGGACTCAATGACTGCTAATAATCCCTCAAGGCACAGCAACGTCAAAGCATTAAGACTGCCATCAGTGCCAGACATGGATTGACAGTTTTTGGCCAGCGATTTGCACAATACCTCGAACAGATTTGTGCAGTGTACATCGCAATCATAATTAATATACAGGTCCAGCATGAGTGCCGGCTCCCTGCAAAACTCCAGCAAAGACTCCAATGCCAACTCCTTCTGTTCATTCGAGCACGACGGCGAATCAATAATGCGCATATGTACGCTTGTAAAGAATACTTCCAATTGCACCTTCAGATGATCCTTGATCGAGTTAAACAAGTTGAAAACAACGCGCAGCGTGAGCGACAAAATACCCAGTTCCTCCGTTTCTGAATTCTGGAGCAAAAATTTGGACAAATCTCCTTGCAATACGGAAACCAAGGACGGATGGTTTCCAAGTCCCGTGCCAGCCGTCTCCAGAACAACATTAATCAACCTTAATCCTTGAACGCACGTCATTTCTTCATTCTCCGTCGGTGAGATCAAACTTGAGATAAAGTGCAAAATTCGCTCCAACAATGGGATTCCGTATGGTTTTTCTACTGTTTTAGCAAGAACTTCCAATGTTGGATCGAGTGAATTTACAGGTTGCCGTGCTGACAAAGTATCAAGACTATCATCGTAGTCTGGAATACATTCTTCTGTCTCGGTTTTCATTGTTTCATCATCCACTTCATTTTGTGCTTCCATCTGTGGTGAACTTGACGTCAAGGATGGACTGCTTTTTCTTCTTGAACCAAGTTCATTAATTCGATCAAATACTGTCAACACCAAGTGTGATAGCGTATTATCTGCTGATCGACATAAATGCATGGACGATCGTGGTTGGCTACGTATACTATAACATAATTGAATCATTTTCCATAAATTCTCGCCTGAGATCAAATATCCTGCTTCACATCGTACTGCGTATTCCACAAGTTCCAATAATTTCATTAATACTGCTTCATCATCAGCTCGATGGGTTTCTTCAAATCGACAACGATAGACACAGAGTGCAATGCGATTAATTGCAACATCCGCTCGCAGTGATTCACACGTGATCAGACCATATAATAGAAATTTATTAATTGCGGAAATGGCAGCACCTGTGATAAATCCACTTGTACGTTCTGATTCAATCACCATAATAAATGGAATCAGATACGTTACTGTATCCACATCATTTAAATCAATAACTGATTGCAAATCATAATGTAACTGTTTAAATGCACGCATCATTGGCGATTGAGTGGATGCTGGAATTTCCTGTGTAAATCGATCAATACTTGCCCATCGTGCATTAATACGCATCATAGATAAAACATTATGAATTTCACCCTTGATACAATTCATTGGAATAGAAATGAAAAAGTGAGTTTGATGATACAAGAGGAACGAACTTGATGGAAATGACGTGTCGTGGTCAATCAAAAATGCTTATGTTGCTGAAGAAAAAGACAAATGTTGCAATACGAGTGATTGAACATGTGACGTGTGGCAAACACAAAACATGGGCTTTAAAAAATGGGTAACTATAGATCTGATCCTTGTTTTTTTTTGAGTACCAAATGAAAAAAAAAAGTAAGAAAAAACATGAGGATTTTGACACTGCGATATGTGTTCGTTCTTTTCATTAATGACAAGTCCCTCGCTTTAGCTCATATGGGCATCTTCGTAGGAGACGTTCGCTTGTACTTAATATGCTGCTTAGTCAGTTTAGAAAGTACCGTATTTGTCACTTTGAAACACAAAGCACGTTCCAATAGTGGCATTTCGGCAAGTATTTCCTGTGCATTATCTGCAAAGGTGTTGAAAAACTCCATAATCTCATCAATTGGTTTGTTCATGACAAACTTTCCTGATAGCTTTAAAATTGCTATTGCCACTCGAAGCATGATCTTCCAACTCTTTTCATATAGAAAAATATCCCAAATACGATCCAGAGATTCCGTCGGAAGCACGTTCAAGTAGAGATAAAGCGTCTGGAACCAACCAACTGCAAACATCTCAATGGGCACCTTCTCAATTGCAAAATGTTCCACAAGACCTGGATCAGCCAACTCGAATAGCTTTTGCGCCTGAAAACAGTGCACATGCAACCGTTGTAGTCCTGGTGCAAACATATCGTGTAGACCGTACTGCTCAAAGAGCGTCACGAGCAGCCAATATGTGCTCTCTGCTTCACCTTTTGTGTCCTGAGCAGAGCCACTCCTCTTCACTTTGTTTAGTACATGTGCAGCAATATAATCCATGCCTTGACAATACCCAACGACTGGAAATCGACCTGCCAGCGCGTGCAAAATATCGCTCAACTGTCTGGTCAAGTCTTCCTCGGACACTTTATCTTTGTAGTCGGACGCGCGCTTGTGAGGTGCAACACGACCATATGTTCGTCGAACATCCGTCATGATTGACTCCGTCGCATCACCCTTCGATAGGCCCATATGCAAGTATGTGTCGTAGTCCAACTCAGCAGTTTCTCGGGTCTTTCGAGCGTTGGTTGTCTTCTCCCAGTACGCAAAGCGAAGACTAGATGGAAGATGTCCGTAACGAACGCAAAACTTTTCCAACCGCTGTTCCGAGCTGACAAAGTCCCGACAACCTTTATTTACGCAAGATACTCGCGCCAATACTAGCAAGTCTCCACAATATAGCAGAATATTTCCTAGCAAATAAGGTGAAGCAAAAACATGATCTCCAGGACTAATAAAAGTCACTTGATCATTATCAGTCGAGTGAGTACTAGAATTGCTGACTGTTCGTGCTATAATAATCAAAAGAAATACACACCACTATTAGCAAAACACTTTCATCCCTCAACATCGTGTGTATCCACTCACTTACTCATTCTCAATAGTCCTTTTGCTCGAATCGGCGACTCTGCTGTTAAATTCTTGTACTTCAAAAGAAAGATACAACTTGCATTCCTAGGGCCCTCAACATACTTTAAAATATCCACTGAAGTGTCTCCTAAATAAATGTCTGTCATTACATTCAATCCCATTGTTTGAATCCTCCCGGCCACAGGTCGAGCCGCTGCCAACCCGTTCATAAACATACTCCAACCTTGACTCGATCCTTCCTTTACTTTACTTGCTGCTGTCGTGAGCCCTGCAGTAGCTGACGTCGTAGCCTTTTTGACAATCGTTGGCTGGTATCTCTCTAACCTGATCATCAGAAGATAGAAATATACATAGAAATGAAGCCATTTAAAAATCTCCATCACCACGAGATAGTATTATCATCACCTTGTATTTCTTACTGTTTGCTTGTTTTGTCTCTCATCTGTGATAATTGAGGTCCTAATGACTTCTTGGCTGTAACTGCTCGGTCTTTTATCATACCAAATGCACTCACCAATCCATGAGAATTCTCTCCAGTAACTGCTGGTGCATTATCACCTGCATCTTCTTCTTCTTCCTTCCTCGCTGGGTCCACTGGCTTCACTATGGAAGCTACTGACTGCACGTCGTCACCTCCAGAGCTTGAAGCTGAAGACAAAGACGCAGAAGTCGACAGAGGCAATGCAGCAACATCATCAACAGTCATTGAAAGCTCAGTACTAGTGCTTTTCATACAAGCAGTAGACGTGCTTCTACTACGGAATAAATTTAAGAGTGTGATGCAAAAGAGTCCGTGGAATGAATGAAAGAGTGAGTGAGTAGCAGCGGTATGGAAAAACACGCCATCAAGCTTATACCGAAAAGATAGACTGGTTTTTCGAAGAAATAATTGGGTAGATGGAGTTAGTAATCCTAACAAATTACTAAAAGCAGGAGAATTGCTGTTAAATTGTGACCTTTTGACAAAATGTACTGACTCTATACCTCCTTTTTACCCCGTGTTTTTACATGTGTATACATGTAATCGCTAATTAGAAGTAAGATCCCAACTTTTAATGGGCGCACATAAAACATCCAAAACCCTAGACAATACTTTTTGACACTATTTAAATAAAACCCATTAAAAGAACCCACTTTGACACACTCTGAATAATGACTACTGTACACATCGACGTCCTACCACCACGTCCTACACACGAGGAGGAGGAGAATACATTAAGCAATGAAGACCCATTACTACGTCTTCCTTCTTCCTCTACTACTACCACCACTACTACTACTACTTCTACTACCACTACTTTACCATTCAATCAAACAAATGCTCATCCTTATCGTTCTCATCGTGCTGGACCTTCTCGACGTCGTAACATTGGCAAAGGCATTCAATTGATTCTACTTCGTAAATACGTTCAATGTGCAAAGGAATTAAATCGATTACCTGATCGATTACTGACGGAAGAATTACTTGAACAAGGTTATGATGAATTTTATTATCAAGGAGGGAATTTAAATGAATATCGATTGAATTATACGGCATTTCTTAAATTAGTACGTAATCGAAGAAGTGAAGTACGTGGAAGTAGCTTACGTAATCATCAACGGTATGTTGTAACAAGTAGAGAGTTTGAGTGATGATTACTGACTCAATGTGGATTGAAATAATGATACGAACTAGAGGTGGAACGAGACGCTCGCACAAGGAACAGATGGAGATACAAATGCTGATTAACGAGTTAGAGCACGTGCGACAAGCTCAGACGCGGAATACGATGAATAATGATGCACTGGGCACGATTTCAAGCAATGAACATTCGCGTCCAGTGATGACGGACATGTCTGTACCGATTTTATCGGACTCGTCATCGATGATGGGAAATACGAGAACCGACGGTGGAGTATCGACGGAAGACGTGTCCGCATCAGAGACGTACTCTTCCGTCATGTCAGGGACAGATGAGAAAAATGACAGTGTGGTTGTCTCGCAATCCGAGTTGGAAGTGATGCTGAGAGTGGCACAGGAGACGCTCATGGCGCAGAAAAAGATTTTGGAGGAGGTTCGAGCAATTGAACAGCGGATTGCAGCCATTTACTAGCTGCGCGAAAAGAAGGTCTTTATGAAAATGTATTCTGTTCAATTGTGACAACTGCGGTGTGTATGTTCAATTGTGACAACTGCGGTGTCTGTCTGCACAAATGCTAGACAGTCTAGCTACTTTTGGCAGTGGTGCTCAATCTATGGTGCGGTATACTGAAGCGACGGTAAGACTCTGCAGTAGAGCAACTCAAACATGGTTTCGAATGGCAGACCATGTTGGGATGATCTTCCGCTTGCCGAACATGCAGCGAGTTTTGCACATGCGTCAAGGCTAGATTCCACCGCTTTGTCTAGTTTGCCACCTCTACTTCACACGGTAAAGCTAATGTCGGTTACGTTCCGTACTCGTAGATAATCACGCATCAAGTTCACGCTTTCGTACACATCTATTTTTGCGGCAGAATAGCTAGCAGTGCTTACTCACAAAAGCTTGCAATATAGTATAAATGCACTGTCACCAAAGTACGAGGCACGGTTGTCGGTAACGACAAGCTTGGATGCGGAGGACAACATTGATACCATTCTCTGCTCATAGACAGAATGGAAAACGAGTCTCTTTAGTATATCGTGAGCCATCATCCCATTCTAGCTATCACGTAATCATCTCCTTTCAGTCATCAGAATCTCCGTCCATTCATTTTTCTTTGACCCTTATCAATTGCCATCTCAACCTCTCCATAATTAGATCTGCAAAGTGAGACTTGTTACCATGGCATTTCTCACACTCTTTCCAGCGCTGGTGTTGTTTCTATCAGAATTCATGGTCAAGGCTGAACAGTGCACGATCCAAGCAACGACAGATATACGTCGATCAATTGTTTTGGATTCTAATTATGCTATGTGCCAATCTGATAGCAACTACACGTTCGTACCATACACAAATCCCTCCATCAGTCAGACTCGTGACTTTTGCTCCAGCTCTGCTTGTCAGAGTTTACTAAACATCACGTTAACCTCAGGTTTATTACCTAAATGTAAAGTGCTGGTTGGTACTCAAGCTTATAATGTCACTGAAGCAATCACTCTTCTTGCATTCAAGTGTAAATCTGCTATCAATCAACTAAAGCTGGACGAACGAGTGATATACAAGAATGATGTTGAGAATAAAGCCCCACGTACGTCTGATCATGTTGCTAGTATCATTGGTCATTCCGTACCAATGGAGGAAGTTAATTTAGTAGGGATTTTTCTATCTTTATTTCGTAGCTAGTAATCAAGATTGATTACACGTTGAAGCTGTCATTTATTCGTAGCTAGTAATCAAGATTGTTTACACGTTGAAGCTGTCATTTAAAAGTCATGATTATTCAATGGTACGTATCTTATGTGTACCACTATTTTATTATCATGATGAATGTATGGTCATGATTCACTCACTCAAATGATTACGAAGGTTTTCAGTTACATTTCAGTACAAAATGGCTCCCCATGAGACATCTATAGATTCGAAAGCGACAAATAGACAGAGTGTCGATCTGATTGTTTTTGCTGCTCACGTAATCCCTGTTATACCTCGTGATGTAATCTTATCGGATTATGCCATTGTTATTACTAATTCCCGCATTATCGCATTATTACCACATGACGAGGCTGTCAGTCGTTTTGTCGGTATGGAAGAGCGTCATCTATTCAACCACATTGTCATGCCCGGTCTTGTAAATCTACATACACACTCGGCCATGACGCTATTACGTGGCTTAGCGGACGACAAGGCGCTTTGTGACTGGCTCGTACAAGATATTTGGCCTACGGAGAACGCATTCATTGGTCCTGAATTTGTCAAGGTTGGTACGACACATGCTGTAGCTGAGATGCTACGCTGTGGCACCACATGCTGCAATGACATGTACTTCTTTCCTGATGATGTGTGTAGTGTCCTGGAGGAAACAGGATTCCGTGGGGTAGTGGGACAGATTATCATGGAGTTTCCAGGTCCATATGGCTCTGGCCCCGATAATATCTTTGCCAAGGCACAACCGAACCTCAAGAAGTACGCACCGGGCTGTCATGATCTCATTACGGTGACAATGGCACCACATGCACCATACACAGTCTCGGACAAGAACTTGCAGCGTGCGAATGCACTGGCCAAAGAATACAAGGCGCGCATGCATATTCATCTGCATGAGACGACAAGTGAGTGCTGTGACAGCGAAATGCTTAACCGACAGTCAATGAATTGCCATCAGAGCGATCAAAAGCTACGTCCGCTGGCCAATTTGAAGCGGATGGGTCTACTGTCGGAGCACCTTATCTGCGCGCATATGACGCAGCTAACGAAGGATGAGATGGATGACGTTGCCGAGGCTGGTGCTCATGTGGCGCACTGCCCGTCGTCTAACCTCAAATTGGCTTCTGGTATTGCGCCTATCGCGGAGATGATCAAGCGCGGTGTGAATGTTGGCATTGGTACGGACGGCGCTGCCAGCAACAATTCGCTTGACATGTTCGGCGAGATGAAGCTAGCTGCTATATTGGCCAAGGTACAGACGCTCCAAAGCTCCAGTCTGCCTGCTGTTGAGGTGCTACAGATGGCTACGCTTAATGGTGCTCGCGCTCTCGGCCTTGAGAAGGACATTGGCTCTATTGAGGTAGGCAAGCGTGCGGATGTCATTGCTGTCGAGTGCGACAACATTGAAATGATACCCATGTACAACGCCATTAGCCACATCGTATATGTGGCTGGGCGTGAGCACGTTTCTGACGTCTGGATCAACGGCAAGCACCTGCTCGACAATCACAAGCTCACGACCATCGACGAAGCGCAGGTAAAGAAGAGCGTGCGTGAGTGGGCAGTCAAGATCGCCGCTCACCGTGAGCAGCAAAAGTCGCTGCAGTAGATGATCTTGCCTCTTTTTGATAGATACGTGCACAAAGGACGCAATGTGCACCATCACATGCAAATGCAGGCTCCGTAGATTTGATATTGCAAATAGCTTCGATGATGATGAATTTGTGATCGTTTAGTGACTAAGAAACAAAAGACGTGCCGCCGCGACGTTCTACTCCGACACCGTATGTCCACGCGCACTAGCGATATATTCAATGTACATAGCGCTATGTTAATGTGTGGACGCATCCGGCTGTCATCATTCAGAGGCGGAGGTGACGACAATACCAAGTTGTCACCGACCAGAATGTAGCTGCAACAATAACGTCGTCATTGCGTAACTTTGATATGGAATTGACCTACAAAGTGCTGCCTGAACATGTTTGTTGACGAGGACAATGCCATAGTGCTGTGAAATAAATTGTAGTGCGTCCAACGACTTGTTCTTCTTCTTCGTCTACCAACACAGTGCAACAGCATTCAGCAACATGTAATATGCCTTACAACCCCCTTCCTCACGTTCCACAAAGCGAAATCACCACCGTACCACAATTCTACACCAACAAAACAAAACGACCATCTTTCTTCTTCCTACTGAATTTTCATCATAAAATTCGGATCCCGCCGGTACTTGGCTTCAAACCGTTCCATCCACTTGTCAAGCAAATTTGTGGGGATCGTCATATAGCTCTGATTGTTGCTCGTAGAAAAGGAACTGAGGTAGTTGAATAGGTCCTGAGCAATTTTTAACGCAAACGCTTTGCGTTCCTCCAGTCCGCTAGCTTCAATGCCCAAGTTCTTGACACTGTCCAGATTTTCAATGGACACACCAAGTTGCAAGACGGGCTGGCCCACTACGTCTGGATGTGTTGGCCACGATGTCCGGAAGATAGCGCTCGGTTTTTCTGCAAATACTGTCCCTAGTAATTGCCAGTTCTGCAACGCAGGCACTGCAAAATACAAGACCGCTATCATGACATCCAAGAATTTTGACTCAGTCAGACTCACTAATATAAAACAGCTGATCCATACAGGGTCATGGAATTGATGACCATATGGATACATTTGACGTACCTCCAAAAGCCTAACGGCACTGGTGATCCTGGTAATAAAAAGAATGTAAGGTCCGTAATCTGTGTTGGGTCGAGGATATCCACTACGTAGTGTGCTGGACCAATCTCTCTTTATATAGTAAACATTTCAATGAAAGTGCGCAAAACGCATTTAGATGCAACAAGACGTATAAAAAGCAACAGAACACGAAATTATAGTGAGACACTGACCGAAAATCAGTCATAACGGGACGTCCTGCAATCACAAGCCCAAACTGGGCAATTCCTGCCATTATTGTCAAATAACGATATTTTTCAAATAATACCAAAAAAACGAAAAGTTCTGGAAAATGCGATACGTGTGACATAGCAAAAACATAGGAACAAATTGGAACAACCGACGTTAAGTTGGTACCGATCTATGTGCATGACGTTGAGGAATATGGGGCTACTTACTACTAATCGTTTTCACTTCTGCTCTTGAACAGTACTGATTATGAGTCTCGTGCAATGAGACCGTTGTCAAAGTCTTGCGTTTGGCAATGTATTCTTGAACTGTGAGCGATTTCCAGAGCCCTGTAGTGCTTTCCAAACATTTTTCAGTAATCTCAGCCCTCAAAACTTGAGTATGCAAAGAACGTGGCGTAGTTGCATATTGCTCGCGTGGGTAAATGATGCGACAATGTGAGCGGTCATCAGAACGAGACGCTCACTTTCACGTCGGTGTGCTTTTGTCGAAATCTGCATTGGTCAAGCCAAGGTGTACAGGCTGCAGGAACCGTGCTATCAATCTAATTCCTCACCATAATTGGTTGTCAAATAAGAGGCTATCACAACATCAGTGTAGTAGTATAAACACAACTTTTGACTATGAATGTTTAGTACTCCTTGAGCGTCAGTCTCGGCACAATGTTCATGGCTTGTAACTCCTGAAATAGCAACTTGCAAGCATACGGAATGCGAATGCTTACCACTTTTTCTTCAGACTTGCAGTACTGGCACCACCCTTCATAGCCCAGCATGCGGCAGCCCTGACACACATCTGCGCTAAAAGCATCACTAGACAGCATGAGTCGCTCCATGAGAAGCATACTGGCACCATAACCGATAAGACAATCGCGTTCCATTTCACCAAGGCGTAGACCACCGTCACGTGAGCGACCTTCGGTCGGCTGGCGGGTGAGAACAGCACGAGGGCCACGTGCTCGAGCGTGCATTTTGTCCATAACCATGTGCTTAAGCTTTTGGTAGTATATAGGCCCCATGAAAATGTAGCACTCAATTGGCTCGCCCGTAACACCTGATGTCAGGTAGTCCTTGCCAGCGTAGTTAAAGCCATTCTTCAAAAGCTCACGCGAACAGTCCAGTACGTGATCAGCTGAACCGTACTTCTCGCCAAAGGCAGTACCGTAAGCACGACGCCCCGTAAGCACACCAGCCTTGCCTGCAATCAACTCAATCATTTTACCCACAGTCATACGACTAGGGAAACCGTGAGGGTTCATAATCAGATCTGGGCAGATACCTTGATCGTTAAACGGCATATCTTCCTGGTTACGAATCGTGCCGCACACACCCTTCTGACCATGACGACTACTGAACTTGTCACCAATCTCAGGTCTACGCGTCTGACGGATCAGCACCTTTACCAAAAAATGGTTTGCTTCAGATGAAGTCAGCAGAACCTTATCCACGTAAGCTGGAATGGGACCCTTATACGTTATTGGCGAAGGCGAGTACGTAACGTCCAGTGGATCACAACCATCAACCGAGTCATTGAACTGTGTCGGCTGCTCCTTGTTGATCATTATCGCACCATTGTGAACAATGCCGCCAACACGACTAATACCGTCCGCATCCAACGACGAGAATTTGGCATTTCGAAAGCCCAATCCAGCGCCACCAGAGAAAGCTAAGCTGTCAAAATCCGGTGGTCCCACGATGCGATCGTACGAACCATTTGCATACTTTTTGATCATAGTCTGGTATTTCTTAAAAACCATGCAACGTCCAAAGCCACGATCTAATGAAGCTTTGTTAAGGACGATAGCATCTTCAATATCATACCCTGAGTAACTCATTACAGCTACAATGGCGTTTTGTCCTGCCGGCACACGATCAAAATTCACAAGATCTAACACGCGGGTCTTCACCATAGGCATCTGCGGATAAACCATTGTGTAAAGCAGCGTGTCAATACGCTCGAACTGATTCATGGCGATTGTGCCAATTGCCTGTTTTCCCATAGCACACTGGTACGTGTTACGCGGAGACTGGTTGTGGTGAGGATACGGAATAAGCCCCGACACTACACCAAGGATCGTTACTGGATCAATTTCCAAATGAGTTGTCCGGTCACCTATCTCACTTTCGTGCAGAGCTACAAGACAATTGTTCTCCTCATTCACGTCTACATACTCGACACAACCTTCCACAATAAGACTACTAAGGTTGCGCACACCAGCACGTAATTCGTCAAGGTGGCGTTGGGTAAGCCGAGTACGGTGCGTCACTGGGTCGATAAGTAACAGCGGGCGGCAAACACGACCACCGTCAGAAGCAATGTACACAACTCGTTGAACATCGTGAATCATGACGGACACAAATTCACCTATTAGACCCGCACGCCGAATACGACGCAGGCGGGTCACGAAAGCACGCGGATTCACGTGTGTACCAATGATTACACCGTTAAGCATCACGAGGTAATTAGATGCGTGATTGATTTCTTCACCGGAACTCAAAGAAACGTCTGTCACACCTAGATCGAAACACAAACGTTTGATCGGAGCAGGTTCTTCATCTGAAGTCACGTGACACAGCAATGCCAAGTTCTTGACAAGACCACAAGCTTCACCTTCCGGGGTATCAGCAGGACACAGCATACCCCACTGTGATGGCTGCAATGAACGAGGACCCGACACCTTACGCGTCTTCTCGAATTGAGACGAGATACGTGTCATCATACCCAGAGCTGACATATATGACAGTCGTGAGAGCACGTGTGTGACACCCGCGCGATCCATGCGGAAACGTTTAAGCGTCCAGTTACCAGTCGACAGGGCGTGGTAGAAACCCTGGGTGATTGTGTCAGTACGAACACACTTGATAATATCAAAAACCGACGCGCGATTCGGCTTACTCAACACCATATCCGCCTGACGCTTCAAATCGCTGTTAAATCGCTTGAATAAATCCTCAAAAAGCAGGGACAGCAATTGACCAGCTAGCTCAAGACGTTTATTGCCGTAATAGTCCTTGTCATCTAATCGCGTGCGGTCCTTGTCTGTAAATACAATGCGTCGTACAATATGTGCCACGTATATGCTCTTAAGACGAAAGTTAAAGTTCTCGCACGGCACGTGGTTCAGCACCAAGTTGGCCAATGCCGAGCGCGCAGCATCGACTAAACTGCGATCCTGATGCAAACGTACATCGCCTCGACGGTTTCGTCCACCTGTTGCACCCATTTTACTCAATGCATTCATCTTGGATCCAATATATTCGAGTGCTTGTTGCTGTGTAAAGACCTTCAAGTCCGAGGCTTCTTCAAACGAGGCCGACACAGCGTCGCAGATATCAGGCCCACTACCAACCAGACTCACAATTTCCTGATCACTTTCCACTCCCATACCTTTAAACACAATGACAATAGGAATGTCACTACCAAATGAGTTGGACTTTAAATACACGCGTCCCTTATTCAGAAAAATATTCGTTCTCGACTTGCGTTCGTGCGTCGAACTCGTGATACTAGCGCACACGTTGTGCTTGCCGTCTTCTTCAATAATGACTCGATTCTTAGACAGTTGTTCATGAATAAGCACAACCTTTTCTACACCACGAACAATGAAATAACCACCTGGATCATACGGACATTCCTTAAGCTTCGCCAGTGCCGCCTCACTCTTGTCTGCCAGCACACAGCGAGAGCTCCGTAGCATAATAGGAATGCGGCCAATCAATACCTTATTGTTGGTCACAATTTTGTTGCCACGTCGGTAACGTACACTCACATATACAGGTGCAGCATAGGTTCGATCACGTAAGCGACATTGATGTGGTGTCACATTGGCACTCACAAATGCCTCTTCATCAATCGATGGTGCACCTAACTGAATATCTGTATACTGTAAGAAAAATTTAGGGTCTGCATCACTGCGTACAACGTTATTTGCCTGTGCCCGGACGATGTTACGCATATCGACGGACGTAAAGTAGTTAAACGAGTCGATGTGCTGTTTCACGAGGCCACGTAATTGCAGAAAATATGGCAGTAGCTTCCACTTGTTCTGCACACTGTTCACGGGTTTCTTCAACTCTTCCATAGACGCAGCAGACGGCATCATGCCGACGTGAGGACCCATTGACGTTTGTCTTCAAGAGTGCGGAATTTGCAGAATGAAGGTCGCTTCAATCGGTGAAATTACTGGTGCATAAGCAATCAGATGGAATATGGTTGATGTGGTACACACCTTATGATATCCAGATACATGTATACATATTAGTTCCTACAGGTTCATAGGTTGCAAAAATTTTTAACAGTGTAGCCATTTAACATCAACTGCATGGATACTTCTCCTCCTTGCAAATGGTAATTGGGCTATGGACACTTGATGCTCATAGTGATATGCGCAACTGCTATCTCACCTACCTACTTTAATAAGGGTCTACCCATTAGATCTGGCAGTAAAAATGTTACAGGTCATGCGTGGTTGAGGATATCGTGGAGCTCCGCAAGTGCGTCAGTAGCTCTGTCACGAGGGAGCTCTGTGCGCGCAGCACGTCTAGCAGCGCCTGGCGTTCTCTTCCGTCCTGTTGGTATTTGTGCTTCTCCCAAGCTAGTCTTTCCTCCTCCAGCGCTACACGCCGTTCCTCAAGGAGTAACTTCCGTTCTTCCATCACCAGCGTCGTATCTACTGCTACCCGGGGTCTCTTGACCTCTTGGATCGGAGAAGCAACAGACACAGTAGCTGTACGCAGCGGGCGTTTATTACTGCCATTCTGCTGTACATTGTGTTGTACAGTTATACCTGGTGGTACTGGACTAGAACTGCCATGAGATGGGATAGCTGGAGATGCTACTGGTGCTGGGGCAATAGGCATCAAAGTCGCCGGTGGCGTCGTGACCGCAGGAGGCGGCGTAAGTACCGCTGACGAAGGCAACACTATACCCACAGTACCTTCCAAATCTTGTAGACTGCGTTGTGCAGCCTGTAATGCGGACTGCACGCGCTTTTCACGCATCGCTCCTTTATTCAGTGTCTGCTCGTCCACCTGCACAAAATACGGTCGTTATTCAGTCAATTGTGGGCGAAATTTCCACGTCAACCTCACGCAACCGAGCGTCTTACCACTCTTGCCAAAATAGCTAGCAATTTATTCCGCATATCAAATTCTTCCGGTGTACCAGAGCCACGCAAACCTGACATTTCATTTTTACGAAATGCCTCGAGTAGCATATCCACACGCCGCTTTACAATAGCATGATCCAACGCACTACCACGTGTAAATGCTACACCCTTCATGCTTTCCAGCATTGTTTGTACTTGTGTTGCTACATTCATCCATGCAGAACGTGTACGTCCATATCCAGCAGACCATGGAAAACTGCGTATAACTTCACGTACGAGCACTACGTCGAATGCTGGTTTAAAACGAAAGAGTCGTCGTTTACCACCTACACCGTCATCTTCTTCATCATCTCCATCTTGACGCATATCATCCATCATCTCAAGCTTTTGTTCCTCATGTCGCTGCTCGTGCTCTTCTTCCTGCATGATGACAGCGTCTGATTCAAGCGACTGACGTTGTCTCCGAACTGCCATAATTAACTGAATGAGTGATGATGGGTTTTAGTGGACTTGAAATTTGTATGATGAAAGGCGCGAAAAGTCATTCTTAACATTTTGCTGTTTAGAAATTCAATGATTTTTTCGAAAACCCCCCATAAAAATCACGAAAGGAAAGAATGTGGTGCACATCAGTTTGATCAAACCGTTACGTTTTACACTTGAATTGTCTCATGACGTTAAGTGTCGTAATCGTTGATGATCATCACCATTGTCTACTAGATATTCATCTTGTACGTGAATAATTGCAGCATTAGAAAATGCAAATGAAAAGCTATTCTATTTGATAGTGATTGAAAACCTTTAACGTTATGATTATATGTCCTTAGGCAATTCGTCAACGTCTCTTACCGTTTTCTAATATCCACGTGCTACACGTTGATGCTCATCCAGACTTATCCTTTCCCACTACAATTGACACGACTGTTATTTTTCAGCCAGAAAGATTCTATAATGTACTGGAAAATTCCGTTGCTGGTATTGCAGAATTTCTATTGCCTTTAGTATTCCCAGGTCACGTCAGTCAAATTACGTGGTTAAAACCTTCATGGGCGATGCAAGTACGCAACAGTTTGAATGGAGTTTTATCTTGTTTTGAGAGCTTTTGACCCTATCGCGTGTAGATCCCAATTGGAACATTCAAACAACTGGCAATTGGAAAGCGTCAAGCAAATGGTTGGTACTATAGTGACAAGGAGAGGACGAGTTATGATGAAGAATGATTTTTGATTCTTTGTTATAGGTACAATGGGAGTAACGAGTGAGCTACCACATTTCATTCAAGACGGACTATTTTGTCCAGTGGAAGATCTGAATGCGTCTACTCTTCAGTAAGTATTGTAGCTACTGAACCAGATCTGTCAAAACGCTAACATTTTGCAGACTCTGGGATCTATTTGTTACGGAGACCAACTCGTCAAATTATGCGACTGCAGTAGCGACTGATGCCGTGGTCAATGCTCGACAGCATACTAAGGGCTACATCCTTGACATTGATCTTGACTATTTCTCCACCTGGAATCCGTTTCGCAAAGGTGCTGTAGTGTTTGTCCTTCTCTACATCATTTGTACTCATTGTTCGTGTGCAGACTTGGAAGCGCGTATTGGAAACGCAGCTGTGAAAACGGTGACACAAGTTTTTTCATGTCTTCGCTACAAGCAAGCTTCTTGGAGGGATATGGCAGCTACGCGCCGCAACTCGGAGTGGAAAACATTCTGTAAGCTTATTAAACGACTTGAGGCGGCTGATGCAATGGAAAACACCACTACTTGCAGGTCAGAATGGGCGCAAGTTCGAAGTAAACTCATGTTGTTGTACGCAGAACAAATTGATGCCGAAAAGCTCCTTGGCGAGTTCGAACAAGTGCTGGAAAATTATCGAGTTGACAAGTCAACACGACGCGAGATTTGGACAGCAGGACCTTTTCTTGATTTACCGCATCACGAAAGCTCCCACAACGAGATTGAGCGCATGATCAGCGAGCTGGAGCAATTTCTTCGGACGCATGCACTGGACGAAGACAATCCCCCAGCCATTGTGACAATCGCTAAATCAACTGGCGATGAGTACTTGCCTAAATATCAATTAGATGCAATCTTGCCTAGTGTGCTTCAGATGCTCGAGCGAGTTTATGGAGAGTTGGCGACAAGACATGTCGAGTATGAGTCATGAAAATGTGCATGAAGACAAAGTAGCAAGTTGTTGACTCCATGGATCGAATGATATTTGACGTGTAAAAGATAGGTAAAGCTTTTCAGCGACACTATTAGCTTCCGCTCGCCGATTTCAGCCGTGAAGTGTATGCAGCACGATGCCCACTGCGCTTTGACTGCCGTGCCAAATGCCGCGGTGTACAAGCTCGAATCCCTCAGGCCTTCAGACGATCACGTTAAAACCTCTACCAAGCTTTATCAATTCAATTCCAAATATCGACCAGCAGCAGTTTGTCACATTGTCTACCGAACAAAATGCTTGCGGAACGCCCTTACTGGTGTCGAGACACAAGCACTTGCTTCGACCCCACAACAAAGTCTTCGCGACGTTGGTAGCTGCACAAGAAGCACGGTATACCGTTATGCTGAAGATACTCAGTTACGGGCAAAATGACCATCCACTACCCATCGAACGTACAAAATCTCAGCAGCCTTTTGCGCCATTGTGTACATACATGTGCCAGTTTCGTCGACACCTTGACGCTGCCAAAAGGCAAGGCATTAGTATGGTGCAAGTCAGGCACTGTAATCCTGCATATTGTCCACATGAAAGCAGTCTGCATGCCATCAAGTATTCGTGCGAGGTCATGCGTAGTTAGCAAGGTTGTCCATCAGTTCTCAACATGCACCAAGCTGCATCACGCATCGAACAGACCCACTTGTGCTAGCTACCAACGTAACCATTGGCGCATATGTCGTCAGGATAAGAGGCTAATTCAGTGGATTACGCGTGGAGATACCACCATTTTGGCAGCGCTGTACAATGTTATTTACCGGCCGTGAGATGCGTGATATGGCCACTATGGCCACCCGTCGACCAGAAGCTTGAACAATTTCTCAAAAACATCTCAGCTAGTTTTAACACTCTCTGATCATCAAGAGAATCGTCACAAGATCACAATCTTCATGTTTTACATGAACCAATGTCTTTGTCTCTTGTATCGCTTGCAGCGTTTTCCGTACTGCACCAATACCCGTGCTTACAAAACACCACCGTCTGCTGTTCAATTCCTCTTAAACACGAACATTAGCACTGCATGAAGCTTCACGGTTTTATTCAGTAGCAGTAACATCTATATTGTTTTGGATCACAACGTGACACAATAAACTTTGCAAGAGTGTTTGATGACTTTCACAATTAGCTTAAAAAACAGCTCCCCAGACATTAGAATGTAGCGGTTAAGCATGATCTTTCCAGTCACTTGCTGCTTCAATTGCCACTTAAACTGAAGCTTTGATTTGCTTTATGATAAAAACATGTCCATGTTATCAAATCTTATGCTTATACTAAAGATCTCAACACATTAATAACTCAAACTTGTCCTAAAATTGCAAACATTGCAATGCAATTTCTGACTCGTATATCATCCTGGGTCTGTCACCACTCTAAGGCCGGATTCTTCCATATCTTGAGAGAATAAGGACATGACGGACGGCATGTGAAACGAGCTAAAGGTTTCGTAGCCAATGGAAGAATCAGCCATTGTAGATGCTGACTTAACTCGATGATACTGAAGCTTCTAAAGCAAAGTAAGATCTATAGAGTGGACCGATATAAAGAGAACGGACAAATACGTAAGTAAAAGTCATTAGACAGAAGAATGAAGGCGTAGTGAAAGCGTTTTGAAGTGAAACGCGGATGTAGCGCACGCATGATCTTCGGAAATTGAAGCTACATGAAACTACGAACTAACTGGCTATATACTCTTACAATTACCGATAATATATCATCCAATATCAGAATCGAATATGAGCCTAGAATTAGTACGTAGAGCCGCATCTCACTCTCTTCAAGTAAATAATGTGTGAATCACTGAGCGCCATGTCGCAGCCCCATCACAGCTTTTTATGTCTCTTCTGCTCGAGCGAGAGCTAAGATGCGTACAATGCTAACAGGTGGCAGTGATTACGATTAGACGGCAAGATGCACATGCAGATGGTTTTAGTAAGAACAAGATTAAATCTCTCTAGTCATTACTACCATGATTTACAGAGAAGTGGAAGAAAAAAGGCAGCACTGTCGCATGAATCAGGCCAGTTTATAACACGTAGTAAACATCCGTAATCGTCAGTATGAACCGGAAGTGGTGGGTAAAATGAAGAAGCTGGGCTGAGATTCACTGAAGTCTCGTGGGCACGCTTCAGGTATTAAGACGCTATTGTATTTCTTGGCGACTTGTATTACAATATAGGTGTTCAAATTTATGGAAAGAAGTCATGAGCTAGTGACAAGTAAAAGCTCACAAGCAGTCGAACTGTTTGATGAGAGGAGTTTGACTCGATGGAATCCCTCAAGCTGCATTGACTATGATACCGCGAACAGTTCTGAATTTTTGAGGTCTGTATTGTTTGTTATGGACGCCTGGAAGCGGATGGTTATGCAGAAATAAAAATCACTGCGGCCAGCTCCTGTGGACGTTTACTACGACACGCAGCAATACAGGCATCGAGACGTCTGAAGTGGATTTTGTTGATGACGTCACAGCTGTTTATGCCAAGAGTGCCATAAATGGATGCTTGATGTCTTGTACTGCCATTTTGAAAGCTTTTAAAATATCGAACCAAGACTACAATATGTAGACTCTTTGAAACATCAGCGTTCTAGTGTAATCTCGGTCATTATATTGCAGACGGACTTTGCGTTCTCCTGCTCCATGAGATTAAGGCCAGCAGCAATGCGCTTACTGGGGGGAGCGCGTGTAAAACTCTTGATGAGTGCTTGTATCAATCTGAACGAGAAGTGTAGCATCACAACAATCCATGATGAAGAAATTCGTGGAATCTCTTTTCGATATAAATTTCTGCTTTTCTCTTCGACCCGGCATGTCTTGAGCCAAAGCGAGTTCTGCAAAATTTTGACGAGCCTATCCACGCATCAATGGCTGTAAAGTCTGTTAGAGGAATCCACGTCGGTAGATTTCTTGCGGTGCCAAATGAGAATGGCACGCATATCCACGCCATCTTCGGAAGGCCTTGGTCAAGTTCGGGCTGGCTGCAGAGCCGATTTTCGTGTCAGATCATTTCATGTAGTCGCTTTTCAAGAAAGTGTCCTTGCAGCGCCAGGTACTTTGAATGGTTTGCAGTCAGGGAAACAGATCCAAACATTGTTGTCAACATCTTGAAGAAATGGCTGATCGCTTAAAGTTTGTTTGCAGTATCATTTAACAACTAATTGCAACCTATGCTATATCAAATCTACGTTCGAAGAATGACAAAGTGATGACGCTGTCGACTGTGCAAAGACGTCTGTGCGTATATCCTGATGCTCTTCGTTGCAATTTGCATTCATAGTTGTAGTTTTATTTCAACCTTTAGCTAAATGGAAAAGCAAATGCATGCTCGAAGCCTTATTTCGGCATGTTCTGTGATCCTCCATGTGCCGACTTTTCGGTGCTGCAGATAACGCTTGATGTAATTCATTTCGTTTTCAGTATGGTATTCCATCAACCCCGGACGAGTAGTGCACGAACGACAGGTGGAAGATCATCGTTCTTGGCATTGTAGATGAAATGAAGCTGTTGTTGTCCAAACAAAAGCAAAAAACGGATAGCTTCCGATCTTGTATCTACAGTGCGTGATATCCATATTGAAGAAATGACATTTCTAGGAGTTATGTAAAGTTAAGAAGAGCAAGAAGTGGACGGGAAAGTGAGAATAACCTCCATGATTCGATTGGCCTTGGCCACTAATTCACGCATATTTAACTTTTCAACGCATGCGATAGATGGGCAGTGTCACCTTATCTCTCCTATTCGACTAAGCGCAACGCTATCGATTCAGATACCAGAGTGTTATTTGCTGCTTGGCGTCTGTAAGACAAACTTGCTTGTCAGAATCTTTCAAAGTGTCAACAGCAGTAGACGCATCTTTATTTATAAACAAAAGCGACTTCTACACATGTCAATGCTTTTTCGCGGAACAACGAGAACGAGTCGCGTTTGCAGGCTTCGGACAGCCAAAATAGATTTCCATGTCCTGCCGCCAATTTGCGTGCATCATTTCCATTTTTCCTCTCTTGATAGCCTTGACAATAGTCAAGCAACGTGGCTGCTTTGACCCCCATGTAGCTTGAAACTCAGCAGAGTATTCGTGGGTACCACCCTGACATTCCTCCTCGTACATGCAAACTTGACGTTCCAGATCAGCCATGGCCTCAGGAGTCTGACCACCCAAGTAATCCATTGTCTTGTCATACCAAGCAGACACTTGCTTCTCTTCATCGCACTTCGTTTCTTGCGTTACCATCTCGACAATGTTTTTGTCAGTCTTCGCTACGAGCTTGCGTCTATCACCATCAGGTATTGGTGTCGCAGGCGTCGGTCTATCGCAGTTGACGTACAGCTCTGATATATGACCCCTGATTTCATACGAGTAGCTATTCCCGCTGCCCAGATCACGTGCATCCATAAGTCCAGCATACTGATCGGGAACGCCTTCAAAATATCTACCGATGACGGGGTCATCAGTTGCATTGATCTTGTTCCTACCTGCAACGCCGGTGCGCATAACAATCCTGTCAGTCGGTTGGAATACACCTCCATTCCGCTTAGGGCACGAAGTCCAAGCAATGGGGTGGGCTGCCTTCTGATCGAATGTGAGAATCTCAGTTCCTACACGACACTTGTGAAAGATGACGTGAAAAAGATCTATCATGGTGTGAAGAGACCAGAAGATAGGGTCTGCTGGAGCAGCAAACGTGTTCATAACACCTTCTAAATTTGCATGAATGTTATTGTGGCATCCCTGCTCAATGAGTGGTGACATTTGTCCAATGTTTTGGCCACTGAAAATTTGTTCACGGAGTGATGCAAAGCTTGCGGAAGCTGGAACCTCTGCAACTCCCCAGTTTGATCGAGGAACACAGCGAACGCAGTCCTCACCAGAAACGTCTCCGGACTGACAGAAATGATCCAAAGGTGATTCAGTCGCGCAGCGTCCTGAGACTTCTTGCCCATTGATGTTGACAGTTTGCTGTGATCCGGTCGTGTAACCTCCAAGCTCCCTCAAGATTGGCAAGCAGTCTCCAAGAGAAGAACAAGTACCCGCAAGTACACGGTCGTGGGCTCCCACAAAGTTGACGTAAGGTAATGTCACACAAGCAAACTCCGGTCCCTGCGCACGCAGCATGTTCTCAAAGACGACGAGCAGCAAGCGATGCCAGTAGCAAAACATGCAAGTACGGTGTGCCTCCATTTCCACCTGCATCTCAGTGTGAATCTCAACGAACTTGATGTAGGCACCAGAGTCCATTGCAGCGGCGATTGCTCTCTTATACGTGTTCTTCTCAGTCGGTGTTAGAACATCCCAGTCTTTTCGAACTCGTCGACACTGTTCCGGTGCTTCAGTCGACGGAATTGTCGATTCTTCTTGTGCTTCAATCGGCGCAGAAGTCGAGACGAGCACAAGAAAAGTAGCTTTCAGTATCCACCTCAGATTCATAACTATTACAGAGAGGTAGAGAGAGGTGCAAGTGAGACGTCGAGTCAATTGGCAGGAATTAGAACAATGAGACTTTCATCGAGGAGACGAAGGTCGAGCCAGTGAACCATCCTGGACAAAGAGCGTGATTGTTTCTATCTCTCTGCACTGAAATGGGGATCGGCAAGACAACTTTGTGCTCCATTACAAATCTGAAACATGTCGATAGCCTCTTGTGTCGTGCGTCGGCATTTGCATATCTTTGTGAGTTTTCCACACAGATTGGCTTTCAAGTGAGGGTAACTATCCTGCAAAGGTGCCTTTTTTCATGTTGTCGTCGTCTGCCTTGTTTCGGCCTGTAGCTTTCTTCTCCTACGGTCAAGTCGTAAGTGTGACTACAAGTTGAGCCGACTACTACGATCATCACCAGTATCATAGATGTATGGCTCAGCACAAACTGTCTGGCGAGTGGGTAATTCATGTTTTATATTTTCCAATGTGCAAAGTCCCAGCTCCTTGCGTTCCTCGTCATCGTAATAGCATTGGCAACCTCTGTTAGTGGAAACATGTGACCAACTAACCGCAGTTTGCGGTTTCTGGACTACTATACTAGTCTCAATACACTTTTACAAGATAAAAACACATTTCTTCAAGTGTATGCTATCCGCACAGCGATGAGCACCAGATACTTGCATCATTGTGAAGGTTTGGCCGAAAAGCTTACGTCACATACAACTTAATACACATTATGTGATAGCCCTGAAGAATCGATACTTTTCAGCAGCTACGTGGAGCTACAACCAGAAAAAATGGTGACTTGTGCCTCGTGATGACATCTGACTATCCTACCCGCATAGTCAGCACATGTGATACGTGCAGCTGCCTCCTACATACATGTTAACGTCTTCCACAAAACAAACAACGATGACGGCGCGGTGTTCACTAAGAAAGGCTAAATACAAACGTAACAAAAAACTCGATTCATGTTTTCAATATCAATGATCTGGAAAAAAACTCCTAAACAATACACAAAAATCTTACTGGAATATTAACCGATTACACCATACTCGGAAGCGTGTTGATGTCAGATTGAATAGCGCTACCATAGCCACCCGTCTGGATGGCTGGTTGAGTTGCGTTCGCAGGCTTAGGGCAGCCGAAAGAGGATTCCATGTCCTGACGCCACTGTCCGTACACAACTTTCTGTTTTCCGCTCTTGATAGCCTTGACAATGGTCATGCAGCGTGATTCCTTTACCCCCCATGTAGCTTGAAACTCAGCAGAGTATTCAGAGGAGCCACCCAGGCATTGGTCCTCGTACAAGCAAATTTGACGTTCCATGTCAGCCATGACCTCAGGGCAATGGCCACCCATATTAGCTATTGTCTTGTCATACCAAGTAGACACAAGCTCATCTTCAACGCTTCTCTTGTCCACCGTAATCACGTCCACGTTGTTGTTGTTACAATCGTATTGGGGAGAGACATTCGTAGAAGGCGTTGAAGGATGAGTCGGAGAAGGTGTTGGAGAAGGCGTGAGGGAAGGTGTCGGAGAAGGCGTCGGGGAAGGTGTCGGGGAAGGCGACGGAGAAGGCGTCGGGGAAGGCGACGGGGAAAGCGTCGGGGAAGGCGACGGGGAAAGCGTCGGAGAAGGCGTCGGAGAAGATGTCGGAGAAGGTGTCGGAGAAGGCGTCGGAGAAGATGTCGGGTAAGGTGTGGAAGGCGACGGAGAAGGCGTCGGGGAAGGTGTCGGGGGAAAGCGTCGGAGAGAACGTCGGGTAAGGCAGCGTACAAGGCGTCGGGGATGGCGTCGGGGATGGCGTCGGGGATGGCGTCGGGGATGGCGTCGGGGGTGGCGTCGGGGATGGCGTCGGGGATGACGTCGGGGATGGCGTCGGGGATGACGTCGGGGATGACGTCGGGGATGACGTCGTACAAGGTGTCGGGGATGACGTCGGGGATGACGTCGGGGATGACGTCGGGGATGACGTCGGGGATGACGTCGGGGTCGGGGATGACGTCGGGGATGACGTCGGGGATGACGTCGGGGATGACGTCGGGGATGACGTCGTACAAGGTGTCGGGGATGGCGTCGGGGATGACGTCGGGGACGGCGTTGGAGAAGTTGTCGTTTTTACCGCTGCTAGAACGTTGCTTCTCGTCAGAACATCATTGTCGTTCAAAACTTGGTTATTGTCGCTGTCACTCTCCCGAAAAGTATTTCCTGATACACTGTTCCAAAACCAGCCCCACCCATACTCCGCTTCAAGTCTGCGTCCATTACCACGTCTGTTGCCCCAAAGGCTGCGAAACCAGTTAAACAAGTTTAGGCGAGGGGGCTGCGCCGGCGCAGCGGGTGGAGGAACGGGCGGATTGGTAGCGGGCGCGTTGGTACCTGCCAGAGGCACAGCGGGAATAGGCTGTTCAGGAGCAGTGGTAGGCACGACAGCCGGGGGAGGAGCAGGGCCTGAAGTTGTTGGCGCCTGAGGCGGCGTGGTCGGGGGAGCTGTTGGTGCTGCAGTTGTTGGTGCCGGAGTCGAAGTGCCATCGCAGTTGTTGTACAAGTCTGCTAGCTGACCACTGAGTTCATACGTGTAACTACTGTCACCCAAGTCACGCACATCCATAAGTCCGGCATACTGATTGGGAACGCCTGCAAAATATCGACCGATTAGCGGGTCTTGGTTTGCTTGGATCGGGTTGTTTCCATTGACGCCGGTACGCATGAAAATCGCGTCAGACGGACTAAATCTACCTCCGTTCCGCTTAGCGCACGAGGTCCAAGCAATGGGGTGGGCTGCCTTCTGATCGAATGTGAGACGTTGGCTTCCAACGCGACACTTGTGGAAAATAGTGTGAAGAGCATCTACCATGGCATGGTGAGACCAAAAGATAGGGTCTGCTGGAGCTGCAAATGTTCCCATGGTACCTTGTAAATTCGCATGAACGTTGTTATGACATCCCTGCTCAATGAGTGGTGACATTTGTCCAATGTTTTGGCCATTGAAAATTTGTTCACGGATTGATGCAAGGCTTACGGAAGCTGGAACCGCTGCAGATCCCCAGTTTGATCGAGGAACACAGTGAACGCAGGACGAACCAGAAACGTCTCCGGACTGACAGAAATGATCCAAAGGTGATTCAGTCGCGCAGCGCCCCGCGTTGTTAACTCCATTAATGTTGACAGTTTGCTGTGGTCCGGTCGTGTAACCTCCAAGCTCCCTCAAGATTGCCGAACACCCTCCAAGAGAAGAACAAGTACCCGCAAGTACACGGTTATTGGCTTCCATCCAGTTGTAATACGGTACTGTGACACAAGCAAACTCCGGTCCCTGCGCACGCAGCATGTTCTCAAAGACGACGAGCAGCAAGCGATGCCAGTAGCAAAACATGCAAGTACGGTGTGCCTCCATTTCCGACTGCATCTCAGTGTGAATCTCAACGAACTTGATGTAGGCACCAGAGTCCATTGCAGCGGCGATTGCTCTCTTATACGTGTCCTTCTCAGTCGGTGTTAGAACATCCCAGTCTTTTCGAACTCGTCGACACTGTTCCGGTGCTTCAGTCGACGGAATTGTCGATTCTTCTTGTGCTTCAATCGGCGCAGAAGTCGAGACGAGCACAAGAAAAGTAGCTTTCAGTATCCACCTCAGATTCATAACTATTTCAGATAGGTATCAAGTGAGACGTCGGACCAACAGGGTGCAAATCGGATAATGAGCTCGTCCTTGCTGATAAATAGACAGCAAGACGCAGCAAGTGGTAGCCGGAAAAGGCTCACGTAGAAGTGGTCATCATAGAGAAGAATTCTGTGCTACCTCTACTTGGAGCGAAACAAGCATCAACAGTTGGTGGGTGAGGGGATAAATTTTCAAGGTAGTGTGACTCCGACAAGAACGTTTGGGGGTCAACTTCAACTTAGGACATACAAAAGCTTATAGTAATTTCTGATTCTTGAGAGGGTGGTAAACGTGATTTCCGTATGCTGAATACCAGATGCATTAATAGGTTAAAATTGATATCAAACAGCTGCAGCTCTCTACTTACTGCGTACAAACGACATGTGTTTCATTCCTATGACACCAATGTTGTTTCTAGCATTGATATTGGGTCTGAAAACTCGTAACATCACGGAAGCGACCGTGAGCGTAGAAATAGCGTGATCGTGTCGACTCATGATTGCAATAGCTTTTGCGTCTTTAAAAGGAACACATGTAAAGTATGTAATGTAGTCTTATACACAATATCCAACAAGATGGCCGACGAAGCACGAGTTCAGATGGGAGAGAAGGGAATGACCGTGATGTAATTAATCTCCAAAGCTGAAAGTTTGGTAATATTCATTGTCATTTGTCACAGAACCATTCGAATGCGCTTTTGAAAACAGCGACATCGTGGTGGACGAAAAAAAGCCGAACCCAATTGCATGATTTGAGGTTTACAATGAAATACATATGCTACGCTTTTCTTACAACTTGTTAAGAATAAGGACACGAGAACACAAGAGACGAGATCACGAGCTATTATTGGTATCGAATTGTGCTACGTCAGGTAGGTATTGAACGAAAACATAACGCTTTCCGATTCCTTATATTACTACTTTAACCAGACAGTACCATTTTTATGTAACCACAACTGCATTTTATCTAACTTTGCGAAATCCTCGAGGGTGTGCCTTTGGTGCAATCGACAATCTCTACTGTGTGGTGCTGTGAATGTCTGTGCTGGTAATCCATTCTATCGAAGCCACTTCATTGGCTTCAGCAGCAAACATCTGAATGTCTCCTTGCACTGGTTTCCGAGCTGTGATATGTGATTGACAAGTTGGCAAACGGCCGCTATGACGAATTGATACTGTTTGGATGAAGTTTATTGCGCCGCAGTGCACCCGGAAACTTCTTTCACATGAAATTCACTACGACCCAGTGCATCGGACGTGACTTTGTTAAGTTTGGCATTTACGGAACATAGGCACCATGATACACAGTGACTTTGCACACAATGAAGCAGCCTTTTGTTTTTGAAGCAAAAGTCACCTGTAACAGCAACAGCGACTGTAGTATATCGCGTTTGGAGATAATTGTCGACAAGCACGTTATTTGACCGATAAGAGCTTCGTGGCAATAGAATCATTGAATTATTTATATCGTTTCTTCAAGTTCTTATTCTATAAACACTACGCCCCAATTTCTTGTTTCGCTATCGCAAAGGACAAATTGGCGCGGATCTGGATGCCAGATTCGGTTATTATCACTTTAGTCGTCCATCGTACTGATTGCTGTTAGATCAACCTCACTTAAAAAAGTAAGGAGTTGATTTGTATCGTTAGACGCTACCTGGACTCCCGTCTCAGTAAGAATCAACGAGCCGGATTCAGATGAACCCCTCAGTTCTGTGTTCGTATCATCGTTCATCGAGTCCGTTGGCTCCGGACAGCCGAAATGAGACTCCATGGCCTCAAGCCACGACTCAAATTGAATTGATTGCGACCCGTTGTTGATGGCATCCACAATAGTCTTGCAACGTGGCTCCTCAACTTTCCAAAGTGCCTTGAACTCGGGCGTGTAGTCCTTCGTGCCACCCAAACATTTGTTTTCGAACATACAAGCTTGGCGTTCGATGTCATCCATGTTCTGGTACGAGTCGCCACCCATGGCTTCGAGAGTCTCGTCGTACCAGTCTACGACACGTTTTTCCGATTCATCTGAACAATAAGCTTCTCTCGGTGTGCCAGGAGCTACTGGATTTCCTGATCCGTCTACAATGACGATATCCTTGTGGCCGTCATCCTTACCAGTGTAGTCTGTTTCCGGAAAATTGTTCTGCGATGCATAATTGTTTCCATCTTCATCAGAGGCATCATCTTCGGCAACGCCACACATGACGGGTGTCGATGTGCCGTTCGTGGCAGTGGTTTCCTTCAACTTACGAGATGTCGGCGAGGCATCACACTGAGAGTACATGGTTGCTATCTGACCACTGATGGAGTATCCGTAGCTGCTAGTGCCAAGGTCGCGAACATCCATTAGACCAGCAAATTGGTTCGGGACTCCCTCAAAGAACCTGGCTAATTGAGGGTCACTCTCACCTGGGATCGAATTAATGCCCATCTCACCAGTTCTCATCGTGATCGTGTCGGTCGGACGGAAATTACCCGAGTCACGACGAGCGCAAGACATCCAAGCAATAGGGTGTGACGCCTTCTGCGCGAAAGTAAGCCGGTCCGTTCCGACACGGCATTTGTGGAAGATTACGTGCAGCAAGTCAACTGTAGCGTGATGCGACCAAAAGACAGGATCCGCTGGAGATGCAAACGCTCCCATGGTACCACCCAAGTTGGCGTGTACATTGTTGTGGCAGCCTCTCTCGACCATTGACGACATCTCACCTATATTGGCACCGTTGAAGACTTGCGCTCGAACCGAAGCGTAGCTCGCTGTGATAGGCACTCGAACTGTTGACCAGTCACTGCGAGGAACACACCCAGCGCATGCAGTACCCACAAGTGAACTAAGCTCACAAAAACGATCCAGAGGTGGAGTATCGATGCATCGCCCCGAGTTTTCAACACCGTTAATGGTTAATGTTCGTTGGCTGCCACTAGTAAATCCACCTAACTCTTTGGTGATTGCCAAGCAGTCACCAAAAGAACTACAAGCCCCCGAAGTTACTTTTGCACTCGCAACTATCCAATTGAAGTACGGTACCGTCACACATGCATAGGCAGCACCTTGGCCACGGAGCATGTTCTCGAAGGCTACAAGTAACAAACGGTGCCAGTAGATGAACATACACTGTTGGTGAGCTTCCATCTCGGATCTCATCTCCGTATGCATTTCAACAAATTTAATGTAGGCACCCGAGTCCATGGAAGCACGGATGGCATTTTTGTATGTTGTCTTTTCAGTCGCTGTCAGCATGTCCCAGTCCTTGCGTAGACGGGAACCACAGGCTTGAGCTTCAACATGGGCCACTCTCGAAATTAATGCCAATAGCCCTATGCTCAAAATCCACAAGAGCTTCATGTTGAGTTAAAAATCAAAGTCAAAGACTGCGAAATGCCAATTGAGCCAACGACGAGAAAATGAGGAATGAAGTCTGAACTGGAATTTGCCGTCCTAGCTCTGATGGACATGTAGTAGTTTCTTATGGGGCGTTTTTTGAATATCTTTTAAACATTCACTTGCTGGCAGGGTTGGCGTGGTAACGTACGTCTGTTCGCTGGAATGATTTGAGCTAGCAAACGGTGACTTTTCCTATATAATCCTCATTCTTTAGTGATACTCGGATATACCAAACGTTGCTTCAAACATGAGGACAGGCTGAAACGAATCACCTTTCGTTTATAGCTTATTGCTAGATTTGTTAACAGGGAGTACGCTCGACTTGAAACGTCTGAGAAAGCGTTAGCGTAAGATCTTAGGCGACTCGCCAAAAGGTGAAACGGGGTGTTTGGTTGTACAACATCACTGTATCGTAATTTCTTTGAGGCGCACTCTCGCTAACCCATCTTAATCATACAAACCTAATATGCACGTTTCGCGGCGTTTTAAATCAAACCTTGATTTGTCTATCGGTAATTTGACTATATTGTTACACAAAGCAAAGGTCTCAGCTACCGATGACCAAGATTTCTTAGAAACCCTTGTCACATGTCGTAATAAGGATTGCAGCATCAGACCGTTTATCTCTTTTTGACAAAAGCCTGAGGCGGTAGTCAAGAAGTCACATTGTTGAGATGGACTCTTGCAGCCTGCAAATTGCAGGACGATGAACTAATCTGTAAACTTTATGCTTTCAGCAATTGAAAGAGCATTTGAATACTTTCAGACAAACGACTACTCTTTTTTACGTGCGGCCTTCATGCCCGGGACGGGATTTGCTTAAGTTATACAAGTTGATTAGCTCATTTGCTTGTATGTTGGTTTACAAACAGAATAGCAACTTCTATTCGAAAAGTAATGTAGAAGACGCATACGCTGTTCTAATGAGGACGTTGGTGAGTTAAAATATATATCACCGTGCGGGCGGTTTGATTTGCTCTTGTTTCTTACGCACGGACAGGCACTGTACTTCTCGTCGTAGCAGGTGTCGAATTGTCAAGTATTGTACTGCCGGTATTATCGGTTCTAGTCGGTAATGTAACCGTCCTAACTCTTATCGTAAATAGGAGGATTTTAAAGAAGTATCAAATTTTCTATTTATTAGCATAATTTACTACAATCGCATAACGCACGCAGTTCAAACAACATTTTAGATTTTGTCTTTCTCTATTGCATTAGCACAATTTATAAAACCAATGACACGAAACCTGGTAAAACCGATGACAAATCTGATTGTACCTGTTTATACCGTTATCTTGCCTTGTTGGAATCAATACATTCAGCAGCATTTAATCCACAAGGTTAAGGCACCCTATATCCTTCTCGTTAAAAGGCATCTTAAAGAGGAACCCTACTCTTTATTTAAAATGATAATGTTTATAAATTGCAATGAAGAAGATACATTGCATTTCAAAAAACATGCGAAATCAAAAATACGCACGCAAGCGCTTTGTTTTCCAACCAGCGATACCGATCCGTCATTGAAGTCAACATAAAGCCGCGTGTTTACTTTTTGTAGGCGGTATTGCAGAATCTCGATACATCACACTGATAAGATGCTATGACACCAGCGCTGAAGGAGGTTGTGAGAAGCTTGAAAACCATATATGGGTGGAAAAGACAAATTGGTAGTATCACGATTGGTGCAACATTATAAATGCGGCCGCTGGTACGTTAAAACCTGCCGTTATTGGAGGATGAGTGCAGCAATTCCGACTGCATCCATCACACAAGATAATGGACGTTGGCCTACCAAGTGTGTCGACTTTGTCAAGGTATGCGTGTGAACGAGACAGTGTTACATTTTCGTACATAATATATTTTATACCAAAAATCATTGCTACTAAGGCAGCTCCCGAGCTGTTGCCAAGTATCATTTTGTCGTTGCCAGTTTGGCTTCAGTAGCTTTTATACTCTAAAGCAATACTGAGAATGTAGTAGAGGCTGGGCAAAGTTGGACTTGCACAAAAGTAACAAAAACAGTCAAGTGATTTGCATGACACATGTGTCGGATGTTTGCTTGCTACAGACCACAAGTGTTTGTGAAAGAGACAAGTACGTTGTGTAACGGGGTTACACGAAGGTGTGTATTTTACATACACACCTGCCACACCAATGTGATGTGGCTGTACCTTGGGTACAAATTAGGTGATGTGGCCGTACCTGAAGTACGAAGGGTCATATCGTGGCAGAGAGCCACGTAATCACTATACTTATTTAAGGTATAGTGACTATGCATGTTTGCATAATATAAAAGGCTAAAGAGCCAGTAATAGTGAATAGCACTAAGTATAGGATAGGTGCTTCCATATTTAGTGTTAGAAGATAAACATAAATATAAATCACTTTCAAACCTGCTCTGTAAGCCTTACAGCTTGAGCATTCTATTCCTTTTAAGGAATAAGTATCTTTGAACCTAGTCTCTTTGAGACCCCGTTGTAACAACGGATAGGCACAAGCTTGCGAGCTAGCCTAAGAGGGTTAAACACTCTACGACATATAAGCTCTTGGAGCTTGTCTTCCTCTGCACATAGTGCATACGTAGCTTGGCTACAGTAGCTCGGCTATACCTGGTAGCACGTGTAGTCAATCTCTCACCTGAGTTTGCGACTACTTCTCTGTGTGAGAATAGACATCGATGAGATGGGCAGCAATTGGACTGTCACAGGCACAACCGGAAGGGTTGCAGAAGCTGTTCTCTATCCTTGGACCTAAAAGCGTAGAGTACCTCATTGTCCAAGGCAAAGAAGAGGTTAACAAGCGTATTCATATGCTTGATGAATATAATAAAGCTCTAGTCGAGCATGTAAAGGCACAGATGCCTTCTTCTGCGCCTTCGCCCATGGCGACTATGGCGCAAGAAGTGGTCCGCAGACCAAAACTCATAAAAATGGAAGTCGAGAAGTTCGACGGCAAAGAAGGTGACAACCATATGCTTTGGTTCCGACAGGTTGAGTCGGCTGTGTTTATAGCCGACATCACATGCACCGTACCGTGTTGGCCTTGCCACGGGTAAGTTAGGTGGGTTAGCCAAACAGTGGGCATTCACATGTGGTGCATCATTGCAAGATGCATTTCCCACATGGACCGATCTGAAAGCTCAGATGTCCCGACAGTATGCACCGCCAAACCAAGCACACCGTAATTGGTCGCGGTTTTTGGCGTGTTGCCAAGGCAAGCGTGAGCTTGCGGCATATGTGCAAGAGCTGAGAACTCTCATTGCTGCCGTGGTCATAAATCCTATTTCTGAGGCAGGGACCGTCACGGTCTTTTTGGATGCCTATGTAATGTCCCTATGCATTTAGCGCATCCTGTATATGGAGCTAAATATTGTAATGGAGCTGAATCAAATGGAGTCAGCAAGTAATTTGCAATCAAATAGTTGAGCACGCGAAGAAAGTTGTGCTGGCCGACAGCCGCGTGCTTCGCACGAAAGAACTCGTCAATGACGTTACATCCCCTGTGGCAGGCTCTAACGAGACGTTGCGGTCTACGGCCCCGGGTTTCGCAGATGAACCACGAAGCGCACATTTGGGAAGTGCTTATGCCAACTGTTTGTATCACCACCTTTTGGCATTTTACTAAGTATTTGTACAATCAATCTAATAGATTGTCTCATTTATTCTAAACAGCAGAGGCGATTCAGCGTGAAAAAGCACGCCGACGAGATTTTGAGGCAGCGTTTGGTGAATCTTGGAGCTAAAAGTGCTCAAGACTGAAGGCTGCATCGCCATACGGCCACCTTCCTAGATGGGAGAGATGATTGTTTACGTACTGCGGCAATGTACTGCTGTCGCACTCGCTTCTCAGCCAACGCCTGGTGTGCTGCAGTTGGGTGCAAACGCTAAAAAGATAAGAAC